GTCCCTGGTGTTTGGTAATCGCGTCGTTTGTCGTCGCAGTCATTGTCATCGGAGGATCGTCTCCCTGTTATCGAAACAGAATAAAATGAAACGAAAAGAATTTTCTTGTTAGGAAGATACTTTAATCCGATATGTTTCGCGACAAAACCTAAAATAGGGTGAACGCACCAATGAATGAACAGTTAAGAGATTTTGTAACTATTAAAGTCGAATTTTAAATGATAATAATATTAATATTGTTTGGCACATGAAAATCAGATTTTTTAATAGCTGTAGCGCTTTGTAACGGACAGATTTCAATTCGAAAAATTGAAAGAATATAATTAATTGAATTAAAAAGAGAACATACTGATTTCACCAGACAATGAACAATATTCTGTAATTTCTAACCAATGACGCGAACATTGTTTGAATACAAAACAAGGAATTGAAAAGAAAATCAATATTTAATAATTTGTTTACTTTAATAACTTGATTTGCTCGGTTTATATATAATGTTCATTCACTGGTACATCCACCCTACAATAATATTTCTCACGATTTCGTGGAAAAACTAAATGTAATTACGTGTGTCGAAGTGTGCGTGTGTCCTGATAACTGGGGTTCAGTCCCGTCGATCGCAAAAAGTGTACAAAATGGACGTCTACCTTGAACCGAGTGTCGCGACAAAAGCAAGGTAAAACAGCGTGCAATATCCATCGAACCGAAAAAAAAAAAACAGAACAGAAAAGAAAAGAAAATAGAACAGAAAATAAAACGCGCGAATTCATTCGGGGGCGCCCGTACGTTGTTCGTTTTCATTGTTTCTCCCAGGTCCCGGCGTTTCCTTTCCTTTCTCGTCACTTTAAGTCTCGTTGTACTTTGCTTCTATGCTCGTTATTTTTTTTTTTTGTTGGTTGGTTCGCTTTTCTGTTTTCGCACACGTTCTCTACTCGTTCGGTCGAGAAGAGAATTTATATACATATATGTTATTATTATTATTATTATTATTATTATGATTATTATATCTGATCTGTTACTTTAATCGCTGTTTTGTTTTTATTGCTTGAGGGAACTGCTTACCGCCTTGATGGTCTAACATCGTCAGAGTGTTCGCTGCGACATCCTCGCTCTACGACAGGGTCGAAGGGCCCACACGTTAACGGAAACGAAAGATCGTTCAGTGATGCGCGTGACAAACTGCGAAATTAAGTCAGAGACAAACAAGCAGACCCCCCGTTGCGCACGCCTTGCCACAGGAGAATATTCACGGACATTTCGGGGGTTCCGAAAACAGAGAAAATAATGTGGGAAGGGGTGCACGCGAGGATTTTTGTTCGCGGCAACAATTTTGCAATTATGTACCAACATTGCGCTATCGATATTCGAGAGAAGAGAAAAAAAAAAGTGGCGGTCCGAGTCGTGTGACAAAACGTGTGCCGGGTTCTAATCAAACAAAAAACTCCATAATATTCATCTAGAAAAAGAAAAAACGATCGTAGTGCCCAAGGTGTAGATCCGTGAACGCAAGATCCTTGGACGGATCCTCAGTTAAGTTACTTTTTTCAATTTTTCAAACAGCCCCCCCCCCCCGGACGAACACCTTGAACGGTGATGTATTTGAATGGAATCGAAAACAGACAGAAAAAAGAACATATGAAAATAGAATGGTAACGGTGAACAGATAAAGGAGAAATATGGCGCGGACGAAAAAGAACGGACAATGTGATCGTAGACTAGATGCGAAATAAACCGAATCGTGATTAGTTTAGCTAAGGGTGATTCACATGTTATGATTCTCTTCGTAGACGGGTAACGACATCGACGTGAACGTCCGCTTGACACCATGCGCTTCACACGGCTAAGGACAGATTATGTAGATCGCAAAGCAATAACCGACGGATATATTTATACGCTCTCGCAGCCTTGAAGTATGGAACAGAACGCAATTTGTTGCGATCGAATCGGTCGGAGACAGCGGATCGTTGGACTGACCGGAGGAAAACGGACCGAACCGAACGGAGTCGAACCGAACCGAACGGAGTCGAACCGAACCGAACGGAGTCGAACCGAACCGAACGGAGTCGAACCGAACCGAACGGAGTCGAACCGAACCGAACGGAGTCGAACCGAACCGAACGGAGTCGAACCGAACCGAACGGAGTCGAACAGAACCGAACGGAGTCGAACAGAACCGAACGGATTCGAACCGCACCGAATGGAGTCGAACCGAACCGAACGGAATTGAACGGAATTGAACGGAATCGAATCGATCGAATGAACGGCGAACCCTTTTTCTCGAGTCCTGCCGCACTCTTTTTTTCTCATCCTTGTTTTTGCATCTCGGTCGATCAGCGACAAGCACATCGGAACCCACTACACATTCTGACTCAAGTCGAATCAACCAAGATCGCATTACTATCGGTATACTTGTAGACTCGCAGATCACTAAAAGCGAAGACCAATTAACAATATCTACTTGGTAAGACGACGGTCGACAAAAAACTACGTTCGATAGGGAGGAAGGGTGAAAAATAGAAAATAGTGAACGCGTGTATATACAAATGTATAACGTATATACAGCTGACCAGGGTGAGAACAGTGTTAATTTATAAACAAACTGAAACGGATTTTGACGTTTATAAATTAAGAATGGACCACCCTGCACACGTTACAAATTACAGTGATACCTAACTGCTAAGACGTGTTTACGGTCAGTAGGTACTTTCATATATGGGCTTCTTTTTGCGGGAAAAATAAAAGGAAGACGCTAATCGAAGATTTGTATATACTGTATACATATATACACATAATATGGATAAATACACGTGTTTGAACATTAACTATATACATATATATACATAGTATATGTATACTGGTATACACGATTAGATACGTAATGATTACACGTTGACTGAAAGCGACACAGCTAAAGAAGCTTCGTGTTCGACTACTAGATAAATGGAGAAATGAGAAGGAGATTAACACTGTTTGTTGTACACAATACAGGAGGAGAACGTGTCGTGTCCGTGAGACAAGTAAGGAAAAGTAAGAGATTACCGACGAAACACAATCACGTATCCGTCTAATCGAGGATAGGCATACATATGGTATACGTACTATATACACACACGAGTATACGTGTTTCTACTATACGGTTCGAGTACTTGGATTGCTGGTATGTTTGACAGTGACAGTATCGAGATGTTAAAAAGAGACGTGAAGAAAAGACCAGTGAAACTTGGACAGAGAATAAAATGTACACGGAGTAGAGATGGGTCGTTAGCAAGACACACATATATGTATAATAGGGTGGAAGGGGAGATACAGAAGAGAGAGAGAGAGAGAGAGAGAGAGAGAGAGAGAGAAACAGAGAAACAGGGAAAGGGTAGAAAAGTGTAGAAAAGGTGCACAAAGGAACGAAGAAACAAAACAGGCAGTTGAACGAGTCAAATCGATCCGCGTACCGAATCACAACACTGTTACACAACGATTCGACTACAGCGCATTTCGGATATATCTCTCGTGTTCGTGTATGTACTGGCAAGTAGGCAGCAGCGATAGCAGCACCGGCAATAGTAGCTGGCTATTTTGGTAAGTAAGTAGTCTTTGTCGTGGTTAGTAGAGTGGCAGTGTCGTTCCCCATGGACTCTGATGCAAAAGTCGCGCGGGGAGGTGGTGTAAAACGGTCCTGTGTCAAGTTCTTACAGACTCGTCTCGATTATTGTCCCGAATTCTGATCCACGCTGGGACAATAATCTTATAAGAAGAAATGCTTCAGACCTTCGTAGATTCGTTTGTTGCCCGAAGCCCGAGCTTTAGCAACAAAGACGCCTGGACAATAATCGTGTAGAACAAACCGGACAATAATTGAGAGGAGTCTGTACAATTCTTTCGTGACACGAAAAAATTCGGACGAATTGAACAGGACCTATGTTCCCCCCAATTCGGGGACTTTTGCAACCAGCCACGGACTGTAGCAACGTTACGAACAAGTGTGCGTAGTGATCACGGCTAAAAGAGTCGTTAGCAACGGTAGTAGTATTAGTAATAGTACAAGTAAATAGTAGTAGTAGTATTTGTATAAGTAGGAGACTGTACAGTGGTAGTTGGCTGTCGCTTCTTCCTTTGTTCACCGCGGACACCGGCGCCATTTTCGTTCGGACGTCTAGACCGGTGAAGCAAACCCATCGCGACGTATCAGTTCGAGCGAATAATACCTACATAGTTCGTATCATCGAGCAGGGAGTTGCGTATAGGATATTCCAGTATCGTGGAAGTTCCAACGGTCGACATAGTTCTTTTTTTTTCCAGGAAAACCGAATTAAATCGACGAATAAATGTCCGATAAAGGAGAAAAATAACAAAAATGTTCACGTCCTTCATTTTTCTTATAAATAATAAAGAATCGAGCCGCTTCGACGAAGGGAAAAGGGAAAAGGAACAACAGTTCGAAGCAAAACGGCACTTCATCATGACCGAGTGAATCGATTGGGGGGGAGGGCTCGCGATTTCCCCTCGGGTCGGCAATATAGCAAGAGGTGAGCCATTTCCGGCGACGGGACGGGGAACCGAAACGGATGCGGGGATCCAACGCGAGTAAAAAGGATTCCCCAGTTCGCGAAACGAGGTCAGGAGGTCGCGAGCGTTCGTCAAGATATTCAACCGTGGTTAAGCAGCTTATCGATTTGCCTCGGAGTCGGAAGAATACTTTGGGGGGAGTGTCGTGGCGGACGGCGGGAGATCTAAACTTGTGGGAGTGGATCTCGTTGGCGAACGATCGCAGAATCGCTGATCGATCGATGGATGGACCGAGGAAGAAGAGTCGATCTGGATCAGGGTGCTTTGTTGGGGTGGTGGGTGTAAGCACGACACAGTCCACACTGTACGTGTATATGTGTGTGTATATATATATATGGAGAAGGATGAGATTGAGAGAAGGTAAAGGCAGGGTGTGGTTCCTTCTTGTTGTTGTTTGTTCTGTTTTGTTTACTTATATGGCTAAAAAGCGATTCACTCACCTCCCTGGTCATCGAGCGCGACCAGAGTACGGATGCCAGCCTCCTTGCTCTACGACAGACAGAGGCAGCACAACACAGACAACCACCACCAGTGTTAGAGAGTTGTTTTTTTTTTTTTAAGTAGTTAGTATATAGTATAGTAATATTAGAGGTATACTAGTATAATAGTATATAAGTATTACGGTTAGGTAGAGACAGAGGGTGTGCGGAGAGAAGTTGGTGGAGAGAAGTGGGCCAAAACTCGAAGTTTCGAGGGTTTCTCTATTATTATTTTTCGGTTCATTTACGTTTTCGCGTTTTTTTTTTTTTTTGGTCGTATATGTTCGGATCGTTTTCTTTGTTCTCGATGCGGATCTAGACGTTTTATTTTTGTTGTTGTTGTTGTTGCTGTTTGTTTTGATTGCGAGATCTATACATATATCGCGTTTAACATACGCAGAGACGGAATGGCAATTGGCTATAATATATCCGGCTTGTGTGATGATGCATAGAGAGACAGGTGGGCGCATACTTAGGCGGACAAACAACGGAAAACGTTTTTTTTTTGTTTGTTTTTTTGTTTTTTTTTTTTTTGTTCACGAATTGACGATTGCTAGAGTCACGTTGTATATTGATGTTTCTCGATCTGTAAATATACATATATGTATGTATATATATATCTAGACTTGTCGCTTGTTGTTGCTGTTGTTGTTCTTGATGTTGTTATCGATCATGACGATGTTGTAGTTGTTGTTGTTGTTGTTATAGTTGTTGTTGTTCCTGTTGCGTTGTGACTGTCGTCGCCGTTGTTGTAGGTTATTATTTTATTATTACGATTATCAATATTATTATCAATATTATTATTATTTTAGTTACATTTATGTATCTATGATCTTCCATTTTGACTAATCGACACTGTTTCCGTATCGCTGAGTTTCTACATGTATTTTTGGTACGTACTCATATATATATATATTTTTTTTTTGTTATTGTTGTTGTCGATGTTGTTCTGTTTCGCTAGCGCGTGACCAGTTCACAGGAAAAAAAAATGAAAAAAAAAAAGAAACCATTCTTTAGGTTATTGCTTTCTTCATTTGGGAAAAGAGAGCCTCGAGCTTCGTCTATTTCCGGTTTCCGAGAGACAACACACCGGTCCTCCGTTCTTCGTCGCGAGCGAGAAAAAGGGAAGAATCGTTCACGAAGACGGTACAGCTCGAGGCGGAGAAAGAGAGAAGAAAGACAGAATTAAAAAAAAAAAGATATATGCAGAAACAGAATAGATAGAGTAGTTGAGCAACTACTTGAAAGAAAGAGAGAGAGATAGACTTGGTTGTGTTTGAATATCCAAGATCGACAAGGAAGCTCTACTCTGTAACGTGGTGTACGGTAAGAGAAGTATCGCAGCAGAACACAGAACGGATACGTTTTAAGGCACCTGCACACACTGTTTTTTCTTTTTTTTTTTTTTTTCGTCGGTAGACAGAGGTAACGTAAATCGAATAACACGCGCATGACCAAACGGAAATTAAAGGAAGAAAATAAAAAAATTAAACGAAACGTTTACCGGATCGTTTTGAGTCGCAAGAATGAAAAAAGGAATACTCGATTTCACGAGCGCAGATATGCTGAAATTCGTCATAGAAGTTCTTCAAGTTGAACGAAAAGGAATCTCGCGACTCAAAAACGGGAAACGCCGAAATAAATTGCGAGAAACACACGCACACCGAAAGTGGAGGGGAGGAACGGCGGAGAGGGGGAGCATATGACGACGAAACGGCGAATGAACGAATGAGGAGCCCGGAGAAAAGGTGCCCAGAGCTTTTTCGACTACGTGAATACAGCAGAGTTGAAATGCGCGATCTCGTAATCGTCGTCTCGACAAACGATACTCGTCTTTTTATTTTTTATTTTTATTTTTTTCGAAGCTACTATATGTACCCGGCTTCCAATTAAAAATTCTGTTTCTTGTGTGATAAAATGAGTGTAATTCAAACGAAGTTTGAAGGGAACAAAAAATACTGTAGCTGGAAAGAGAGTAGACGATTCGATGTAGAGAAGACAGAGACAAAAGGCACTGAGTCGGTCCTACGAGTCAAGAGGGCAGACCAGCGTAACGTTCTGAAAAGGAGCGTACCTTCGCGAATTTATTTGTGGGAAATTCAATCGACCGAGCCTTTTGAAACGTGGCTATTATACAAGAGTATACTATAATTGAAATATATACACGGTCAACTATTAATTAGCATTTTTGTTTTATTAATTAAAACCTTATCATTTTCCACGTAGCATCCTTTCCTCGTTCACGGTTCGAAATAATTTTCGGAGTTCAGAGATATGTGCAATGGAATGTGTTTCAGGTGGGGGTTTAAAAGGCACAACGACAACATTAGGAAAATTCTCGGCCGAATATATCGTGCACCGAGAGAAAGAGAGTAATCGTGTAATACGTGCACACGATGTGACGTGACTTTGGTATGTATACACCCGTATGGTTCCTTAACGATGAAAGCTCAAAAAAAAAAAAAAAGAAGAAAAACAAATAAAAAAACAAAGGATGATGTTGCAGGGTATATATATATATATACGATGCATTCACGAGTAACGATTGCAGCACGTTTCCGTGCGTGCAAGCATCCAGTATGATCAGTTCCACAACTTCGATATCGAGACGAAACCTCAGGCAGAATTCGAGCGAGAGCTTGCTCCTCTTTCGAGACAGGAGAATCCGTGTGTTTCTGTGAGAGTGGCGGTTGAATGTTTTGTGCACAGAGAGAAAGAGAGATACAGATGATTCTGAGGCGAAAAGGTGAGAGAGCACGATGCGTCGGGAAAGGAGAAGAGTGGACGACGAAGAATTGTTCCTCGCGGAGAACAGGCAAACACACACAGGCAGCCAGGCAGCCAAAGCAGGCACAGGCGGGCAAAGTTCGCGAGCAAATAATATCGGTAATACTACATTATTCATCGGCCAATTGTATCTATGTATATATTCCCGCGAAATACGAATGCAAAGTCGAATTGAACACGCCCCAAAATGTGAACGGGGTATCTAAACCGATCGGTGATTTGAGCTTTGCCTTGCGAACTCTGCGAGCGAGTATAGGCGGCGAACTTCTTCCAAAGAAAAAATATAGATGATACTTTTATTTTTAAACAAGCTCAAATTTCAAAACCACGCGACAAAGCCATGAGTACAAATTATGCAACAGATATATCATCCGTTGGGAGAAGTTCAGTAGCAGGCACAGGCGATTCAGCGGCCGATTCGTGTGTACTGTACCATTGAGTGAAGCACACACCGCACACGTGGAAAACACGTATATAATACACAAACGCATTTAGCGACACGGACAATATATATATGTATATAATATCGAGGGTGTATGCCCGGTTCAGCCAGTCAACACGGATAAAATACGTAGAGGCAATATTAAAACACACTGATTGCAGTGACAAATATATGTCTATTATATAGTTTGGGGCTGCGCCATCGATGCTGCGCGTGGACGCGAACACTTTTCCGTTTGTTCTCTCGATACACGCGGTCGAGGAACGATTTTTCGATCCGTGGACCGCTCGTTGCTTCGTTTTTACCTGGTCTGGACGAATTATAGAGAAGTGAAATCGTATAACCGTTCACTCAGAAGCTTTTTCTTTAGCCGTGAAACCGAACACGAGCAGAAAACGCACGAATCGCGACACAGGGAAATGTAGGGGGCGAGAGCGAGGGGGAAGAGGAACGGTGGAAGTAATTGACAGAGGACCGTTGACGATGGGTTAATTCTTTCGACGAATCCCCTCCCCACGTGGTAATTCGAACAAATAATACGGATTCTCTCGTTTTTTTTGTCGATTGGGTTCGGAACGCGCGACTCGAGTATTACAGATCTATTCGGGGAAGAATGTAAAGCGCGGGAAAAATGGAACGGGCAAACGGATAACGAGATAAACCTCTGGTATTCGTAAAGTTTTTCACCGCGCGGTCCTCCACGAGACAATCGACAAAATGGTGGGGTAATACCGAGAACCATCGATCCTTCCTTCTTTCCCTTAAAAAAGTCTTATCGCGTCAAGAGCGTTCTCGCATTTTCCGTAGCGTCCTTTCCGCAAACGACCCAGTCGGTGCTGGGATTCACTGTTTTGCTGAAAAAAGAAATATCCTCCACCACTGGCAGCATTAAGAGCATATTTAATATGGATATATATATATAATTATGTAACAATATATAATTGTCACAACGTCCAGGTTCGTTCGTTTGTTCGTTCAGTCTTGCATTTACAATCGACTGACCGAAATGAACGGAGTACTTTTTTCGGTGGTTTTTACGCGATTTTACGCGTTTCTTTTTTTACGTTCCAGAGGTCAAAGAGATGTCACCACTGAAAGATAGTAGTTGTTGACGTCTCCGATGCTCGATATGCGGATATTACGTGTGCTAATTGGTGCAGCCACAGAGATACAAGTAGCGAAAGAAACGGGAACGGAGCGACGCAATGCACCCTTCTAACCACTATCGTGTTTTCTGTTTCTTTCGAGATTCGTCAGCAAACGACAATAATTTAGTCGATGCTTTTTTTTTGGTCAGCACAAGAATCTTGTATTTTGAATTTTTTATTGTTCCAACACGGAATCATCGTTATCAAATAGTAAGACACGGATCTCTCGACTGTCGAATGAATCGTCACAACTGTAGACATTTGACTCTGGCACAGTGTACACTAGAGAAAATTCATAATCTAGGTAAAGAATTTCGACCAGCGAATAAAGGATAAAAAAAGATATAATCTCGTTATTTAAACAATTATTAATCCCATTTTTTCACTGTGTATTATTCGAGTAAAATTCTGCCCAACTCTGGTCCGAATGATCGTAAACGCGAAGTTCAAACATTGAAAGCTTGGTTAGCGGCGTGGATTGCGTTCGCTCCTTCGACAATTAGTAACAAATTGAATAGGAGAAAAGAGTGAACACTTCTTGGATGTACATACAGTCAGAGATTCCGCAAAAAACACTTACAGAGAGACGTACATACATGTGTCGAGAATAGAATATACATATACAGTAGCGAACAAAAAAGTTACCATTTTCCTCATTTTTTTAAATTTCATTATTTGCTTAACATCGCCTTAAAACCTCAATATTCTCAGTTTTATACAGCTATTCTCGATCAGAACAAAAACTATATAAAGCTAAACAAATACTAAAGTTTTAAGTTAACATTAAAAAAATAATAAAAATAACGGTAATCTTTCTTAGTCCGTTACTGTGTACGTATCGAAGGTAACGGAAGATACAAAACGAGTAATTATGCATGTGAAAAGAAGAACACGAAACTGAAAGTAACGTAGAGAGAACACGCGGATACGTGGCCACGAACGCGCGCGCGCGCGCTCACGCGTGCCGACATGTTCTTCTCTTATTCGTCGTTTTTTATGCCTTTCGAAAGAACCGCATTCGCATCTGCCTCTGTGATATAGTATCCACGAGCCAGAGAAACGACAATCGTTCCATCCTTGAGGAACGAAGAAGCCGCGCCACGAAAACGATCCATCGATCATTCTCCGTGCGCGTTCGTGCCACGGATTTCGCCCGTCTTGAAACCGTCGTCGATGCGTCGTCTTACAGTCTTTTTATTTATTCCAGAGAACATTAACATTATTCCTTTGGCACACCCGTAACGATAATAGCTTTAATATCGTCCCCCCCCCACCCCCCCTTCTTCGTAAAGCAAATTGCTACGTTCTTTTTTACTCGTTCTCTTTGTTCTCGTCTCGAGTATACTCGCGTCGTAAATCGAAAAACGATGTCCCGTATATGACCACTATTATCTGCGTGTTGAACAACGATGCACCGTTCCAACTATCGTTACATAATACCATACACAAAACCACACAGAGACGTGCAGCACGCGCCGATTATTATACATATATATCATGTGGGGAACGAATAAACGAGGGTGATGCTTCCGGCGCCGGAGCTGGGTCAAATACTATTTCAAAAATCTGTCTCGACACCGCACCGAAAGAAAAAAAAAAAAAGAAAAAAAATAAACAACAACACAGTACGGATTCCGTTCACTTTCCCTCGTTACACACGTGTTTTATCCGTATTTATCCGTTCTCGAAAAGTCTCTTTTTCGTCCCCAGTTTTTTCGATCGCACCCGACGAAAAAACCGCACGCCGTTTCCCCGGATCATATATCGCAGCACACCGCCGGTGTTTCTCTCGTTCCTATGTCTATACTCGTTTCTTTTCCTTTTTTTTTTTTTTTTTTTTTTTTTTTTTTTTTGGTTCGTCTCTTTTAGCCGCTCTAGAAATAGTATTTTGCCCACCTCTCTCCAGCGCGCTTTCCTTTCTATAATATCCTTATTATCAGTGATCCGTTATTCCCGGTATCGTCACCATTTACCGTTTATCACCTGTGTGACTATTTCTCTTCGAGGGGTCTCGATGGGGGGTGGGACTTTGGGGGGCAGGACGTATCCTATAAAATTTGCACACCGTGTCGTGACTTTACCGGAGGGAGAGGGGGGGGGGGGCAAGACCATCCTCTATACGGCGTATATCCCCTGTCGCGCGACATATATAGCACGCCAACAACAACGATTCACCAGAGCGACAAATTTCATATATATATATATCTCTATATATTGCTATTCTGCGAGAGAAATCCTGGAGAACGGCAACGTCTCCCCGGGAGGAATAGAGATCGCTGCCATATAGTAACGAGGATCGAGGATTAGTATACCGAGGATGATCGAGGATGAAGGTTAATGCGTAAATAGAAGAGAGAGAATATATATATATACGTATTTTCATAGAGACGAGAGACGAACTCACCTCCTCGCATAGTGCCAGCATCCGCCTCGTACTCTCCAGGGACTGAAAAACGAAAAAGGAAAACCATAAGAATCGAACAAAAATTCCATTTCTCGGATAAATAACACTGTTCAACAAATTTTAACTTTTTTCTATCTCGTATAACAGTTAATACTAAACCTACCACGGTTTTGGCGTACTAATTCCTACCTGTCTGAAGGGTTCGGTAGGTTTAGTGTTAATAGGCGCGTCTGATACACCTTTATGAACTGTATACGAATCTGCAAACCATTTTTCCCAGCGTGTCAAGTTTTGAAAACAATTGTGCTGGGATATAACGGTTTGCAGATTCATTATTTATTAACGATTATGATGTATTCTACGCGTTGAACAGTGTAATCACCATGGTCGATCTATGGTAAACGCACCTCATCGGTAGTTTGATCGGCCTTCAGCTGTAATTCTTGCAATTCGGTGCGGGGCGGGCCGCCACCCTCCGCCGCTCCCCCCGATGGTGTAGTCGGAGCGGGCATCTTCTTGTCGGCTGGCTGCCTGACGCGAGTAGCCTTCTGCCGTCAACTTCTTCCTCTTCTCGCCTTACACTTCGCTGTCTACCAACGAGCAGCTCCTTCCTCGAGGTACTCGAAGCTTCTGAAACATCAACGGATAGAGGCGGGGTCAAGATTCTCGCTCGATAGTAACGTTACTACGGAATCCTCTCGATTATTGTCCAAAAGTTATCCCTACCAATGGTGGTGGAAGACTATAGAATATGTCAAACGCATTGCTTTTATTGCCGAGAAAACGAATTTATGAGAATCACAAGCGTTTCTCCCTATAAGATTATTGTCCTGGCGCGGACCCAGGTTTGGGACAATAATCGAGAGTGGTAGGTAGTGACACTAAAATGAGAATGGAGTAACATAACCCCAGAAAGTGGGCGGCGAAAATACATCGGATGAAATGTTTACTCCTATACCTCGTCTGTGCTGTTATTAAGGTCGTAGGGACAAGACAATAAGGAGTTCAACAAAATTTAATGCTATCGCGACCACAGCCTGCTGGACCAAGAAAAACAAATACTCAGCAGGGCAAACGTGTAGCGAATAAACGGTGCATCTAACAAGACGGAAAATGGGGAGAGGCTAGACTCTAACAAGGGAATTTCGGTACCCCGAAAAGTTCAATTTTTCTTGAACTCCGCAGGTTTATAAGGGACCTCGGATAGAAGCATCGGGCAATCTTTCGTTTATGGTGATATTCTGGTCTTCGAAATGAAACCACCCCTTAAAGGGACCTTCCTATTTTCCTGTATCTTGAAAACTATAGTAGATACATAAAAATTCTTACAATGAAAATTGAATGGCCTTTCATACTTTACGAAATTGTGTAGTGGAATTGTTAAAAATTTGTTAGAAGCATCTTTAAGGGTTTCACTCCAAAATACCGAGAAATTGCTCGATGCTTCTCTTCCGTCTCGGGGACACGATCCAAAGCAGATCGATTCCAAAACTCTTGCAAAATGTCATGTCAGGATTTTTGCCAACCCCCTAGAGCCATTCGTGGAGCACTCGTGGAGTCACCACTGTCCATTTTCCGTGAATGCATTCATACACGCGGTTACAAGTCGCACGCGCTAGGAGCCAGAGAGACATAATACATGTGTAGCCGCATTCCCATGAAAATCAATACCAGACGACCGACCGACCGACCGACCAAACGACCAAACGACCGACCGAATCGCGCGCGCAGACGCACGACCACGCGACCACCGTCACACATCGTCCTTGTTGCGCTTTCTCCTCGCCTCGATGATCCTCCTCCTCCTCTCTCAAAGCTTTTCTGCAAACCACACCACCCACCATCGCCCACTTCTTCTCGATCCTCGGCAACCGCCACGAGAACCGATCAGCTGGGATCACTCCAGAGTCGCGTACATGCTCGCTCGTTGCTCATGCGTGGTTCTTTCGCCGTATCTTCGGCGTACACGTTCATTACACGATTAACTTTTATATTCGATATGTAAAACGAAAATCACATTGCTGCAGGCTCCATTATCCGAACCCTCTTACAGAATCCTGGATCGCTATCGGAGTGGGGATAATTCGACATGGAAGATCACTAAAATTGGAATGAAATTGAAATTGAATCAGTAGGATAAACCAACTCTGCTTCAGATTGATTCGATATCTACAGGGACATACAGTAAATTGCCGATGAGTGTTTGAAGGCTCCTCGACAATGAGTGTTCAGACGTCACCCCCACCACTAGACGCTTGACTGGTTCCAAGAGGGACCTCTCAGTGGTGGGAATGACGTATGAAGACTCAGTGCCGAGGAGCCTTCGAATACTCATCGATAATTTACTGTACTTAACTCGAACTATTCTCAGAATATTAAAATTGTCTTCCGAACTTGTTCATTGATTCGTCATCCTCTCATTCCGTTATCCGTGTTAACGATAAATCCTTCCTCGCATAAACGATCCATCAACCGTACGGACCAGATTCGAAGATTTCTACTGTCGTCAGAGACAAGAATACCTACATCCAAAAGCAACACAACGAATAGACGTTCCACGAATGCCTCGAGACGACACTGGTTCACGTGTCGAGACAATGTGTAGAGCTCCCTTAATTGGCACTCGTAAATATATTTATATTCGCGAACACGCGAATCACTGTCTCTGAATAAGGGTAACGGAAACCTGGTCCGTGGGAAGAAAAGACGTAATCGAAAAAGAAAGAAAAAAGCCTTGTAAATCATAGCAACAACACACACGAGAGACGAGTAATTAGCTGACTCGCTGCCGTGACACTGGCGATCACACACGCAACGAAGGACGTTCGTGAAATCGATCGATCCCTTGTTTGGATTCCGTGTTAAAGGGAAACAGTCGATGGACGATTCCCTGGATGTCGAGGTGGAACAGACGTTACGCGAAGAACGGGAGGGGAGGGTAAAATTAAATCGTGTTCTCTGCCGCGAAACTGGTTCAGCCAGTAGTCACGGATCCCCCACGAGTTATGGCGTGTGATCAATTCGACGAGCCCTGTCCTTGCCCTCGAGACAAAGTTGGCTGGTTTCCAGGGTGAAAGGGGTACCGTATGTGTATGTGTGGGTCTGACGCTCCTCCTGGTCACGGTGCAACTCGCGCCAAGATCACGGACGACCCAGTGCTGTCGGATCTGGAGAGGACAGGGGGCGTATATAGGCATCCCCCGCCTCTCTCGATCGCAGCAAACAAACAGATATCGGTGTTCGATAAACGAAAAAAAAAGACAAACGTCAGAGCATTCGAGGGGAAATCAATAACTACCACACATACACCCTGACCGAAATATTATATCGAAACGAAAATCGTACCCAACATCGTCTTCGTAGCCTCCCCCGTGCAACCTTTCGTCGAATACTTTCTCTCGAATCGAACCCCAATTCCTTTGTTTATATTTAACCGTTAAAGCAGTCTATGACAACACTACCGATAAGGTTTCTATGCGTCGTGGAACAATGCTGATATACACCACAGTTCATAAGTATTAGGACACCTAATCTGTACGAAGAAATATATATGTAAAAATTATATATATATATATATATATATTATACGGCCACGTTTATTACGTCACAGTAAAATATTTCGTGAACAATATTTATTTCAGACTTTCTACTATTTCGTAATACGTTGTAACATTTACTATGTTTGGCTAAGTGTCCTGATATTTATGAGCGGGAGTGTACCGTGCGCGATCGTGTCGCATGCAAACGTTATCGGTAAACTTAGGAGCAAACTCGGCTTCCACTAGGGGAAAAAGTGACGTAGGGAAGGACCTCCTGCTATTTGGTATCGAGAATTATTTAAATATATATCGAATTAACATTCGATTTAACATTTATTTTAGCCATTTTTACCTTTACTCTTACGCCAATTTTTTGACCCTAGTGGAAGCCGAGTTTGCTCGAGAGTGTACGTCGAAATGTTCGGTAGTATCCATTCGAACCTGTACAACGCGAATACACGTCGAATGATTCTTGCCGTACAGCCTGTATACCGTGCAGTATACTGACGGCAACAATCTTTGGAGCAACGTATACCCAACGACGGCCACTCCAACGGGTCTCGTTGACCTACTATCCGCGAAATAAGGAATTCATGAAAGACACACACACACACACACACACACACACACACACACTCTGTTACCCTCTGATTATCGACAGATTCGAAAAATTGTTCCATTCCTGATTACCTTTAATTACGACTCGTGTTGCAACTCCGATCCTAGCTTCCCGGGCGAACTGTAATAGATATCGTACTGAACAGATTCTCGTGAAAAAGATAAAACCGTCGAAGTCTATATGGAGTACAGTCTCGGTGAGATAACACCGCGATTCCTAAAACCGTTAGGGCCAAGCGTTTCGCGTTTTTCACCGGTTACAGAAGTCCCGTGATCCCCCTCTGCTCGAACGCCGAGTCACGTGTAACATTTAACCTGGCCCGTAATCACGTTCCCTTTCTGTGTAAAACAGAGACAATGCTACGCGACATAATTTTAACACTACAACTACCAAGCAAGTCAATACACTCTTACAATGACGATTAAAATGTTATGACAATACATTTTCTCTGATCTTTTGCACCTTTTATTACGATATGAAAGTGAAGAAATTAGTAAATTTCTAAATTTTCAAAAGTTTTTCACGTTTAACCACCGATCGAAGCAAATATGCGTTTATCGTCGGTAGTTCTAGTGATAACGGAACACAAGCATTTCCAGTCATTCCCATTGGCGTAACTAGAATTTTTTTCTGAGGGGGGGCAGGTCCTCTGACTTTCGCCCATAACACTGCCCATCAGGCATCTATACGTAATTTAATTGATTACCTTTCAATTGATATTGAAGGATTATTAGTTCAGTAGAATATAAAAATTGAAATACTTAGTTGCATTGCGTATTGCATTTCGGCCCACGTATTTATTTTTTATAACATAAGATTTTACCAACTGACGAATGTTTTTTTTTATATATTTCCATAACTCCTTGACGGGGGGGCCAGTCCATATTCTGTGGTAGCCAGGCCCACCCTGCCTTCTACCTAGTTACGCTAATGATCATTCCGGCGGGCACTCTAAACGAATAGAGCCGACCGCAAATAAATATAGAACAAGTGAGAAAATCAATATTTTAGTGCATTTCCGCATCCGATGAGTCATGCGTGTACGTCATTGTGATTACGCGCGACGGTGGTACAACATCTTCCCGTCGCGATCGGTAACCAGAGACAGTAAAAATACAAATATTCTGACGTCATCCAAGCTCGCGGCTTCTGTTGCGCGCGTGCTCCGCCGCGACTACCAACGACGTTCCCCTGTTATCAATGACTCTCAGCTGTTACTGCCACCGAAGAAAATCATGTCGAAGGCACTTCTATGTAATGTATGTATGTGTGTGTCACTGTCGATGACCTGAAATTCCAGGCGATCGAAGGCGCAGCCCGATTATGTACATTGAAGGCGCCTCTATTTGGAAACTTTCACCTCTGGATACCCGCGCGACAAACTAGACCGCGCGGCGCATACACGTCCCCCGACATTAAGAAATCAATAAATAAAGTTGCCGGTTCGAACCAGAAACGTTCACGCGACGTCATCTTCCGGGGGAGAACACAGGGGGGACACAGTAATCGAGACATAAACGTTATTTTCGCATCTCGACCCTTCACTGATTTCGTCTTGCTTATTTTTTTTTTTTTTTCATTCGTCGAATAATAGCACACTTCACCGATCTTCTCGGATATAATATACACACCCCGTCCAGAACCACGGACTCTCCGGGAGCACAAGAAGACAAACGTCACGCGCAATTTCACACTACCGAGCTTGTCCTCCAAAGAACGTCCTGTTTCCATCGCGAGAAACACACCCTGAGATCCTTTGCGAGAAACTATTCGACTCACGCTGTCACAACGGGGTAGGTACACGTATACCGATGAAATCGTTATCGGAACGTGCTCATCTTCCGCAAGCATTCGTTCCCAAAAGAACAGAGTAACGGATTCTGTCATTATCGACGTTTTAAAGAATTCGGAACGTCCTTGCGATTCGTGGAAAACGATGCAAGACTTCTGTTACGATCACGTCTCTCGAAGCTCCGTCACTAGAGAAACTAGAAAGACTACGCGATGACACCGGTCTAGCTATTATTACTAACCGTGTAATTCGTCGATGTAGTCGATTCTTTTCGTCGGTCGTTCTCGCTGCTCACGGATCTCGTGATCGCCTTATGTCGAAGAATGACAATGAAACGACCCCGAGAACTATCACTCTGACACTTCGATGGGAAAGGAAAACCGGTGGAGAAACAGCGAACTCGACGAGACCAACTTTCCTTGCGAGCCGAAGGAATAGGTTGTCAGCTACTGACTAACGAGTAGTAACGAGCAGTCGCAGAGTCTCAGCGCGGTGCCCGCCCCTTGGTGGGGATAGAACGTTCTCCACAGAGGAAAGGACCAATGGGAACGCAGTATTACAAAACTGCAAAGTCAGGACGCGGGAACACGTACTCGATATCGAATTTTCCTTATATTTCGAGATAAATCTTGCAGGACATCGTCATGTATAAATCTTCTCTGAGCAGAATTACGCGTGGTCGATGATCAACTTACCGTATCTTCTCAAACGCCATACTTGATCGACTAAAATCGATTAATCGATCGTTCATTCATCTACATTCTAAGCGGAAACGTTTGCTTCACTTGAGAACCACTGATTCTTTATGCTGATTTTCAAACTTAAGCGAGTCAACGAAAGGGCCGATTCCTAATTTCAGCGTGTAATAAACCTTGCCTTTACAAGTGAATCCAATTATTCAGTGGTGAAAGGAACACGACGTTATATCATAATAACGTGTATATAGAATCGAAAAGGAATGTTCTATACACACCAGAGAACATGTTCTCAACAATTACCACTAGAAATATATTTAACAGCTATGTGATCATTTTTACATACCATATATCCAATTGTGCTTACCCCGCCAGACAATGTAATGATTGTATCTTACAAAATAATGTAGACGACATTGTAATGTTGTAACTACTGTTATCACAATACTGAGTACTAACTATATTCCTTCCACTATCGAAGAAAGTTAGTCTATGACAATGTAATATATTATACAGAGACCAAGAATCTTGATAGCACGCTGTACACTATAAATGTACCACATGAAATGAATGTTCTACGAAGTGCAAAGAAGCTAGATGTCTGACAAATGAAAAAAGGAACTAGAAGAAAACAAAGCATCTATCCATCACACCAAAATACATCTACCTAAATATATGGGAACTGGATTTTGCAGAAGAAACTATCAAAACTGAAGTATAGACTAACCAATAATTTGGTTGAGAAGCTCGATGGAAAGAAGAGAATGCACATATATAACTGCAAATCTGATGAATTTTGAAGACAGAAAGTACATGCTTTCGGTGATACGATAGCTAGAACAAGGCAGAAAATCGATACAACTATACCGCAATGTACTCGGTACCTCGTATGTTTTCTGTCTCTATGAACTTTCAGTAACAATGAGTCAAAATAAAACGACCTATTCGCTTACCAATAAAAATCACTGGTGTGCCATATATCGGTGATACACTATTTCACTACGAAAGCGTGCTGTTTTCGAGGACACTGCAGCTATCAGCAGCTATCACAGATGATCAACACGGTGGAACAGCTGCTGACCGTCTGACAACCGGAAACAGGAACGGTTGCATCGGTTCCTAGTAAGTGGCGGGACCATTTGAACATTAATTACGCGAAGGTAACTCGTATCCGATATCGAAAACGGTAAATTTTCAGGTACATTTGTGAAAATAAAGGTAAGAAATATGTTTTTGGAAAATGTCATCGTTGACACATTTGTCATAATGTTTGCATTACGTAACGCACATAATTGACAATGGAAAAGTATAGTAAATGAAACATGTGCAAGTAGATATAAATTTATCATATCGAATTAAATTTTCTTTCACTTGGAAAGCATTGTCACTTTTCAACGCAAGTATTTTGTATTATTTCAAAATGTACAAAATAACAAGCATTCGAACCGTACCGAATAACATTTTTTTTAATCATTCACGCGTTAATTATACCGTTTCAAATGAATTGTACTGAATTGTATGCATATTACATTGTCTTTGACATTATATTATCTTTTACCGTATATGAGTTCATCATACATTATGTGATATTATTTATCTTATCGTTATTGGTATAAAAAGTACATCCGCAGACTCGGCGAGACTTATATTAAAAACATTGGCATGTTTTTTCTCGGCGCGACCGATTATCCCCCTTTTTTTCAGTCTTTTATACGCATCTATTTTTAAAATGAAAAATTCTTTCGTTATTCGTTCCTATGATAATCCATAAAGGTATGCGTGAACGTCGGCCGCGAATATTCACGCGCAAAATATCTACCGATCAGTCATACAAAGGCTTCGGGACTAATTAACACATTTGATTCAGCGATATAACAAAGTATAAAGAATCGACCGGAGTCAGCCGCGTCAGTGGAGGTCAAGAAGACAGTAGCGTGCATTCAGAAAGATGGCAGGCTTCCTGATGTGCGCAGTGCGTTTTCTATTTTTATTTTATATTAATTCGATCCTTGTGTCACCTGGTCTTACGAACAAACTAGTGCAAACTGTACCGGAGCCTTTAATTCAAAGTGCCTTGAATTCTTTGAACGAGGATTCTCCGACGCATCACACGTACAAGGGCGGTAACCTGATTAGTGCGCAAAAATTGGTATGTGTGTTCTTAGTGCACTTATTTGGAGAAACATATTTCAATTGTCATGAAAACTTATTAAACTGATACAATCAGTAGTACATGTTCTCATATATATCACCGTATTCATATGTACACTAATAATTGCCTACATATATGTTCATTTTTCAGGATGAGTCCCCATACATAGTATATAGACTCACGTTCGATTTAACTCCTGTGTGCAAGGAATCATTGGAACCTTGCCCACGAGAAGCATGCACCGTCGAAGTGAAACAACACGAACTAGGAGACATAAATGTTTTACGAGAATCTATACAGTGTATGTATTTGTATCCCCAATTACCACAGGATGAGCCAATGCAAATACAAGAAAATAATCAGGAACAGGAGCTTATTGAAAATTTGGATAAACAGATTGTAAATAATCAAAGTGTCGAATTGGATCATGAGATTCAGAAAACTGGAGATCACAATGATAAACCATTCATTGCTATGAGAGCTACCAGTCCCAACTATTGTCCAGGATGTCCTTATGAATTAAATCCAAATTTACCTGGAGTAGCTGCTTTTCGAGAACAAGTGTCAAGATCAATGGACGAATTGATCCAAAATGACTTCAAGCACAAGGTAATTGACGTTATTAAAGTAACCCGTGCTGTTCCACCTTCTACTAATGTAATACAGTATCAACTCTTGTTACGCGTGGGAGAATCTGATTGTTTAAAGAATGCAATAGAACAGTCAGACTGTTCTATACAAATAAATCTTCCTGTGAAGACATGTTTGGTAACATTCGAGGAACAACCTTGGCAACAATCTAGTCGTAAAATTACAAAGAACAATTGTACTATGGATAACAGTAAAGACATTGAAGATAATATTAATTCTTATTCAACATTAGGTGTTGAATCGCTTGTAACACCTATACCTAACAAACAAGAAATCAATGTTGAGAAAGCTGAGGCTTTAGAAAACTTGAAAGATATTCTTGACAATTATAATTACAATACAACTACAGATGTACAAGAGCAAGAGGAATCAGAAGTAACAGAACATCCTATTGTGAAGGTTTGTCTAAACAAAAGTGACAATGATGTGAAAGCTCAAGTATTTGAAGATAAAGCTAAAGAATTTCGTGAGTTTTTAAAAGATTTTGATTTGCCTACAAGGGAAGCAAAATCAAACCCCGAGACAAATAAAGAAGAAGTTAAAGAAGAAATCATTGTACCAAAAAAAGTATTTGCAGATTCTGCAACGAATGAGTCCCGCAAACTGTTTAGGAGTAAAAGAAAATCTGGTCTTGTCGGTGCACCTAGTAATACAAATGTTAATGATCCTGAAATAGTGGATGCTGTAAATAAAGGATTGCAGAAGCTCTCAGACAATTATCGAGGTACAAATGAGCCTATCATCACAGAAATTTTGGAAGCTTCGAAACAAATAGTATCAGGAGTGTTATATAAAGTAAAAGTTAAAGTGGGTACAAGTACATGCTCGAAAGGTGCAAAAAATAATTGTCAATTGCAGGAAGAAAGTGAGATTCAGGAATGTTTATTCACTGTATGGTCTCAACCATGGATTGATCATGGCTCTCCAGAAATCACGGTCAACTGTGATTTAAACAATCGACAAAAACGATCCTTACGGGGTGCTCAGTATAGTCAGAAAATGTTGAAACTGTCTGAGGATATCAAAAACGAAACTTTTTCTGAGAGTCTTACTTCAACTTCAGATCAATTTCAGTCCACTTCTAAACCAAATGTAGATGAAAATTCACCAAATGAGGTACCCTCTGCAGATAATAACTTGCAACAATTACTTAAGAGCCAAAGCAAGCATGATCTTGTTGGTGCATCTCAAAGTAAAGACGTAAACAATCCCGAGATACAGAATCTTGCCAATAAAGGATTACAAAAATTTTCCGAAAATTCTGAAGGCACAAACGAACCTATAATAGCAGAAATTCTGGAAGCTTCTCAACAAGTAGTATCAGGATACTTATACAAAATAAGAGTTAAATTAGGCGCTAGCACTTGCCCAAAGGGCGTTAAAGATAACTGTCTGTTAAAGAAAGACAGTGAAATTAAAGAATGCTTGTTCACGATATGGTCTCAGCCATGGAAAGATAATGGATTACCGGAAATTGCCATTAATTGTGACTTAAGTAACCGACGAAAACGGTCGTTGCGGGGTTCTCAGTATGTTGAAAAAATGTTGAACATAAGCAAGAATGTTAAGGAGGAATTTATGTTTGGAAATTTCATCAATGAGTACGGGAAAACGTACAGTTCAGCTAAGGAAAAACGAAATCGTTTCAAAATCTTTCAAAGTAATTTAAAACTTATCGAAGAACTGCAGAATCTGGAACAAGGAACCGCTAAGTACGGTGTTACGATGTTTGCAGACTTAACACTGAAAGAATTTAAAGCACAGTACTTGGGCCTTCGACTTGATTTGAAGCAAGACAACGAAATACCTCTTCAAGAAGCTGAGATACCAGATGTTGATTTACCACCTAAATTTGATTGGCGTGATTACAACGCGGTTACGCCTGTAAAAAATCAAGGCCAATGTGGATCGTGTTGGGCATTTTCAGCTACTGGAAATATCGAAGGACAGTATGCAATTAAACACGGAAAATTATTATCACTATCGGAACAGGAATTAGTAGATTGTGATACTTTAGACGATGGATGCAATGGAGGAGAGATGGAAAATGCTTATAGAACCATAGAAAAGTTAGGCGGTCTCGAATTGGAAACCGATTATCCTTACGATGCCCAAAATGAAAAGTGCCAGTTCGTTAAAAATAAAGCCATGGTAGAAGTTGTCTCTGCTGTAAATATTACGTCAAACGAAACAGAGATGGCACGATGGTTAGTCAAAAATGGTCCAATCGCAATTGCAATTAATGCAAATGCTATGCAGTTTTACGTTGGTGGTGTGTCGCATCCATTCAAGTTTGTATGTGACCCCAAAAGCTTAGATCACGGCGTCCTAATTGTGGGATATGGCACAAGCAGTACGTGTTACAAGTTTTCAATTTAATTATGCTAACGTGTTTGTACCATATAAATAAACCTTCGTTTTTATTTTTCCAGAGTATCCCCTCTTCCACAAAGAATTACCGTATTGGACCGTAAAGAATAGTTGGGGCCCACGATGGGGCGAAAAAGGCTATTATAGGGTGTATAGAGGAGACGGTACCTGTGGATTAAATACAATGGCTACGAGCGCTATAGTAGCATAATGAAAATATTCATGAAACTAATGTCTTTCATAATAATATTTAACTTACTTTAAATAAAATTATTTTTGTTTACTAACGCAATACGCATGTTATATGAACTTTATCGCTTTGATTACGAACAAACGATGAAAGGCTCTCTTGCAAAGTCACAAACTTGCAACAAATTAGATGGGAGTACAGAGTTTTCCACAGTTGTAATTACTTAGAAACATAGTAAGGCTTTCGTAATAAAAAAATAAAGAAATACTTGTTACAATAATTTTGTGTGTTCACATTATACTCATACCCCGCTATAACATTTTATACTTGCCTTTCGCTGAACAAAGAAGTAACAGAATGAATGTAAAACATTTATCGCTGGACATTTTATGAAGATAATGCACAAACACATTATTTATTCACAAAATTATACGAAGTAAAACATAATTCACAAAATTAAAATTATATTCTCTTATCTTGACAATTACAAATATATTACCTTAAACTTCTGAATCAATACAAACAATTCACTATTACCGCTACAACTTGTTTGCATAATTTTTTGTTTCGTTTATTGCAAATTATAAAAATTCACATACGGAAACGATGTACTATCACGTATGTGATTTTTGTGCCGATTTCAAACTAAATTCAAATCCTAGTTACAAATGCGAAAATTACAACATACAAAATAACATGCATCTGTAACTCAAGAATTTCAATGGGTACCAACGATCATTCTCTACAACCGAACATATATTATGGAAACCCAGTCGCGCCTCTCGGTTCGCTCCTTTATCAAAACTGTATCGACAAATGTTAACGATATTCCGTGAATATGTCACAAAGTGTGCTTGCGTGAAATTTCTAGGGCATTCAAACTCTAATATATATACATATATATATATATATATGTATATATATATATATATATTCTACCGTCTTTCAAGCGATACGTTTGACGCACGCTAGAAACTATATTACCATAAACTAAGTACGCGCGAAAAGAAGAATTCTTGTTACAAGTTAAAGGCAACACTCATGAATTACTAATTCCCTGTCGAAGAAATAACGTCACGGAATAAAAATATCAAAGCATCAAAACGTTGTATCCCGTTAATCTGACGCGGATACGAGATATCTTGTAATATGATGTATATAGAAAACATTGAACATAGGCGTTACTTCACTCTGGTGGTACTGTATGGCATTTTTTTCTTTTTTTCTTTTTTTCTTTTTGTGAACTATGTTATCATGTCACAATTGCGACGGGTATATTTATCAACGGTCGTAAATTTATTAGATTCTCTATACTACTGTGTATTACTTAAAAATACATTAAGGACAGAAGTCATGCAAAGAATCGGTTGGTTGTATTGAATAGGGAGACACCAGTATGATGTGTAGCATTAGGATTCGTGTCAGGTCGCTGATGTGTCATTGGAACTTTAAAGGATTTCATTTCCCTTTTCTCGTCGATCATCTTCGAACGAAAGAAGAATAAGATTGATAAAATGTACAGTAGACACAGTAACGTAATGAAAGCCGATAGAGATAAAACATTGGGTAGTCCACTAGTAATAATTGTAAGATCCCCACTGATTGTAAGGTCCATATGCTTGAGGTCCACCTTGTCCGTATTGCCAATTATAATTGGCATAATTAGGGTCTGACGGGGGTGGGTACTGTTGATAGCCCTGTTGATATCCACCTTGTCCGCCGTACTGACCGCTCTGAAATTGCTGCTGCGACTGATAAGGTCCGCTCGGGCCGCTGGTGTACTGATACGATGACTGTGAACTGACAGAGGGCGGTGGTGGTATGCTTGTCTGGTCACCGGTTTTAACTTTCTTTGGAGGGGAAGTATCTCTGAAACACATGGAATTCAAAAGTTATTTAGTAAGTTTCATTCATGACGATGTATATTCATTATTACGTTGGCTTTTCTTGCAACAACGCGGTACTTACGCTTTGGTGTCGTCGCTTTTCGTCTTCTTCCGTTCCTTTGCCTGTTTAATGCATTTTTGGAATTGCTCATGGGCTTTTAACACTTGCCGAATATCGGGACTGAAATCCTCAAGGAATTCTACTTTACGCTGCGCAAAAAGTACACGCTGTTCGAGATCGGCATGCTCCCGTTCTATGAACATATCCATGTACCCTACAATTTCTTGCGTGTCGACTGGGGTCCTTTGCATTCCCAGATCGATCAATTGCAAATAGAGTCTCGGATTATCCTTGTCTTTTTCTGTAGCCTTTAGTAATACTTTGATCGCCTTATCCACGTCGTTTTTGACTTTACACAAGAATCGTGCATACTTCACTGCGATATTATTTGCGATTGTTCTATTCTTACTATTACTAATGTAACTTTCATACAATGTACAGGCTTTATCCAAATCTCCTCGTCTACGTTCCAAGTTTATTCTTCGATATGCCACTTGTAACATATTTGGTAATACATTATCAATGTTTTCTAATATGCTTGCTGCTTTCTCAAAATTACCCTGGCCCTCTTCAAATGTCGCCCACTGTAGATGCAAATTCGGTTTCTTCGGATGATGCACCATACAAGCTCTCGAATAGACGTCCCTTATCTTCTCGACGTTATCACCCTTCAAGGATTCTAAATAGCGAACAAACTACAAGAAAAAGAAGAAACCATAAGTATTTCTCAGGAATCTAGAGCATCGACTAAGTTGGAATGAACCTCAAAGATACTTGACTTACCCGCATCCAGAACTCATCATACAGAGCACATGCTATCAAACACCTTTCGAATAAGATAATTATCCGGTTCTGATCTTTTTGCTCGATTTCGAAATCTAAATACTCTTTCCAATTCTTCAACTGACATCGTTCCAAAGGTTTCACGTGGAAATACGGCCTTTTGATCTATAAATATAGATTCGAACGATAAGTGTGAACTGTCCTTCCCTTATGAACTATTTTACACGCAGTTTATGTATTGTATTTATACTTACTCCTTCCTCGAAGGACCATCTCGCGGCGACTGCGTTGATATTCGCTTTGTGCATTTTACGCCTGCTACTAATGATTTTCTCTCTGATAGCACGAGTTTCTTCGTCGGTCGGTGGAAGCTCGTGCGGTGGAGGTTCTTCTCCAGGTGGTGCATCATCTGCCGCAGACGTGGTGCTGCTGTCGTCAGATTTCAAAAGTGCCTTCACCTCGGCGCGCAACGCGAGGAAATCGTCAACGCTCAAAATACGGTTTGGTAAATTTGAGGAAACGAATTCTTGAAATGCGTCGAAGTGGGAAATGTAGCCGAGCGTGGGAGTACACAGCAATCGATCGTACAGTGCTGTTACTCTGCTAAGACGTTTGCCTTCCAGCTCCCATTTTATGTAGCTTTCCCAAAGACGATCAGATCTGAACGGTAAAAAGATTAGTTGCATGTAATATTAATATCCTACAGTCGAATGCATTATACGTCGCATAAAGTCATAAGTAATTCATACCTGAATTCGAGACCACACGCCTGAATAGCTCTTTCGTATTGTTCTCGAAGCTTTTCTTCATCCTTTTCATAGACAGTTTTGCAGTGGTTGATGTAATGGAGCCAAAGGTCGACACTGAGCGAAATAGCTTTCAGACCTTGGTCGAATACCTGTAGTAATGATTTGCAATCACATTTAGAACAGTTTACAACTGATTGGGCTGGTGGCGGTTTTTCCTTTTTTTTTTTTTTTTTTTTTTTTTTTTTTTTTTTTTTAGCTTTCGTTAAGCATAACGGTTTTTAGCAACGTATACTCACATATCGTACGCGTACTGTAAATAAAGAGGTTTAATTAACACAGAGATTGCAGAGCATTGTGCATTCACCTTAAAGTCAAGGAGTGTTCCAATCTGGGTGCCTCTGTGTCTTCCGCCACTTTTTCTTGCTCCCTCTCTGGCACGTTCACGTCCTAAGTCTTTGTTTCTGACTTTGATTTAACACCCAACCCAATCTTACTTACATTAAGTAAGGTACCGCATCTTATGCTTAAGTTACAATACTTTCTGTAGTAAGCTATGTGTACAAATGCTTACAGTAAATATTACACACAATTTCTTGCATGATAAATATCGCAAATTGAAATCACTAGCCTTCGCTTGACTTACGTATCATACGTAGAATATCGATATAAACGGTATAAGTAAAACAGTAATATTCGCAATAATATTGTAGATATCACAGAATAATTAAGTAACTAGCTATTTGGTAAACGGAGAGAGTCGTATAGGTGCCGCAAGACGTGCTAGGCTGTTGGAAGGGAAAACCATATTTACGTGCGTGCACACTGCCCACGCGTCTTCCTAACTCGAGCTATTTTCATTAGATTTCGTTAATTAAATGATATAATGAGAGATAGCCTAATAAATGTGGTAAACGAGTTGACTCACCCTTTGGACATTTTCGGGGTTCCCCTTCTTCTTCTCGTAATCAGCAAACTTTCGCCAGTAACCGTAGCAATATGGATAACGCTCCAAAAATTTGGTATAAGCTTCACGAGCAGCTTCCGCGTCATTCTGCAAGGAACGATACATTTCAGTATATGCTGTTTATGATAACTTTACATGGTTTCGGAGCTTTCCTACTTACTTCTTGATCAACGTACTGAAGAAGATACGTCCATCCTGTGAAATCCGATGGATCCTCATTAACCGCTTTCCAATATTTTTCTAATTCTGGTAGAGTCTTTTTCTTCGGTGATGCAGGTTTGATTTCTTGCTTATTGTCACCGGTATCCGCTTCGGCTGAGAGTGCCACCTTTTTGGCCGGCGTTTCATCATTATTTTCAGAAGTCGGTGAACTAGGATCATATTCTCCTTCTGCGTTCAACTTACGTTTGTCTGCAAACAAACGCAACGCATTGGTAACGAACTCTTGAATTGTTACACGTGACTCATCGTTGAACTATACTTACTTCCGCCTTCCGCTTTATTTTTCTTTTCCGGAGTTTTACTCATTGCTTTTATTCCGCTTTTCTTCTTCTTTTCACCGTCTGGCGGCAATTCATCTTCCGAAACTGACTCGGTTTCTCCCAAATCTGCAGGAGCTGCTGCTGGCAATTCTTCATCGGACACTGCTTCTGTCTCAGGCTCCTACAAATCCCAAAATTAAATATTATAAATCGCATATGTTATGCGTTACTCAGAACATACCTTTGCTGTGGCTTCGGTAGGCAATTCATCTTCTGATACTGCTTCTGTATCGGGTTCCGTTTTCTTAATAGCACTTTGAGGTGAGCAGTCCTCACTGACATCCATCTCCTCTGCGATTTCCGTTATTTCCGTTGTTTCCATATCGGGCAACTTTTCTATAACAGTCTCCAGAACTTCCGATACTTCGTGCTGAGAATCATCTACTTCCATAACTTCAATTCCCTCGGTACCTTCGGTTAAAATGGTTTCAGACTCGACTTCCTCTGTCTCTAAAATTTCTGTTACATGTGTTATAGGTTCTCCATCGTCAGTTATGACTTCTTGGAAATCTATCAATACACGTTCATTCGTCTCGTCGTTGCTCATATCTTGACCCTCCATATCTATTTGCTCCTGTTCACTTAATATTTCAACTTTATCCATGCTAGCCTCTTCTATGATTATATGGTCCGACACTACATTAGAATGATCCTGACAAACAAAAACATATATATTAAGTTTCAAAGAAAAAAATACTCTGTATAGTCGTTCTAGGAATTGGATCAAATCACAAGGCTTTTCTAATGCAGACCAAAGGAACTGTTACATAGTTCATCAAGTTCTACCTTATTTTGCTGACTTTTAGGCACAACTCAACCTACATTTCTATGCCATCCTCTATACACGTTACTTACAATTTCAGACTCAGATGTGTCTAAGCCTGGTATGGTTTCTTGATCTCCTTCTATGTGTACACTTTGATTCATATTAATCTCATGAACAGTGGTATCAGCAGAATCATCTAGTTCTAAATGTAATATAGAAGATTCATCCTCATTGTGTGGCTGTATTATAATATCACCGAATCTTTGCACCCCATTCTCTGGAATGCTTTCCATAATAATCCCCTCCTGCAATACGGGTTCCTCCTCCTGAAAAAAGAAAAGCATGAATGATCAATTATTTTGACCAAACATGCTGTCGTCTTGCAGTTCGGCAATAACGGGAACTATCTATAGCATTGTCGTCGGAGCTTACGCACCTCGACCTCTTCGATTTCTTGCACTTTTTTCGGCGAACGTGTCGCTCTTGCCAGAAGTTTCTTCACAGGCGATTTCTTTGCCACCACGGTGGTCTTGCGCGTACGGCCGGACCTTGTGCGTCGTACTGGAATAAGCATGAAGGACGAATGAAAAAAATAATTGGAAAATGCGGGCGGAATATTTACACGTTACATGCGTGCGCGAGACGCCATTCGCTTAATGGCGGGTTGCAGGCCATCGCCGAGCCGCCGGGTCCTTAGTTATCGTTGTTACGTTTTCAAATAATCGGATAATTACCAAAAATATAAGATCTAATCGCGGAACGTTAAACGGAGTTTATTACAGGAAGATTATTTTCTTACCGGGTTCATTTAAAGCAATCTCGTTTTCGTCACCACTCGCAGACGACATCTTGCCTCGATGCAGTCTCTGGAATGTAAAACGTAGAATTGATGAAGAAGAAAATGGCGGAAGGCCAGTAGCCCCTCTGTACGTTATTCTTGTACTAACATGAGTAGTACAAAATTGAGACTGATTTATCGTCAGTCGAAAAAGGCAGATCACTCTAGCGTCGCATCCAAAAAGTACCGACAATCGTGAAATGTGACTAGTAATCCGAATGTTTTTCCATAGATGACACCACGAGACTGTTTGATAATATTTATCGATGCGTATTTAAATACATAACTGCCGCTACAAAAAACAATTGTCAATGAATTAAAATTGCTCCAAGAGAATAAAAAACATTCTAACTCTCACTTCGGCTGGTGATTGTCAGATTGTTGAAGTGAGACAGATGAACTCTATTTTCACGGTCAGTGAATTGATATACAAGGCCCATGAGGTTCTATTAACTTCGTTGATTATTGTTTGAACACATCAAAATTATCTTATCTGCAGTGAATTCGTAATTTAGCTGCAAAATTCAATTGGCTCCCCACTCTAACGAAAATGCATCTAATGTATAGGTAAGCATCTTAAAACAAAGATCTTCCTGTCTCCTTCATTAATAACGTATCCAACATCTTTTACATACGCTTGTACACAATTTGTTTTCTATTTTTGAATTATGAATGAAAATCCTACGCGTACGTGTCGCGTGAAATTATAATAATATTTAGAAACGAGGAACATCAAAATATACGCATGTGCAAGAAAAATACGGTGAAGAGCGCAAGTGCACCGGATAATCTATCTTCCGTGAGTATACAACCGAAACGCATCCAATACCACTATCCTCTATGTATATATTTTTGTATACGTGATTTTGTAAAACAACACGCAACGGTGTACATAGATCAATGTTATTATACATTGATGTTCCAAGTTAAACACGAAGCAAAACAAGCGATGCTGAAGAAGACCACGAACCGCTCGATTTCGTTTATAATCCGCCAATACCGAGGATCTCGGAATCCCGAGTTTTCTCATTCCTTTCATTCGTCTTCTTCGAGGGAGATCGCTTCGGATAATAAGCCGATAATTTTTCGAAAGAATCGTTCGTTGAGATTCCGAGACACATTTTAAAAAAGAAAGAAGAAAATGGTGTAAAACCGGTTGGTTGATAGTCGTTTTCCTTTTTTCCCCGATATTCACACGCAACATTGGGAATGTCGGAATGTCGTTTAGCCCGAATTATTTCACACGATAACAAGTGGAGTTCATATGATAGAAATTCGAAAATTTCGCGATAGGAGATGTCTTACAGTGATGGCGGGCGTCCAATCCGAAAGTTCGGCACCAAGTCGCCGAAGAAACTTTGCGTGACCAAGAATGAAAGTAACGACAAAACTACAACCACTATAAATTGTAACAACCATCATCACAATCATTACCACCATAATCATCGCTTTCTCGACACCCCTCAGCCGTCAGTACACAAACGCAATCTCTACATTGTTTCTTTTCCCTTGATACTGCTTTTCAACGTTCTGAGAACACTTCTTTATCAGTTATTCGTGGTATTTAAGTATTTGTATACGTCCACGTCTCAGTTGATTCAACGAAGACAAGCATCCAAGCAGACCTGCCAATTGGAGATTGTAGTTGGTCAGAAGTCCACTGAAAGCTTGAATAATAATCTGAACAATTCTGGACAAACAGAGAACGAGGGAATGTCACAAGTGCCCAGAAGACCTATAGGTCCTGGCCCTGGAGATCCGTTGCTTGCTAAACAAAAACACCATCATCGTAGAGCTTTTGAATTCATAAGTAAGGCATTGAAAATCGATGAAGACAATGAAGGTAATATATTGATAACTCGTTTTGTTCTTTTTGTAATTACACTAAATTTATATATCTGTTGAATAATCTTTTTAGGTCAGAAAGAAATGGCGATTGAACTCTATAAAAAAGGTATCGGTGAATTGGAGAAAGGAATAGCCGTAGAATGCAATGGTGGCAGAGGAGAAGTATGGGAACATGCTCAAAGACTGCACGAGAAAATGCGCACCAATTTAGCAATGGCGAAGGACAGACTTGATTTTCTTGGTTTGTAGATTTGTATAATTAATAAATGTTACATTTCTTGAGCTGTTTCAGTCTTTTGTCGAATAAAAAGCACAGCTTGCACTTGATATCGTTAATGCAGACTTCTCTTTTGCGGTGACTTGTTAATCTCAGATTAAGTCCAGACAACAGCTTAAGGAATAATGTACAGTTAATGTATCTGGCATGCTCATGTATTAATTGTTTATAATGTTTACGGCGTATGCGTGCGTGAGCGTATGTATCTCTTATGTGTGAACGTACATCGGCGTGTACGCATGCGCGCGTTATCTACCTTTCTTTGATAATTTTATTTTTGGCACAATATATTTTTTTCATAAGTGGTGCGAATATTAATGTATAAATTAGTAGCCAGACTTCATATAGCAGCATTTCTAATAGCTGTTCGCGATGCTCATTTCATACTTTAATACTAGTCGTATAGGTAAAAATTCTGACAAAACTTGACAATATCTCTGAGTTCAATCAGTACTTAGCCATTTAGCCTACTGCAGCATGGCAGAGAATGTTTTTCCTTTTTGTAGTGAGTGTGTGTGAGCTGAAAAACATGGATATCTCCAATGAATATCACGGTCCTGGAAATAGAGTGGACACCGAACATCCAGGAAAGAATCTGAGGGCCCGTCGCAATATACACACATTACAAACAACTCGATCTTCTTTAAACACAAATCATACAAAAAACACAAACAGTACACAAACAGTGAACATAGGGCAGAATACAAGTACCCAAATTCCCAAGTTAAGGCCTCGTTCACCAAAAAACTATTGTGCCCATTCTGAAGGTACTGTTTGTCTGATGTTCTGGGCTTACATGCAAACTTTCCTTGTAAATTGGTTAAAATAATAATAATAGTCGCTTCGTTGAAAGTGTTATTTCTATTTGATCTTTAACACAAGCATTTATATTGTTTTCCAATGTAGTTCAAGAGGTAGTAAATGTAGACACATTGTTACATCGACTCTTACATTTGCAGTAGCTTTGCTCTAGCATAGTTGCATAGAATAGTATAGTATAGCATAGTATTTATTTCATTAAAACTTTTTGTAAGGTAAGATTACTTATGTATACACAAACAGAAGTATGTGTATAAAGCAATTATATTAGAAAAAACTAATTAGTCCCTTGCACGAATATATGCTTTGTACAGAGATTGAAACTTTTTGTTTAAAAGATTTATTTAAAGAACACATTGATAACAATGATTTTAATTTAAAACGAAACTAAAACACATGTGAAAAACATACATCTGTTTACTTTTATACATTACATTTAATATTCAAATTTTCTAATGAAGCCTTTTAATGTCAATATATATTCTATAGGTATTATAATACACTTGTAAAATATTAACAATATATTAAACACATTTCAAGATTTCTATATTAACTTCAGTTACATCATCAACAATACCATTCTCTAAGTTTTAACATGTATTTGTCTTGTATTTTATTCTTTGCAATAGTTCCTCTACATTAGATTTGTTGAGAATTTTTCAAGTATGTCCATAATTAATTTTATCTTACATTTTCATTTCTTATACTTTGCTAATTTTATGATATTGTTGTAGCATCTGGAAGAAAGTTATCCGTTCCTGCAAAAAGAGTCGGTACAGCTATAAGTAAGAGTCAAACATTACCACGCAGTATGGGTCGTTCGCCACCAGTTCAATCTTGCCATCGAGTTACGCCTATTAAACCGACGTCTACACCGCCCTCCGTGAAAAGACAATTATCTGTACCTGGAAATGGTTCGCCTATAAGGAGACCAGGCACGCCTACTGCAACAAATAGTAATAGAGGAACGCCTACTAGAAAAGTACCTATTTTAAAGGGTGTGGATCCAAAGCTAGCACAAGTTATTCTTGATGAAATTTTGGAAGGAGGGGCAGCGGTACATTGGGAAGATATTGCTGGCCAAGAGGTTCGTTATATACATGTCATATTTATTCGTTACTTAAGAAAACAATTACTATGCTTTATTATTTTTCTTTTTTAACAAAACAGACTGCAAAACAAGCGCTACAAGAAATGGTGATCTTACCATCATTAAGACCAGAATTGTTCACTGGTCTGAGGACGCCTGCAAGAGGGCTATTACTATTTGGTCCACCAGGAAACGGAAAGACATTACTTGCGCGTGCTGTGGCTACCCAGTGTCACGCCACATTTTTCTCAATATCTGCTGCTAGTCTTACGTCGAAATACGTTGGTGAAGGGGAGAAATTAGTGAGAGCTCTTTTCGCTATTGCGCGAGAACTACAGCCATCTGTGATCTTTATCGACGAAGTAGATTCGCTATTAAGTGAACGGAAAGATAACGAACATGAAGCTTCGAGGTGGGTTTTTCTCCGATTAAATATCAAACGACATAATCGACATTCGTTTAATAAATGATTACCATTCAGGCGGCTGAAGACAGAATTTTTAGTCGAATTTGATGGATTACCGTGTAATCCAGAAGAAAGGGTACTCGTTATGGCTGCTACGAATAGACCTCAAGAATTAGATGAAGCTGCTTTAAGACGATTCACGAAACGAGTGTACGTCACACTGCCGGATTTGCGAACGAGAATCGTATTATTGAAACGACTATTAGCGAAGCATAGCGATCCACTCACATTGGAGGAATTAAATGAAATGGCAGTTTTGACCGAAGGTTACTCCGGTAGTGATTTAACGGGTTTAGCAAAAGATGCAGCGCTTGGTCCTATCAGGGGTAAGTTAAAACTCCTAAGCTTTTTGTATTTATATTTTACCTGCGCCATTTTATCGTTGCATTCAACTCAGACGGACTGTGAATGGATATTAGTGTTTAGACCAGACAGTCTTAGCAATTCAAACGATCACTTAAAGATTGTATTTATATGATTCTCTTAAAATATTACATGTTTAAATTGTGCAGAGCTCAATCCAGATCAAGTGAAAGAACTGGATCTTAATTCTGTGCGCAACATCAGAATGCAAGATTTTCGTGATTCATTGAAAAGAATTCGTAGATCAGTATCGCCAGCGAGTTTGGCCGCTTACGAGAAATGGAGTTTGGAATACGGTGACGTAAGTCTGTGATCATTAAGAAATAGCTGAAAAAGCACAAGGCTTTAGAAAAATTTCGTTAGACTGTCGGCTATATAGTCCAACAAGAAACAAGAGAATGTGAGGTCTGTAATGACAGGAAATATACAAAAGTGACTTTCTGCGATATTAATTATTACAGAATGTAAATACACCAGCTTCGACATTTTCTAAGTTACTTTGTAAATGGTAACATATATACGTAGGAAATAAAATGTCACGATAAGCGAAAGGCACTCTTGTTATATATTGTTTTTTTAAAACCGTATTACAGCCACGACACTGTAATAGTAACAGCTTTATGCTACACACACACACACACACACAATATATATATACACATACATATTCCATACGTATATATGTATAATACATTCCATACTCCATCCAGTTATCAGGTATAGTGGATTTAAGTTTCACACGCGGCAGTGTAGATTTTAGACTTCCAATATCTGTAGTTACACACCCTATGTTCAGCGCTGTTAATGTGCTTTTGTCTGTTTCCATTATAGGAGTCTTCTAGTTTCTAGTTTTAAGTTACATTTTCCTCCATTGACGAGCTTTCATTTTGTTGAATTAATATTAATATTTTCGTGATAGTTAAGTAGGTATCCAAAAGGATGAATTATTACAATAACACAAAGAAGATACAATCCTACAGTTAACACTTAGAGTATGCACTTTTATCACCTAAAAAAAGGATAATGTAAATATTTAATCAAGCACAATTGAGTTGAAGTGGAAGACTGTATTTGCACATGAAACAGCACACGTCCAGTCAGATAATAAAAACAATTAATGTAATCGGAAATGAATGGATTAGTCGCGGACACGTAGTCAAAGTTATTGAATAAGAATAAAAGAAATTAGTAGAAATTCGAAAGTACCTTGTTACAAGCACGTGCAGATTACACGGGGGGGGCACGTAAACGACAGAGGTTTTGGAATGTAAATTTTGTAACGAATAACAGATTTCACATAATTTCTATGTAAACATGTCTAAAAAATATGAATCACGTTATGTTTTATAATATGTTAGGTACTCAATTGACAAGCGATAAAACGAAACGATTATATCGTTAAAGTCTCTTAGCAGTGTATGTATGTGTGGTAAGGTTCATATTTGTCAGGATTGTGCATCAAGTTCTGATTCGAAGGAAATTTCTATAAAACAACGAACTGGAAATATATTTGAATCGTGTGAAATTGAAAATATTTACAAGTGAATAATATCGATGAAAGAAAGAAAAAAAAAACAGAGTAATGCTAACTATAAATGTATGCTATAAAAATGAAATCGCGTATATAAATGTTTTTTGATATTTATCTATTGCTTCAAATGCTCAAAGAAAAGGTGATTGTGCTTGTACGACATAATTACTAATTTTAAAACGAACCCGCAGTTTATCGCGGCGTAATATCAATAGGCTTCAATATGTAGCTGTAACATTGTTTCGCATTGGAAATTATTTCTAATTACTTTCACTGGATTTTACTCGACGTGTACTTGTTTGTGGAAGAAGCTCGAAATAATCATTTCCACTAGTAGTAACTCGTGTTACAGTTAATCCGTCAATGATGACGTTGATACAACGAGTTCAAAGCTTCTGTGGTGTGATCAATGAATGAATTATGATAGATATGTACCTTGTAGAGTGCACGTGGCGTCTGTTAAAGTTTTCCTTTTTACTTCTGCCACTTGATATTTGATTAATCAAAAGACAGAATTGTCTGTTTAACTGTTAGAATTTCCACGTGAGTTGTATTGAATATAGAACGTTAGGAAAAAAAAAACCACAAGAATTATATAATACGTATTTGCAGCACGGAACTGCACACATCATTCTCTACTACGGATAAAAGGAAATAGAACTAACGATACAAACAATGCCAAATAAGTTTAATTTAGCAGTAGCGTGTCACTAAGAACGTGTTAAGTTTGATATGTATTGCTGATTATATCACTTATTTAATCGATGAAATTATAAGACTCGATGTTAACTTAATATTGATATTGTTTCTGTTCCGAGGGTTCGGTGCCAGCACGTATAATGTGGGATAATGTAGAATTGTTTCTTTTCTTTTTGTACATGCACCGTGATCTTAGTCCTTGTGTAACGTTGCGTTCCATGTTATAACGATTTATTATAAGCATAAGTGAAGTAATAGCGTTAATCGAATCTTTCAGACGATCTTGCACAACAGACTGTTATCAATATGAGTATAATGTATATGTACATGTATATCTATTTACAACCCTGGCCTTCCATATTAAAAACACGCTCAGCCTCGATTAAGTTATTTTGCTACTTTTATAACAACTCGTAATAGGGAATTTCTTAAGAATATGAACAGAGTAATAAAACTAACGTTAATTAATGATAAAAACATAAATTAAAAAAAAAAAAATATAAAACTAACAAAACATGGGTTGATTGTTGAAAAATGTTGCCACGAATGTTACGTTTTCCTGACTTCTGATTTGTAAAGTTTCGATTGCTCTTAATTCAACGTTGTTCGTAGTAATTTTTAATGCCGGTATCGTCTGTAAAACACTGCGACGGAAAATAAATAATCGATCGCATATTTTTCAAAGCAAAATTATCAACGAAACAACTAAAATGTGGAAGAATTGCGAAAAAAGTAACGTTTGTATTTCTTAAATGATATATTTCTCATAGATCCCTCGTACGAATTATGCTTTCATTAAATGCCAAACTTGAATTTTCCAACAGTATTATAGAGTGCTTAACTTGTATGTTAAACGAAATAGATAACGATAGTAGATTGAAAATTGCAGTTTCTGTTGAGCTGAAACTTTTAAATAGGTTACATCGGTAGTGTTCTTCGCTCAATAAAAAAAAACGGAATACAACCACATTCAATTAATATTGATATATATATATATATATATACTCAGTAATAACATGCAATTGAATAGTAATTTTTAAGTGTGATTGAATAGTTTTTACATCATCTATTACTGTACACAAAAACAAAGTATCCTATTTAATATTTTGCCGCTGTATGTTTGAAACCGTGAAACGCATGTTCTGTATGTAATAACGTGTATAGTACAAATTGTTCTAGCGCAATTAATTTTTTTTTTAAGGGAACGATTGCAGCTCCCGAGCAAAGAAATTAATTAAATTATTCACATGTGCGATGAATTATGACGTGTCTTCTTGGTTGTAAATGTTACAATATTTCTAGTTAATATCGGTTATATTTGCAGGAGGACTACGATCGTTTGCGTACCGAGGCAATAATACTTTTTGTACTGAATCAATGCAACAATGCACTTATTAAGTTATGCGTCCCATATAAACGATATGTGAAACTGTTGCGTTACCTTTGATACGTCGGAAAGATTGTACTTAGCGTTAAATTTGTATTACGTCATATAATCAAAAAATATTGTCTTCTACGTCAGTCATCCAGTTACGAATAATTTTTAAATTCTCGACGAGGTTCGATGAAAATGAACATTTATCTGCAGTTACGAATAAACGATTAGTGTAAAAGTATGTCGGCTGTAAAATAAAATTACCTTGTATGTACTTAAAAAACTTGTTATATTACTATTTTTTTTTTGTTTACAGTTTTCTTTCAAACCAGTTATAAGCGAAGGTACTGCGTTTCTTATAAACTTAAAAAAACGACTTTTGTTATTATTTCATAACTTTATATTTTTTATTAACGTGGGCTATGAAATAATACAAAATACTGTGTATTTTAAATATTTATTCCTTTTTTTGTTTTCATTCAAAGGACAATTTGTTTTTATTATAAGATAACATTATCCTAAGCATTTTTCAAGGGCTCCACACCCTGCTGTACCTAAATTACTCTTTATATAACATTTTTCTTTTTAATGTCTTCCATCGGTTCACTGATTATTATTAAATCCATAGACAAGTTTTTTTTTTCTTTCTTAAATTGGCTCTCCGTCGTTCGATATCACTTATCGCAGTCAATAAATCATTGCTATACTCGACTTTGTGTTTCTCCTGTTATTACGTGTACATTCAGTACTGACTTTATACAAATGGGTTTTGAAAAGTTTATGGCTTTTTATCGTCGGTGGTGAAGCTTAATGTCAATTAGTTTTCGTTAACTCTAACTCGCTCTAATTCCTTTACCGTTGATCGTTACCAAGCTATTCGTTAACTGATTTAGAATTCGAGGCGTAGAATGGAAAATCATGTTCTCGAGATACAAACAAATAGAAAGAAGCACTGTCGTTAAACAAAAATAAATATTAAAGCTAACTGTTTAAACTCAAGGAATGAAGTTCTATAAAAAAAAAAAAGCGTGCAAGAAGTTTCTACTGCATATTAATTGGAAGACACGAAGGTATAAGTATCGTGCCGTACGATAGTTATAAGGATGTCAAAATATCAGATAATACAAAAGGTGATTGTCAATTGATATACTGATTGGTATGAGACAAAAAATCCTTGATATACCATCATATTTAGGGTCTACTTCAGGGAAACGTAATTCTAACTTTTGGTGCACAAATTTAACAGAGACAGAACGATAGTGACTCCGCGTCCCTTAGTGGAAGTTTTCATTATTACCATTATACTTAAATTACGTTGTAATAATTTACACCAAGGTTTATCGCTTTTCTGTACAAATAGAGAGGAGTCACTAAAGTGTACATAACGCAATGTACCCAAGTCAAAGTTCGACATAAAAATATTTCATTTCTCAACACACCTTCTGGAATATGTTCTTTTAAAATTTGTTTATAAGAAAGTTTTTGTACATTTACCACCGACGATAAATATCACATAACGAGGAAAGTTTACAACTCGTTTATCGACTCGCATAGTGTGTATTTTAATAAGGGCCCTGCATACGTTAACGCATGCATCCAAATCTAGCTACATCACAGGCGCCGTGTCTACCTATACTCTCTATCTTATTACTATGTTCAATGTCATACTTCGTGTTTACCATAAATGAACGTTTCTCCCTGTCCATTAATGATTTGAAATAAACTAAAGATTGGTAATTGTGGCAAAAATATTAAAAATATAACAACGCAAATGGTCGCATACATACGTACACCTTACGCAGCATAACGGATGCAGGGCTCGTCAAGGGGCTGCAACCTTGAGTTCGGAAATATACCTCATTCAACACCATGGATATAAACTTGTTTCGAAAAGATTCTTCAATCACACTGACGGATCGACTGCTACAATAAATTTGTTTCGGTTTTCTTTTTCCTTTAAATTCTTTAATGAGCACTGCAAGATAAACTTGCATTTATTAAAACGACATACGTTTCTATTGTTCGGCAAGGGAAACGTATAAAGGAAATATATATGTATATATATATATTTGCGTATGCTTTGTGCATATATATGTAAATATATATATATATCACGTTGAACTTTTGATGGAACAGTTCGATGCATCAAGAGCGTATCAATATCAGTCAATGTTGGGACAACCAAATTTAGGAGCTTTCTTTACAGTGTAGTACTTCGTTTGAAGTAGAACTTGGATATTCGTACATATGATGCTGCAGTCAAAATACCAATAAATCTGTTAGAATAGGTATATGACAGAACAGTTTTTGCGAAAGCCCCAAGGGCAAATGTATCATATGTAACAATTAGTTGATGCCGATCATTAATCAATTTCATTGCGTAGGATATTGTGGCATGGCGTATGCTACCATGGGCTGTTGACCTGGTGGCAACGGTGCAGTCGCAGTCGGCGGTGCGGCAGTTGCTTGTGCAGGTTGCCATGTTCCTGCACCAGGAGCAGGCATTCGCATGCTATTCATATATTGAGCCTGTTGTCCATAATATTGGCCATAGTATTGAGGTTGCAGAAACTGACCCTGCATTTGTGGATATCCCGGTGGATACCAGTAACCCATTTGTTGGCCATATCCGTACGCGTACTGACCAGCTCCAGCTGTAACCTGTTACATAAAATACAATACATTCTTAGATACTTTTAATTTTTAACACAGTGCAATGACTGAACATAATCCTTTCGAGTAAAATGCAAGAAAAACTAAAAATTGAATAACCTGTTGAGCTTGATGATTTGCATTAGGACCCACACTATTAGGATCTCCGTTTTCCTTGCCCCAAAAACATTTAACAATGCTACCATTAATTTCTGTATTATGTGTAGATTCTATGGCACGCGTCGCCGCTTCCTTATTAGTAAATTTAATGAATGCATATCCTTTGTCTTTGAATACTCTTATGTCTTGGATGGTGCCAAACGGGGAAAATGTTTTGGTTATTAAGTCATCCGTAATACCATTCGTAAAACCTCCACAATATACCGTGCAATTGGTTGGACTACTCTGATTATATACCTGTTAAGAATAATGGAGAAAAAAGAAACAATAGAGAAACAAAGTTACATTCAAATGACTAGAAACAAACAGTCTTTATGCATTTAAACTAGATGCAAGGACAAACAAATCTGTGCTCGTTAATTACAGAAAGCAGTGCCGTACCTCTTCATAGTTAGGTTTGCTATTATTGGAGTGTCGTGGCCTTTCGGACCTTGGTGGTGGTGGTTTTCTAGTGGACCAATTTGTCCTAATGCTTCTAGATCCGAGCCACTGACCGTTCATCGCCGCTATCGCCGCTTCGGCTTCGGATTTCTTGACAAAAGATACAAAAGCGTACCCTTTACTCTTCATGGTTTGTGGGTCACGAACGATTCTACAGTTGCTAATTTCGCCGAATGGCGCGAAAGCCTCCTTCAATGTTTGCGTTTCGATCTCCGGTGACAGATCCCCGACGAATATGTGATGGTGATTACTGGTGTCCAACTTCGGCTGATTTCCAGGGCTCGTTGCCCAGTTAACCTTCATTTCCTTATTCAGGAAGGACCGCTTGTTCATGGCGGCTAGCGCCGTGGCCGCGCACTGATGATTCGTAAACTCGACGAAAGCATACGGATCGTTTCCCGGTTCCCGTATGATCTTGCATCCTTTCACGGAACCTATTTGCGAGAAAAGTGCGCACAAAAGTTCCTCCGACACCGAAGCGTCTAGATTACCCACATAAAGCGTTCGCGGATTGCTTTCTTCGCTCATGCTCGCTCTTCTCGGTACCCCTGTGTACTTCCTTTATTTAACTACTATCCTTACGTTCCTCAGGCTTAATTTCACGGTTCACACGTTCAGCGCGTGGTACGTGCATTTACCTGGAGCCCAGCATCAGAATTCGGATTTTCTCGCCTTTTCCAAAAGAACACGGACGGTTGAACGCGAAGCTACACCCAGCCTCTACGTCATACTAACATAAAATGGCCGCTCTGCTGCTTCGCCACTTTCCCTTCAATCATCCGCGCGTAAATGCTCCTATTACGCCAGATTTAGTTATGCGATATCACGGTTCTTTCGCGTGCGTCTCACACCCTTCTACCTACCTCCCCTAATGCTCCACAATTCGACCGAAATAATGCGAAACTTTCACAGTTTAAATGTAAAAGAACACGTGTTTTTGTATCATCCGTCCAAGATTTCATAACAGGTAGCGCGAAAACGCTTGTGAATCATTGGCCCGCGAAATTCACTAGACGAAAATTCCCTAAAGGCTGCTTTACATGAAATTCGACCGCAATACAAAAATCAGTCTACCGATGGTGGTCGATGTTTTTAGCCCCTTTACCGTTATTCAACCTATATAACCTCTGAACAATATAATTGGGATGTAGAAATTTATATTGTTAGAAAATTATTTCGTTGAAAATTATTCATTATGCTCTGAAGTACCCTAGAATTGCACAGCCTACACGTTGTCGTACAATTTTGAAAAATATATCCAATAAAATGATACGATACGTATGTATTTACGACTGGAAGACAGTTCTGACTTTGAAATTATTAAAATTGATTCTCTCGTAAAATGTAACACATCGTGACGTGTAAACGATACATAAATTATGATAATTTCTGTTATTTTTGTAACACGTTTCGGTTGTTACAACACAACCATTTATTATATACACAAGAGCGTATATGTACAGAAATATTCCTATATATAAAACTACTTTACTACCCAATTTAAACTGTTAGTAACAAAAATTACAACATAACATTATTTTGGTCATATACTATAAACCACTTTACTCAATTTAAACTTTTTGTAGTAAAAATTACAACGTAACATTATTAAGGTTGTGTAATATTGCCTTTGAATATACAGAAACATTTAAAAATTATTTAATTTTGAATATATATGCAACGAGCTATGTATAGAATAATACTATACATATATAAATAAGTATATTGGTATAATCTGTATTAACAATAGCACGACTTTTAAACATTATTATACAGTAAAACATACAAGTACTCCTAACTTCAATGGTATAACAGGAAAACTTAACTTATAAACCACAATTAAAATGATTATGCATGGCCATGTACAACAAACAGCTGAAGTTATTAAAAAAGAAAATACTTTTCTTTACTGGCAGCAAATGTCTTACTTATTTATTTTGCTTTAATATAAGCTGGATTACTTGTAAATGTCAATTTTATAACAGAACAAAGTACCTATAATAATTGTATCATTGCATACAAATTATTAGTACTAGAAAATAGTATTAACCCTTTGCACTCGACTGACGCCTCTGAAGCGACAAAATGTATGGGAAATTAAAAATTAAAATACAAAGAAACGTTCTGAAATATTTGATCTCTTGGTTCGAAGTAAACTTCGTTATTGTTATTAGAATACAGATAATTTTCACGCTTATTTACAAAAGAACGTACAAAAATTAATAGTTCCTCTTTTTCTATTGCACTGATTTTTCTTCCGATGACACGAATGTCGATCACTTATTTTTCATGGCTTCAACTTGTAACTGGCAAGCCAGCTTATACGAGCAACAGTTACGTTCACAAAACCGAATATACAAACTTAAATTGCACGTTGATAAATTTCATTGGTTCGTGGTTATATTCAGTCTTTATAAAATTACATTAATATTACGACATATAAAACGTTATGTTTCGATAATTACTTAGTAGGGCTATCGAATGTTGTTGCACCTCGAATTTGCTTGATATTTACATTAAAATAAAAGTAAATCGGTTGGATAACAAAATGCTCTTACGCAATATAAGATGAATACTTATTGAACGTTTGTGATGATTCTGAGTATTACGATGTTATGTGTCCCTGTACAAGTTTATATACATATTCCACGAGTCTAGAAAATCTCTTGAATTGTAATACTTTGATCCGTTACGTTTGAAATTGAGTAACGAGAAGCTTTGTTGCTTTCGCAATATCATAAGCACATGAACGTACTTGCTGCAGACAGCGGTCCATGTGTTCAACATCGCTGGTACATCTTTGAAGACCGGAGCACTCTGCCTGAAGTCTACCTGTATTACCGTTCAATTGTCGTAGAGCAGACCTAACATTTTCCTCGATGGGATTCTAAATATAACAATATATCATAAAGAAATTCAAATAATACTAAACGGTAAATCTGTAATGAACGTAATATCATACTTGAGGAAATATGGCTGTAAGTTCAGCCACTGCTACACGAATTCTTTCTGCACAAGGTACAAAAGCTTCTCGCTGCTTCGGGTCTTGCATAGCCATCCACAATTCCTGAATTCTTCTTGTGACTTGTTCAGTTCTTCGAGTAACTTCTTCGCTGGGAGGAAGATTGGGAGCACCGCATTCCCATAGACTTTGTGTATTATTACGGGACATCGTGTCAGGATCTCTCTTTGTCTACGTGTTACATTTAACCGTGAATAATAATCACCGAAATCTATACCTGGAAAAGTTTTCGGATCAAAGAAAAAAATTCAACGCGAATACCTGACAAATAGTTGTTGACCACGGACTGGGCTTCCGCAGACCCTCCCTTGTTTCGTACATAGACGCAGGTCGCTGATTACTTCTATTAAGAGATGTCTTTATATCGAGCACTGGTTCCAACTCTGGCTCTTGTTCGCCACCGACGTGACCATTAATCACTCCATCGGCTGTTTCTTTTGCCTGTGGTTTTCAGAGATATTAGATTTCAATTTGCGACAAATAAATACATTAAATACGATCGATTAGTCGTCTTACGTGAATTATTTGCTTCAGTTCGTTATTTTCATGAGTGAGTTTTTCCACGGTGTTCTGTAAAGCATGTATCTGCTCTCGTAGATCCTTGACAGTAGATTCGGATAAAGTTAATTGTTTTTTCAAAACTTCAACGACAGAAGGAAGACCCTTGGCTAACGGTGCAAAAGCTTCCTATAATAGTATTTTAAAACACTTTTTCAGAATCTATTATTTGGTGGAAAAGAATAAAAAAAAAGTATTACAAGTCACGCTTTGTGATTGTTACAAAACAAAACACATAATCAACATGTCCGTGTTATGAATTTTAGTAAATAAATTGTAAAAAGGTGAGGTAATGCAAATATTCGATTATAAAGTAGAATGTTCAAGTCTCTACAATTGCAATGGCAATGGCTGCACATGCACAAACAGACCTGTGCACTTGCCTAATAGCACTGTCTACAGAAGAGCCATGTACTTAGCCGATTCCTTATTCTTCGTTTCGTTACTAGTGCCGGTACCTTCAATGTGTTACCATACAATTTTATCTATTCTAACATGTAACTCAAGTATCATTCATCTTATTTCAATCAATGTACTTGTTTCCAAGATTCTGTTTTACAATGAAAAATACTGTAATGCTCACCTCGTTATTCATTTTAAACTGTGATGCAGAATACTCGGGAGCTGTATTGTCCGCCGATGTCAACGCGTAATCGTCATCGGACGCAACGCTATCGTACAAAGGCTCGTCGTCAGACATTTGCGATCCATACTTTCCTTGATGTTCTTTACGAAGTATAGATACAGTGGGATCTAATAACCAATATATGTGTTGATGTAACTAAGGATTTATTAATTACATAGAATCATTTACCTACCTTGCAACGGTGTATTATTTGAAAGTATATGCCTTCTGCGAGCCTCAATAAGCAGATCTATGATGAGCGTAGCAAACTCCTTTGGTGTAAACCTCGCTAGTTTCTGTCTACCTTGATTTCTTGTAGACGATAGCTGCGGATTCACTGGTAGAAAAGGTACTGTACATCGTTCTGGTAATGTTGAAGTAGCAAACCAAACTAATCAAGAAATAAAGAACTGCATTTTAGAGATCCAAGATTTGAATTTACGATATCAAATTATCGCATAACATGGCAGAAGCGTCACACTTTCTACAAGTATTCTTCTATTTAATGTTAAGAAGCTCTGACTTAAAAACTATTATTTAAAAACTGCAGGCTTGCAATTTAACTCACCTCTCCTTAATGATGACGCAATAAAAAAAAACATGCATATTAATAAACTAGCAGTTTAATAAGTATATGTATAATCACTTTAATCATGTCTAGAAATAAGTACATAAATGTAAAATCCAAGAATTCTGGATACTACATAGAATTCTTTCTAGATGCTAAAAATCTATTCTTTCACTGAAATGACTGTTTGCGTAATATGATACAAGAATTGACTCACTCTCTTCGTTCTCACGGCGATCAACTTCGTCATATACGTCCGTTGCTAGTTCCTCCAGTAAGTGGTTCGGTAACTAATTAAAAAAAAAAATCTAAGTATCATACCGACATAATTTCGACGTGATTCAATACTCACCAGCTGTAATCTATTTCTTCCTTCTAAGCACAAGTCACTCTTTTCCAACAGTAATGAACACTCGGGAATAATTATATGTTCATTCATACGGTGATCAGGTTTGCGTGAACATACATAGTATGTTAGTCTGTCTGTTACTTCATATGTGCAATCAATTATCCGTTCAGATAGATCTACATGACCTGTCATCCTAAACAACAAGGATTACATTATTACAATTAAATAATTATTTTCTTATGTATGCTTATACGATATACAATATATTTGTGTGTACTTGGCAATTTCAGCAGGTGTTTGTCCATTTAAATCAATCACATTGGGATTGCCACCATTCGCTATTAGAAGCTCTATCTGTAAAGCCTGTCCTGCCCGAGCAGCTACATGCAAAGGTGTTGTACCCTTTTCCTATAAAGTTACATATTAAGCTCTGCACTTGCATTATTGAAATGCAAATTGACGTTTTAATAGGAAATACCTTGTAAAAATAATTTGGATTAGCACCTTGTGCAAGCAATCTTAACGATGTTTCTAAGTTGCTTGTACGAACACTACTATGTAGCTGCCTACTAACATCATCTTCACTGCAACATTCTTCCTTACTCGGACGCAATACAAATGCTAAATGTTGATGTTTTGCCTTAATAAAATCAGCCTTTACGGGACTACAAAATACAACCAAATAATTCATGGTTAAATTTACTGTATTCTGTATTTTATTATGACATAGACAATACTAACTGCAATGGATCTTTAGCTTGGGGTTTTCTTCTACTAATTTTTGAATTATTTGGATCTAAAAGGGAATGTTCCCAAATACTGTTCGCTCCATTATCGTTTAATGTGTGCACCATCTACGAAATATATCACATTACTACTCAATTCGTGTATTAATTTATAACAGTTTGTTATTGCTTACTAACACTAAGTAAATTTGTATGCCATATACTCTTATGAAGTGATTTTACATGAGATACATGACGACCAAGACTACGATGTATACCACAACAATCATCGCATAATAAAATGGCTCTGTTCACAGAAGCCCATCCTGGCTCTGAAAGAAAAAAAGTTATCAAAATTATTTAACAACTGTATTACAAGCTTCTAAAAAACATAAGAACGTCTCATATGTATGTAAATAAAAGTGGCCCAAGAGGAACGTAAACACATAATTAACATTAACCTTTTCTAGCTGCATCAGCCACTTATTTTAACCAACTAACAAAAATTTTTTAGCGGCGTCTGATTATGCAACGTTATAATGAATGAAAAAGGCACAATAATAAAACGGTACGTCAATAAATAATTAAAATGGAAGTATGGATTTACCGAGGGCTCCGCAGTCAGCGCAAATATCCGCGTTGACTCTGTGCTTCGGCCGAGCCATTCTCTTTGACTTCTATGTCGTCAAACTATACACGATTATCCTGGACTAGTTACAAAATATTTAAAAGCTGTGACATAATGTATGAGTTGCCTCAGAAACAACAATACCGTAGAGAAAATCGAGAAACAAGAACCCTGAATCTTGATGTCATTATATACACGTTAATAAATCGACCGTGACAGGAGCCATCACGAAAGAGTCTGAGATGGTTACGTTGCACCCGTTGCACCATTGATTGAGCATCCTAGAAGACACGCAATCATGCAATGTACTTTCGCCTATATACGCTACTTCAACAAATTCTTCTCTTTTCGTCAAGTTCACTATAAACATTACAAAAAAAGAGCGTAATACTTTTAAACTGTCGGTGAACGTTGAAACGTGATAGTCTTTTTATTAAAAAAAAAGAAAAAGAAAATACAACACAAATATTCTATTAGTAGTTAAATAAATAGATTATATAAAAATTTGTAGTAATTTTTATTTAGTAAAAATACATTTATATATTAATTTTACACACACACACACACATATACAAACACATGTTTCATTAGATGTTATTTACAAGTTATGTAATAACAATGACTATTACTAGTACATATATATATATATAAGAGAGATATATGGTGAACGATTCCTTGTGCTGTTTCAATCAAAAATATTTTCGATAGACAAACGATTTCTATATAGATCGCGTGTATACCGTATCACCTGATATTTAAATTGAACAGCACACACTGAGACTGAAGGCTCCTATTGAATGATGGAAAATGATTTCAATTACTTTTAGTCTTATATTTCCTTTTTATTTCTAAGTAGACACCTTTGAATGTATTATGGTCAGGTTCCTCGAATAACACGATTGATGTTAAATAGATTCTGGTGAATCTGAATATAAATTATGAAGGTCTGTGAGCACTTTATTGGAAAGGTATGTTCTGCTTAAAACAGATGCGTCCGTATCGTTTTTCTGATATAAGGATTTAAATTTCTTTCCATCTGGTGTTTCTAGAAAGGTCATACTCGACTTTAAAACCATATATTCCCTCAAGGAACGTTTCTGCTGATACTTAGTAATTATAGGTGTAAGTTTTTGAGAACAGTGTTGCACGGCAGGGTTTGCATGCGCGATATTAAGTTCATTTTCTAATTGTACAAAACTCTCATCTGCATTATGGTTCTCTTTATCAGTCGTATCTTCTTTTTTAGATTTGCTAGTATTTGTACTTTGTATCCCTGCTGCAACATTTTGTGAAACATGCACAGCATCTGACTTCAAATTCTCTTTTGGCGGTTCTATTAATTTGCAACAAATTTCTATTTGACGTTCTCTGTCTGACATCGTATTAGACACTTTCTCTGATTCAGAGTATCCCTGTTTTCCTTCACAGACTTCAGATTTTGCCCCCGTTTGGTCTGGAATAGATAATAATTTCGTTACATGTGACAACGTTGATTTTATCTTAATTAAGTTTTCTTCTGTTGTAGATACAAGATTTTTCAATTCGCACTGTAGACAGATAAGTTCATTTTTGTCTATACAGAGCATTTCAGACGAAGTATGCCTAATGTGTACATTGTCATTTTCAAGTGTCATCATTTTTGTATTTTGCATATCATCGCATAAATTTCCAATACATTCATCTTGAGTTTTTGGCACATCAATTACATCATATTTTGAATGAATCTCAGTTTGGGAAAATACTTGGTGTAACAAATTGTTTTGGACACTTAATGGATCTTCACCATTTACTGTAACTTGTTGATAATTTATACACTGAGAAAATGGCACAGGTTTTATTACATTTGGAATTTCACAACATTCTACAGAATTTATATTAATACTTAGACCTGTATAGTTTGTATCTGCAACAGTTTTATATTCATTAGGTGTTACACATTTCAGTTTGTTAAATGTTACACATTCAGATTTGTTACTGTGATTCCTATATGGTTTATTATTTAGCAAACAAATGTCTTTCCCTTGTTCTTTTTTTTCTTTTTTGGCAGAATAAGTGAGAATTTCACTTTTTTTACCAGCAGGTATATTTTTCTTTGAGACTATTGGTAATTTTACATAATTATTTACTTCTCTTGTAGTTTTTTGTAAATATTTATCTTTGATACTGTTTGGTGGTAACAGGAAACTTTTTCTTTTCAACGATTCAGTTGATTCTTTGCAAAGTTGAATGCCACTTGTAAAATTTCTTTCCTTGAATTTGTTTTTATTGTCATTTTGATCTTTTTGAACATTGTAGCAAATATCATTGAAATTAAGATTTCTTCGTACACGGTTATGAGAACACACAGATTGATCATATGTACATAGTTCTAATAAAAAATAATTTATATATTAGTAAACAATGTTTGTACATTAAAACCATAATTATGAACTTTACCATTGTATTGCTTTTTTACTGTTGAAGATTTTGTACACGAGCGTGGGCCCAATCTTTCAGGCAGTCTCTTCTTACGTGCTGAAACACATGTTATCTTAAATATTACAAACATATATAAAATAATGATAAAAAGATAATAGTTACAATGGATAAAAAAAAAGTATCTGCACACTTATGTCTTTTATGATACCTACGTTGAAAAGAATTTAAAAAAACAAAATACTAAAAGATGCACTATTTTAAAACTAACTACAACTTGCAAATGAAATTATATAGTAGACACTATTAAATGTAATCCAAGAATCTGGAAAATGTTTTAAGGAATGTGTACGCGTATAAATAAATACTTTCTCTATCCACAGTACAAGATATAAAAAAAAATACATGTCCATTTTATCCTTCCGACGATTACAATGTAATACAATAAAGAAAAATAGATTAGACTAATCCACTGATGCAGAAACATAGAATCGGCTGTGTAAACCATGACATATATGTTTTTTATACCCTTACATATACCAACCACTATTCTTACAGGTACTTTTGGCATCCTCAGCTTCTATGAGTAACTGTTTTATTCTAATTGGTTGAGTCCTTTCATAACCTGTGAAGTATACAAATTTTATCTATAACATTTCATGTACTTTCTTGATTTAAATGTATATTGGTATCACCTTTTTTTTGCGTGTTATTTTCATTTGGCCTTGGGCATGTTGAACATTCCGTAATTCGTACTGGTAACGTGTTACGTTTGGATTTACCCTGATAGAATAAACGCAACAGGATGAGCTAAGTATTTTTTTTATTATTTAACTTTCAAATCTTTCATTTACACTCACCGTCGAATTAGACTTAATGAGCATCATATTCCATGAATTTTAACAACATTACTTCATGTATCGTATCGGATACGGAAAATTTGTTTGCTAACTTACTACAGCACATTCCCTTTACATGACATTTCACATAGTGCACAGTAACCGTTAGAGTTCATAAAATAGAATGTAAACGTAAACAAAATTGAAACGAAAAATTCAAATCTAGCAGTTTGGATAGTAATAGCCATTAAATAATAAAGTATAGACGACCGGCAAATGTGAGACTGTGTAACGTGTTATGTACCTACATAATACGGCGTGTTTACAACATGTATAAAGTGCATCGTACTACGAACTAAATTAAATTGACGTTTGTCGGATTACAAGTTTATTTTGTCAGTTCCACATTTGAGCGTTTCAATGTACGGAAATTATTAATGAACTGCAAGTGTTGGTAGATTGTTGGATATAAAAAGAGTACAACACACGATTGGTTATCTGTTTAAAAGTAACGCTATACTACGCTATACTGTATCGAGCGCGAAATAATTTCCGCAGCTTTCTTATCTACAGTTGGCTACCCTCCGAAGCACGTTTGTCAGCCATTTTGTTAAATTTATTTCTAAACGTATCCCCTCCAAATTGAAAACAACCGAAGGTCGACGCTGTTCTCGATCTCGATAAAGTATTTTTGGTTAGGTTAATAGCTGTGCAGAAGATATTTTAACAGTAAGTAAATCATCGTGATCGAGCTTGTTTCTATCGGTGGTGAATCAGGATAGCGAATTTCTATGCACGCAGCAACGAGTGCAGGTCTAGCCGTAGTTCGTAGTATGTAATCGGATGGAAGGAGGCTTGGCGTAGAGAGGCTATGGCCACTACTTTGATCATATGTAAAATACAGTTGCCCGATCGGCCGCCCTTTGTTTTTTCACTACGATACATTCACCACTTCTTTTGCTTGATTTCTCCGCGGGGAACTATTTCATCTCTTGAGATGCTTCTTATAACCTCTAAAGTCATAACCTATATAATATAACCTTAGATGTCAACATTTTAAGTATTCCTGGACGAAAGCGAGTTTGTCGGAATCGTACGTAGAAAATCCAACGCACTCAACCGACGTGTAATTTTCAGTTCTGTAGTTGTGTATTTCTTTCGTCGAGATTCAGACGACAATTTCTTTCCGACATTGTATGTTACAGTTACAATATTAAGATATATTTGCATCGAATTAATTTAAATAATGGGAGATATTTTTGAATGTAAACACTTTTTACTTGTGTATTTAGAATCTTTTGGTGAACGTAATTTTTCTTTTGTTATTACGGTATTAAACGTTCGTGTTTTAACTTATAATGTTACTCTGTTTTTATATTTTTATCATTATATCAGTGAATTATTATTTTCATTTTAAGAGAAAATTATGATAAATGTGTCGAATCTATACATATATTAATTATGCATGTGGCTAATGAAAATGTAGCTTCTATATTATGTTAATATTTAATTGTGTTAACCAATACATAATTGAAATCTTTATATTTATTATTCTTGTGTATGATGATGAAAACTATTTTAATCTTGTTTCCATAGTATAATTTGCAAATAAAAAAGTATAAATTATGTTAACAGGAATTTAGTTGGACTTTTTAATTTCAGTGATTTCAGTGATCAAGTAACTCTACATTATAATAAAATGGATGTTGCTGGAGATTTAACGCTACAATGGGTGGAGGAGGTGGGAAATGTTATTCATGAGGAAGTAATATGTGGTTTAGAGGCAGAGTTAGTTGCCCCAGAGGAAGAAGTGATAGGGGCTTGCGAGGAAGTTACAGTTGAGGAAACTGTGGAATCTGTTCCTGATGTTACTTCTACAACAGAGTCAGAGATATTAATGGTTCCACAGTCAAGTGACATGGAATCTATTTACATAGTACCACAAGATCAAGGTCACGATTACCTAAACATACAAGTTACAGAAGAAGTAATTGCGGATAATTGGGACAGATCCGGGCCTGAGGATGGGTAGGTTTTTAAGTGAACCATACATTTAATTACATTTAACGAATATAAAGGCTGACTAATTGTATGTTTTAAAGGGTTGAGATACCGGATCCCAAAGTATCCCATGACAATTTACTTGAATATGATGATATGGAAATACCATTACCGATCGATCAGGATTCTTATACAACTAGTAGACCGTATCCGTGTGATTTTTGTAGCAGAAGGTTCAGGAAAAAGGCAAATTTAATGAATCACATGGTGGCACATCAAACGGATCGTCCACATGGTTGCAATCTGTGTGGAGCACGTTACGCTCGGAAGTGTGATCTTATGAATCATTTGAAGATTCATGCGTACGCGCCGTCCCGAGATGGTCTCGAAGATGATTTAAACGACGATGATCCATTGGCAGCAGAGGAGGAAGAATCTACCAAGGGTAGACGTAAAAAAGTTCAGTCCAGTGCACCAAGGAAACGGAAAAATAATTCGTCTATCCCAAAGCGCGGTATCGAAGACAGTAAAATGGATATGGGCAAGTACGTCGATGAATCTTACGATTATGTTGACGAAGATGCGCGTTTGTTAGAAGAAATGACCAGTAGACATTCTACATGCAGTGGTAACTATGCATCAAGCTCGAAGTGGAACGATCAGATATCGTCCGTGTCAGCTGAACCTCAGCCGCCAAGGTGGCCTATAACCGATCCGACAAAACCGTATGTCTGTCAATTCTGCGGTGTTGGTTTTGCACGGGAAAAGGCACTTGCGTCTCATGCACGCATACATGGTGGTGACAGTCCATTTGAATGCACATCGTGCGGCGACATGTTCTGGGATGTAAACAGTTTAAGGGATCACGTGCGTATTAAGCATGGTGGCACTGTACAATCCGATACCGAAGAATACGACAATGATGCTACATACACAGGCGATGAAAGATTTGGAGAATTCTATTGCAACACCTGTGGTGTTCCGTTTCACCGTTTGGATTTACTTAAGCGTCACCAAAAGTAAGATTACCTTTTGCAAATAAATAAATTATGTACACTTGTTACAAGTTCGAAATACCGATTGGGGATTGTATATAGTTTCAATTTTCTGCTGATTTACAGGAGAATTCATAACATTGTGATATTAATTTTAATGTTGGTTACATTAGGATACATATTAGGCAAGAAGGTGATATGATGGAAGGATCGAGTCAACATCATGTTTGCAATGTGTGTGGAGAATGGTTCGAGGAGGCTTTAGCATTGCTGGCGCATGCTGAACTCCATGCTAGGTAGTATTTACAGAGAGTGCGGGAAAATTGTTAAATGCGAATAAATTCATTGCTTTTCTTGTTCAGATCACCCAGTCGCCGGTGCTTGTTGTGCGGCGAACGATGTCGCGACGATGCTGAAGTTGCGGAACACGTCCGTCAAAATCATGCCGAAGATGCGCCACCGAATACGTGTACACTTTGTGGGAAAACTTGTAAAGATAAACGCAGTTTATTAAAACATTCATGGGTTCATAACGTTGACAAAACTTTTGGATGTACAAAATGTGGGAAACGTTTTCACAGCAAAGCTAGATTACGAAGGTATTCATTAAGAATATATTTTGTTGCAAATTAGCGAAATCAATTTTTTTACTTACACGCGGTAATGTATTTCGTCAGACATATGGTGTCGCATCGTAATAAGATGGTAGTTTGCGACGAATGCGGAGAAGAATTTCCCGACGGTAGAGCCTTGGTTAGCCATCGTCATTCACACAATAAAGATTTGGGCGGCCGTTCTTTTCCATGCAGAGAATGTGGAAAAACATTCGGAAGTCGCAGTTCCCAACAGATTCATATACGTATCCATACTGGAGAAAGGCCGTACGGATGTAGATTTTGTTGGAAAGCGTTTGCTGATGGTGGAACCTTGAGAAAACACGAACGTATTCATACAGGCGAGAAACCATATGGATGTGCTATCTGCCCACGTGCTTTCAATCAAAGAGTAAGGAACATTAGTTATTCGAGGGTGCAATTTATATTTGTTGTATTCATATATATTGTACATTAATGTTTAATCTTTCTCGTGCGTTCAGGTTGTTCTCCGAGAGCATGTTCGTGCTCATCATTCAGGGCCCGATCCGAAATGCGTAGGTAGCATTACACCGTATTTGTGTAAAGTATGCGGCGATGCGTACGCAACGTCTGAAGAGATAGTTGCTCACATTGTACAACATTGTGACGATAATACTGCGCTCAGACGTCAGCCGCAAACTGGACCGCGTAAATATAAAAGAAGACGTAAACTTAAGCCTCATGAAACCAACACAATGTTGCGAATGGGTGAACAGTACGACATGATGGAAGGTGGTTCTGATTCAGATGATAATACAAAGAGAAAACTTGGTAGAAAGAATAAGCAACATCGGTCCAATGTTGAAGAAGGATATCAAAATGTTCTTAAAAGTTTCGAGAGCTCTTTGCAAAACATAAACTCGATCGTTAGTAACTCGAAGTTGAATCCAGGAAAGTCTAAGCTCTCCAAGAAGAAGCTTAGGAAGGAGGAGAAGAAGAACGAAGCCCAAACTTCGTGTCAACCCGGTAGACCAAAAATGATTCACACGCAAAAGACAAGAGTGCCTGTAGAAATCGGTAGTGATGGAGTCAAGAAGGGACAAAAAACTAAAACTATGGTAACAAGGACTCCGAAAGTAATGCCAAATGAACATAAATTAGGAATCTTTCCAGGCGGTGAAAGAAATAGGCCAAGAACAAAGAATGTTAGTTATCATATCGAAGGGAAACTTCAACCAGCACCGGCAACATTCCCAAAACCAAAGGATGAGATTTCAAAAGCTCTGACGCCAACGCATCAATTGTTGCCGTTAACACATATAAAACTCGAACCTAATATGCCAAGAACACCCAGTAACAATCACAGAAATAACAACGGGAATATTCTTGGTATTAATAACGAAAAGATGGAAGCAACGACCCGAAAGAGGTCGGGTGTCTTGAAGAAGGTTAAGAAGCAGAAACACGGAATCAAGCAAGAACCAATGGATATTGATCAGGAAGAGATACAGAATAATAATAATACAGATAACGCAGATTCCGCAAGATTAATGGAACATGCGGTAGACGGAAGTAATCTGGAAGTTGCATTTGAAGCAAGTGTCACTGCTGAAGAAGATAAGTATCTTCCTGACGTGGGGGAAGTAAATAATCGCGAAGACATTGGAGCTGGAAATGTAAAGCTTAGTGTAAAAGTCGAATCGACACCTCAACGAATGTTGGCTGTCCACCATAGTGTCATAACACCCGTGGATGATATTCCAGAAACTATAATACCAGATGCTGTGGAGTATACATGTGAGATGTGTTCTGCAGTATTTTCCAGCCGTGCTGAGTTGTTGGTGCATGTTCCAATACATATTTGATTTAATTTGTTCAACGCAATTAAAAGAGGTATGCGAATTTGTTCTATTCTAAGAATGTTTGTTTAATCAAGCAATATTTTAACATGGTCGATGAAGATTTATACGTTTATTTGAATTATTGGCAATACGTTACTATGCCAAAATGCCCTCTACTCGTTGCTCTATGAAGTGCACTAAGTTTTTGTGTTTAACATATATTTTAAAAGTTGATGCTGTCTTTAGTTTATTGCGCGTCATTCTAAGGTACATAGAAACTTTCGAATGTACTCGTTTCCAATTAATAACATCATCGTATTCATTTTTATACTACTCGTGTTTCTATCAAACTGAAAAAGATATTTGGCTCGAAATTTATATCGGATCATGGTACAATGTGAAAAGTTGCAAATATTTTATACGTTTACAATGTATGAAACCAGTCACCCCAGTCGAAGAATTAGACCAATATCTTTCCATCCGCAATTTTATGACAAAAATCCGGTTTGACAGAAAAAGGAAGAAGTAACATTTTGTGTACATAAAATGCTAAGGTATTCAAAATATTAAAGCGAGTGTGTTCTATAAATAATGTCACTCGTTTCTATAAATTAAATTTACTTTGTACATTTCATTTTAGCTGCTAAGTGATAAGATACGATAGAAAATTTGTATACAATATTAGAAGCTGACCACAGATTATTTTTCATAAATTAATGTTTTTTTTACTCGCAATAATACTTAGAACTGAGGATAGGATAATTGGTTGATATGGTGGTAATCGTTTGATTTCCATTTTAAAAGTAAAAGATGAAACTTTTTAAAGAAACCTGAAAATACGCCAGTTTTTCCTAAAATCGAGTAAATGTTGATCTTACAGTGGAAATACGTACATTGCATACATTGCGCAAGAACATTTATGCAAATTGATTTTCGTTATTATCAAGCGTTTTGTGACCCAAGGAACACGAATATATTGTTACTGTTTCATTAGTATTTATTATATAATAAACGTAAACTCATTATTATGATATACTTTGTTTACATTAACATATCGAAATGGTTCTGGCAAGATTATTATAGAACCATCTTATTACATTTGGTATTGTATATGATAGATTGTATGAAATACTGTGTGTAGAATTTTACCAAGAAGGAAATATTAAAATTTAAACAATTTGGAGCTTAAAATTATTTACTGTCTTTTTTGACAAATCTTCTTTATTTTATGTGTATATCTTAATCATTTCTACAACTCTGTTATATGATTGGTAATGCTATATCTTAGTAGAATCTGATGTCTTACTGTTATCGGGTACTACCTTAGCATTGTGTGGAACAGTACAATTTGTAAACAAACTGAATTATGTAATTCTGTTTCCATTAATATAAATCTGACTATTATATAAGCTTCTAGAAGTACAGCTACATTTCTCAAGATCTAATGTTGTAAATTTAAACAAATATTTTAACAGTATCACTCAATAATATTTAAATACTTTTTTTTCTAAAAAGAAGTAATGGCAGATTCACGTTGAAAATGTTCTTTTTAATTTTGTACTTCAAAAACTTTGTTGTGTTATTTATTATTTCACAAAGTTCGTGTAATACTCCGTCTGTTTAATGGATTTTATTAGTGCATACCAGACATATTGTTTATCTTATATTGTTATGTAGAAAGATGTAATTTTTACATGAAAATAGCAAAAGTGTCCCACTACTTTGCTTATATTTTAAATTTCATTTGTTTCGTATTCAGAAAGGTATTTGCAACAATTGTTTAATTTTTTACATTGTTTGAGATATTGCAGAATCATACAATTACATAACAGAATCTTTAAAAGCTTAATACTCTTTCAACAGTTACTTGAAATTTGGAACATATGTGTGCATATATTTTCTTATATAAAATAATTGATATAATTTTACTGCATTTACTGCACTTAAAGCAATGCAGTACCTTTGCAGTATCCTTTCTCAGCTTCAAAATTACATGTATATACAATATATATATAATTTTATGTGTGTGTATGTATGTATGTATTCCAAAAAGGCTTCAGCAGCATTATGTATGGCAATCAATCAAAAGCATAGCAGTGTGCGCCCTATTTTTGTAGCCAGGAGATATTTTTAATATAAAGAAAATTCTGATACTATTTTACAAAATGTGTACACACACACATATATTATTATTATTATTTCATGTTTAATTGCCATGTCTCCTTAAGAATGGTGCATAGTGGCCATGATTTTTTTTGTTTTTTCCTTTATTTTCGTAGATAATGGGTTAAAAAAAATCGTTGAAAATAAATGAAAAACTGACAATTGAATCATTAAGGAAAAAAGAGTACTATCGTAAGTCTAGTTGAGTAATAAGAGTGCGTCTAACAGTTGCATTCATAGGACAGCATCATATTTTGTATGTTATGTACATACTTAAGGAATGACTACTTCCTTTAGAGATATTTGTAATTATATTGACACTATTTGACAGAATACTCTAAAAATCAATATATAAAAACACTTAGAATAACATGGTACATGTCAGATTTTGTACAGTTTGAAAATTATGGTATTAAAGTATCTAGAAACAAAAACAGTTATATGACCAATGTAAAGTAACAACCTTTTGGATAAAAAAGAAAATGTAGATATACATTTGCATAGGAAATGAAAAATTCACACAAACGTTGTTATATCGTGCATAAATGATTATTATTTCAATGTTACTCACAGTTACATTCCCGTTTAACGGTAGCTTTAATGTTTTTTTTTATATCTTGAGATTAAAACGTTTGGCAAATCTGTTTAGTTAATGTGTGCATAGAGCAGCTAGTGCAGGTGGCAGCAATTGCAAAATCTGTAAAACGCTCTGTTCTAAAGGTCTAAAGGTCTTCTCCCGCTTAGGAGAAATAAAAGGAAAAAGAATATGTACACAATTTTTTCATTCTTTTTCAAATGCAAAAAGATTAATCGCATGTAAGTATCCGTGACTTCTTTTTAAGAATATATAAAATATAAATACTTAGCGTAGTATACAATACTGTGTTGCATGATACAAATTTTAAACATTTTGAAAAGAATTCTCATATATATCACTTTAGTTGTAAACCGAGGTTTAAGAATATGTAAAGACATACGTGCATTAAATTAGCGCATCTTTGGTAGGTCTATGTTTAATATCTGTCAAGGATGAAGTAGTTAATAGGAAAAACACAACAAACTGTACATATTATTATCTTGGATATGGTACGGTGGTGTATTGTTAATCGTAGATGTATTTCTTTTTAAATAAATTGTCAGCAATTACGAAGATACAATTAATTACATCCGCACAAAGTCACGGATAATTCAAGGTACATATGATAAAAATGTATGTACAATTGTAAATATGCATTCAGTTATACACCACGAAATTTTGTAAATGTCATTTCTATATCATAAAAAAAAAAACGTGTTGGAAGGTGTGCAGATCACGGTTACAGACACATGATATCGTATGACAGTTTTGTTAAATTTGTCTATAAAGTACTTGACTTGTTTGTTTCTGTCGTAAATGAAATTTTGAGCGAGGTACAAACTGCGATGAAAAAACTATGTAAATCAATGGTAGTGAGTTGCATATAACTCGACTTGATACTGTGTAAAGTCTTTGAAACTTTATATTATTAAAGTCATATTAGTGGTATAATAACAATGTTTTCATCATTCATAAAAATGTATAATATTATTATCTATGTTTATTCTAAGAGCAGATAAATAATTTAAGATACTGTATCTTTGACTAGGGAATAAAATCACAAACACTATAAATTTCTTTTTCGAATCCCATGCATATAACAGAGATTACAACTAAAAATGCTCCAACGATACTGGTGGATGAAGGATGGTCTCCAAAAAAGTATACTTGCACAACATAGGCCAATATGATATCCAATGATCTAGTCACTGATACCTTGCCTGCACCTTCTATTTTTAATGCATTAGTTACTAAAATTTGACCACACAATCCGGTGAACGCGACTAATAGTATTTTAGCCCAAGTGATCCAATCGAGGGATAGTTTCAATTTTTGTTCATGATGCTCCGATACAAGAAAGAAAAAGAATACTGACGTAACAACCGACCACCAAGATATATTGAAGATTATCGTAGAATAATGAATTTCCGAGCACTTTCTCATAATAACTATGTTGAGAGCTGTGAAGAATGTTGCCAGTATTGCACATATGTATCCCATAATATTGTATGGTTCAGACCTGTGTACCTAAAAAAAGAACGGGGTTGGTAATTAGATAGATTTTGTGAAACCATTAATGAGTAAACACCGTACTAACAATTTGTCTCTTTACCTGAAACAGAAATGGTGGTTTAGATACGAAAACCACGCCTGCAAAGAGTGCACACACGACCATTACACGTAATATTCCACAAGGTTCTTTTAGAAAGATGAATGATAATGCAATAACGATGACTGGTGAACTAAATATAATAGTAGTAGCATCTCCTATGGCTAACTTTCGAAAACTGTAATACAGCAACGATAGGGTTGCACCTCCCACTATTCCCTACGAAAGACAGTCCATTAGAGTTAATTCGTAATTTCACTTATTTGTATTACTTATTACGGAAAAATTTGGTGTTCTACCAATTCTTTAAAATTAACATACCTGGAAGTGTAGCAATATCCTTTGACCCTTGGGACCGAAAAGACTTTTGGAAGCTTTAATCGCTGCACCAGCCATAACTAACATTTGTAAGATAGATCTGATTGCTAACAACACCATAGGATCTACATTTTGAATTGCTTTAACTAACGCAGAGCTAATTGTGAAAAATGTACCGGAGAGAAATGCTAAGAATACACCAAACCATTTGGTACCCTCTCGATACGTTTCAGCGTTGTTTGCGAATTGCTCTGTATATTGGTACGACGGATGTATACTGTTGTAAGATGCAGTAGACTCTATGCTGAACTTCATCTTCATGATTCCACTTCAACTTAACAGTTACGGAATACAATTATACTGGATAAGATATCGACGGTATACTACCGTCCACCGTCTGCCGTCTGGTACAATTAACATACAGCTTTGCACGTCAAAACAGCTTATGGGGGATTAATGACGGTAGGAAGGATTTGGAAAATATAACAGCGATCGGATTGAGATCTGCTAGGCCGTTGTAAATCTGTAAAAACTATATTATAGTAAAGTATAACGTAAACGAGTATCTAAAACATTTATCACTCTGGTTTCTGTAGCTGTAGATACTTTTCGAGTTTACTATTAGCACATAGGAAGGAGTTATCCCTGTAAAATAGAATTTCAAGAATCACGTAGAAAAACATTTTATTATAAACTTGTAATGTAAAGTTTTATAATTCTAAATTGCAATCATATATACTCAGTCGTTTGTTTCTTTATATCACTGAGTATGCACAGAGACATATATGTGCAAAAGAGATTAGTCCTTTCCAAACTGCAACTTAGATGTTGGCTGATCTATGCGGTAGAGCACACTACCCAAGTTAAAGTACCCTAAATATTCAATAGTTTCTGGTGTTGTATCAATATGATAATGGCCTCCCTCTCCATGATGAGAAAAGCTGTGGAAGTGTTGAACACGAAGATCGACGTCCTAAAATGAAAATTAACACATACGTAGTACGAGATGTATTCACGCGTGGCGGAAGTTTAATGAAATTACACTTACACTTTCAGAGCTGACGAATGTACCAACAGCTACAAGAGGTGTTGACATGTTATAAAAATGTAACCAATTGTTAAGTTCCTTTTCTGTGTTCAGTGGGGTTGTAGAAAAGTCGGCCATAACGTGCTGCTTAATTTTTCCATCTTTCATTAAAAATGTTCCTCCTAATCCTATAGTTTTCACATTTAACATCAGTGTTTGCATGATATACTAAGGATAAATATATTGTTTGTAAAATATCCTTACCCACAAGATTTTTTTCATAGTGTTGTGCCATTGCCTTTTGCATACACGCAATGAAATCATCATTGCCAGTGCGCTTCTTGGCATGTACTTTTAATACTTGTCCTGGTTTTCCATCGCTAACATACAAGTTGGCCAGTATAGCTAATCTTGTTTCATTATTAGGTAAATTTTCCAATACACAGTTTCCATTTGTTTTATCAACAGATGCAATATGAGTTCCACTTTTTACCCCAGTGGGTGAGACTATCATATTCATCATAAGCTAGAATTTTATATCCCATGAATGTATTATTTGAGTTAAATGAGTGAGAAACAGGAATTATTAAACTTACCTCACAATTGCAATTTAAGTGAGGCCATGGTCCAGCACCTGCTCCAATAACAAAAGGATTTTTGCAGCACTGCAAGTGTTTCAAAAGTTGTTGTACATCGTACAATTTATTCCTGTGCACAAGGGGGAGCAGGAAAGATGGACCACCAATTTCCAACACTGTTGGATTACCTCCTAATCCTAAATATTTAATATAGTATTTTAAATATGAAAATATTTACAACAGTGTTTTACATTTGAAACATTAATTACCTGGTGCAGCAAGTGTAAAAGGTTCCTGTGTTAAGTCTGGACAGTCAACAACTTCAACTTGGACATCAAAGAAGTTTCTGGCCAATCCTTCTTTTAAGACTGCAGAAAAGAAAAAATGAAATGTTGTGCCGTTCAATGTTATTTAAAAACTTCCATTACATTTTAATGCTAAGTAATAAAAAAATTACCGTCTTTTATTTCATCTAGCGGAGGTACATGTAACTCTTTTTTTACGATGTTAATTTCATTTACATCCAAAGTGGCCATAGTCGATATGTTAATCTATAGTTAAAAGAATATTTATTTTTGAAATAATCCTAATAAGAAAATGTAAAGTAATACTCTGTTTGACAAAAAGTAAAACAAGGTATTTTGAACGTAGTACTTGATCTGCAGAAAAAGATTTTTACTTGGAGAACGTTTAAACGTATTGTGCACAGGACATAAAAGAACTGACGGAGGGTCGAATAAATTTTGTTATTAAAACCTCGCTCTTATCTAATCATATGTTTGTGCACGATTTGATATCGTGAAATTAAAAACTGTATTACATTCGATTATTCGATTGCAACTGCGGTAACATGAATATCCAATATTGATCTTAATCTTTGGATCGAATTTGATTTGATTCAACGAAACATGTATACATGCACATTCTCTATATAGTAACATTGAATAATACTACAAGAATATAATAATTTAAATTCTCTTCAAAGCTATTTGAACAATGTTTCGTCTTTAAATTATGCATGATGAATAATACATAAACGAATACTTTAATAATAAATGTTATGATCATACAAATAGAATTATAAATAATAACACAAATATCAGTAACATAATGACAGTATATTTTTCAGTGAAGTGACGTAATCGCCATACATTATTCTAGAAAAAAAAGACATCAAACTTAAGATAAGATAATATGTTCTGATTGACGTGGAAAGTTTCATCTCGGATGAGATACAGGATATATCTAACATGAAATCTTTTTCTGTTCCCTACTCAAGGGGCTTTAAAGTTTTATTGCCATTTTAACTCTTTCGGCCCGTTAGTACAATGTTTGTCACGCTTCTATTTCGTAATTGTTGTATGGTGGTACAAAAACTGTACCGCCTAATAAAATTCAATCCAATATCGTATAGGGATAATTGTTGTATTAATACTATTAAAACGGTCTTTGGCCTCTGTACCTAAAAGAATTATAATAGCATCACGACATTACATATGCCAAATTTTGGGCATAATTACAGAGAAGTTTGCTCGTGTACAATTTTGTCGTCAGCTACTAAAAGCGATCTTATGAGGGGAATACTGTATTTAATTTCACGGTGCTAGTGCTGTCTTCATTGTGTAGTACCATCTGAAAGCAAAATACGTTACTAATTGTCTAATAGCTTAAGCTTTTTGTGGTAGATGACGCCACGGGTGATTGACTACATTTATTATTACGCGTTAGAAAAGTTAATTAGAAGCTTGACAGTCGACAATTATTAACATAAAATCCAACAATCAATCTGAAAGCATTGCAGAAAATATTTAATTGTAATTCTGGCGATTTTTCTGGATTTTTTAAATATATTATGTATCATTGAACACCACGATATAAGAAAGAGTTCTCACTTAGGATAGTAAGATTCAGATTATCAGAGAGGAGTGGGGACATTGACTACCGGCGTGGAACTCAACGATAATATTATTTTAAAATGAATTAACCGCCATTTAATGTTTGGGATGAAATGTGCTCGCACTTTGAATGTATGCAGTTATTTGATTCATTGTAAATATCTATTAGTCTTACAGTAACTGTGTTATACATGTTCTCTTAATAGCAGTCAGAGAAATATGTCTCCAAAGCGTATAAGGGAAGGTAGGCAAATGAAACATTTCAAACTTTATTATGTAGACCATTGTTTAAAAAACATCAGAGATTTTTCACTTTCAACGAATAATTAGATAATTTTATTGTGCTTATATCTGTAGATTCATTTTATGATATATATAAATGTATCTTCGTATGTGTACCTTATTATTACTTTGGCTTAGCTCTAACAAATGTTGCATTTGTGTATACTTTTTTAGAATACAGAACACCATCGTCTGTCAACACAAGAGCTAGAAGGAAAAAGCAACACAATAATGACAATAATACAAGCAACAATGTACATTCGATAATTAACAAAGAATCAAAGAATCTGAGATCAGAAAAGAAAGGTAACTTATTGATCAGTACAGACATGGAATCTATACAAGTATCACATAATGATACTTTAAACGAGACAACAGATAATTTATCTTCTCGTAGAATGTATTTCAATAATCCTTCATCACAATTAAGGACACCAAAAAGCGTGTCTTTCACAATAGAGTCTCCAATGGCATCACAAACATTTGAGAAATCATCTAAAAATAACAGCTCACAGTTAAAGTCAAATGTATCCAAAGGCCATGTAAATGCAAGTCTGTCGATAGATGAAGTATCAGACTGTGTCGAAGATGTCTCAGAATCAAAGAATAAAAACAAACGAGCGACTTTGAATACTACGAAACAAAGTCTAAAAAAATCCTCAAAATCTCCAAAGATTGTTTTAAAATTGTCGAAATCAAACTCTGCATCCAAGAAAGAACAATTATCAAAATTAAAGATGTTAGACAGAAATGAAACCAAAATTTCACCACTGAACAGAAGAAAGTCCATTATAAATAATATAATCATAAAAAATACAGCTGGGTATGACACAGATGAAGTTGTTTCTACAAATGGGAACAACATAAAGGATACTCTTCTGTTAAAGAAACCAGTAGTGATACTTCAAAGACTTCCAAGTATTACTCCATTTACATCGTTTTTATCTGCCTCAATGGAAATGTCTGTCAATGAATCACATAACTATAATAACAATACATCTCGGAAAATATCAAAATCTAGAGTTAGAAGATCCAATTCGAATGCTAAAAATAATGATAAAAGAATGATTAGATCACCACACAAATTACAAGAACCTGTGGCTGAACCTTTAATGTCCTCAACACCCACAAACTGCAGCAAACTTCAAGAAAGAAGTGGTAAAGACAAAACAATTAAGACATCTTACACACCAAACATCACCTTTGATATGAACAATTCTGAGACATTAGATAGTAAACAACAAATCAGTTTATCAGCAGAAACTGAGGATTCAGAAGCAAGACACAAGAATGGTACATACGAACTTGTCATGCCTAAAACACCAAATTTACGAAGAAAGCTACGTGAAATGCAGAACAAGGAAATTGACCAAATAAATTCAAGTAAAAAAAAAACGAGAAAAGGTTTCAGTCAACGTTCTTCGCCGGACATGAATAGTACGTACGAATTTCTGTTACGAACGTCACCCAGCAACAAGGAAGTTACTCCAAATCCAAACCACACTTCTCCCACAAAAAATGTGAAAAAAAATGTTTCAAAATTACCACTTGTCCTGGGCAAAAAATCGAGTTACAGAAGCAACAAAATCGTTTCAACTACTGCATCTGTTACCCCGTTGTCTAAATCTCGTAGCAATTCGAAGGCACCTAATAATGCAAAAACTGTTTCAAAATCGTCGCCATTTGTTCCCTTTATTAAAAAGCCAGGTAATCTTCGTCAAAATTTAATATCTAAATTTATTTTATGTTATCTAGCAGAATGTGTGTCTGTCTCTTGATTATTTTATGAAACGTTGAATTAATTCGTGCAAAGAACACGAAATAACAAATATTTACTATTTTAGATCCGAAGAAATCCGCAACAAAAGAACTTCCAAATTTCGCTGAAATTCATAAAAGAATGTTTGCCAAATCGGAATCTGTTGTAGATGCTAAAAGACGATTGGAGGAAAGGCATACAGCACTGAGTAATATATCACATTCCTTTAGAACTCATTATTCAGTTTTCTTTTTCTGCAAAAATTTATTATCGATGTCTCGATTTTCTATCTCTCTTTTAGCTACATTAAAAATCAACGATTTGCCAGGATCTAGTACTAAATTGAAGAAAAAACCATTATCTCATAATTCAAATAGAAGTCCTCATAATCGATTCGGATTCAAGATAAGGAAAAACGACGCTACGAATTGCATTCTAAAGAAACGGAACTTCAGGTATTGTTGTAAAGACTTTTGGGAATTTGTGGTTGTAAAAATTCTAAACACCGTAAATCATCGATGAGTGTTCGAAGGTTCCTAGGCACTGACACTGAGTGTTCAGACGTCATTCCCACCACTGTGCGGTTGATTGGTTCCACGGGGAACTCCCCAGTGATAGAGACGACGTCTGAACACTCACTGCCGAGGAGCCTTCGAACACTCATCGATGATGTACTGTAAACCCCTAGTATTCCTCATCTGCTGTTTAATTTTCAGAGACAAACAACAGCAACAAAATAGAGCGATTCTGCAAGGTGTCAGAACAAATCGACGTTTCGAACTTCAAATGAAGTTCAGAAATATAAAGCCCTAAAATAGGTAGCGATCTTAAAGTAAAGTTGGTGGACTGTCTCCTCGAAAATCTTCAGTATTTCCATTTAGATTTATTTTTCATCGAATAACGATCCTTTTTTTGATTATGAATTCAGATACATGCCTACCATCCGATGACTTCAATACATAATACACGTTTCGTTAGCTTAACAAGGCACATTATTTTATGTAGTTATAAACTATTCGAATGATTGTGTTTAACACGTTGGCGCCCGATTTTTGGCTTGTATGGTTTAAATCCTCGCCGGTGACGCAGATCTGCGACAACGGGCGCCAACGTCTTAATATACGTTTCATCGGACAAATCTCACGAGTCATCGATGAATATTGAATAAAAAAAGTGCAATGATTTCATTGTTATCAGACTGAAGTATCAGGCGGCGGACGTAGTTGTTTAGCCAGTCGTTTATCGCGCGATTCTTAGGAGTGAAAGAAAGAACGAATTTCGTGCTTTATCAGGGATTATTGGTAATCTTATATCGTTTATATTTTCATGCTCGTTTTAAATGTTTACAAAGGAGTGTATGCGGCTCTGTTAATTATCGCTATTATTGCTCACTCAGAAAGCAAACGACAGCGACACTAGCTGGTTTGCGACTTATTGGTAATTTAACATGTGTCACTGTTTATTGCCAATTAAAGTCAGTACGGTCAGATCACGATCAATCTGAATTTAGACTGTATCTTTCTCATTGAATTACGGGTAAGCTATAAAGACCACTGTCTGATTTGACGTGATCTGACCGTACTGTGACCATTAGTGTGAATCTGGCTTAAAAATTCCAGCTCATCTATGTATCGATCAAGCCAGGCCTTGTATAGATGTTTTCACATATTCATAAAATTTAACTTTGTCTGTTGATGATATGTAATAAAGTTATATTTGCATCGGTGAATATAAATCATTGCGCCTTTTCCAATCCGCACTTCAGTGTGATCAAAGAACTTAACACTATTCGGTGTTCCCAAGTCTAAGATCTCAACCGATAGAGAAAGACCGACTTCGACGTTGAAAATCAGAAAAGTTTTTCCCCGTGCTAAACTTCCTCAAATATTTCGAACTATAAAATCAAGTGTAATTGCCGTTTTTACATCTCAAACGACGCAACATTAATGCGATCGTCGGTGAGTTTCGAACTCGGTTTTATTTTATGAATTATTAATATTGTTTTACATTAATGCGCCACTGAGGTTACACAAGGTTGCTAAGATTCTTATTTTTGAAAAGATCGATCTCTTTCCAGGCGTTGCAAAATCTTTTTCGAATTCCTTTTATAAGCATTTATATAATTATTGTTATAGTTATGTGTACATAAACTCTGTTGTGTTCAATGTGTTCTAACAAGAGTACAGTCACAATTGTTTATATTTGTTATTTTTCGTTTCGTAAGTGCGCTAAAAAGTTAATATCTGTGAGTCTAATGACAATATTATATTTAAATTTTTCTGAGCGATCGGTTTTTGAAGTATTGAACAACCAGATCGTAGTACATGTCAAAATTCAACACTTTTCATGTGTACCCTGGGCGATTTATACGAAAACAGACATTCTTTAAGTCTTCCAAAAATTGTATCCCGATGATTTATACAATACATATGATGTGACCAGTAATTTACAGCTAGAAAATGAACTTGTTCGATCAGCTGATTCAATTTTTGAATCTACAAATCTTGAGGCTTTTCAAAGCGTATTTTCTACGCATTTCCATACACATGTATGTGTATATGTATATGCGTGCGTCTTTATCTACATAATACCATTTAACTTAACTGATCAATAAACTATCGAACTTTTAATTGAGAAACGCATAGTAAAACGTTAATTACAAAAAAATCTAGTTTATTTTATTATAAAGAAAAGGTAATGAAGTTTTAATTTTGTAATACATACAAAGAGATAAATATGTGTATATACATATGTATATTTAATAATGTTTGAAACATTTACAGAGTGTATGTCGGTAAGGTTTGTTCCTCTTATCTACTGCAATATATGTTCATCGTAGCGCCCCTTGGTTTTACAGAGTTAGATGGAGAATACGACGACGACACAACGGCGTACTACTATATATATTTACGTACAATTTGCAAACAGCTGTTTCAGCTGAAATTTCCGAAATCGTATTGCTCGGAAAGAATTTTATTTAAGCGTGGTATTGCTGTCACAATAGAGGAACAAGCACGAATAAGTTACAAGTCGTAAATGTTTGAATTATTTCGAGGTCTACTTATTTAATGTGAAGGATAGTCGTGGGCTCGAATAACGCGATCAACATACGTACATATGCACTATCCCCGAGAGTGTTTCCCATGTCAAATTAGCTGTCAAATAAATGGACGTAACCTAAACACGAAAAATCAAAGAAACCAGTAAAATTATTAAAATGGATGTCGTGACGACAAGCTTGGAGGCTTTGATACGTGAGTTAAATTCTAGTGTTTCCGTTGTAGTCGCTACAAAAATTTGGTAAGCAACATTTACTTTACAGAAAGAGTAACGAATCCACAAAATCAAAAGCCTGATGTACCGGCCACCGAAGCTTTCTGTGTGATGATTACTAAAGAACCAGAGGGTATTCAGATCGGCACCAAGTTGTTGGCATTACATATTCAATCGTCTAATGAATCCGAAGCGCTTCAAGCCCTCGCCGTAAGTTCACATTTTACATTTACTTCAGGTTTAGAAATTTCGTATTTTCCCATTTTCCAATAATACCCTGTTGATATTTGAGATTTCAATAATTTTATAGCTGTTGGACACATGTATGCGAAGATGCGGGTCGTCTTTCCACGCAGAAATTGGTAAATTTCGTTTCCTAAATGAAATGATTCGTTTAGTTTCACCAAAGTATTTGGGTGGAAAAACACCTGTTATGGTACGTCATAAAGTATTACAGTTGCTACACGTGTGGACAAAGGAATATCCACGCGAAGTTAAAATTAAAGAAGCATACGAAATGTTGAAAAAGCAAGGTGTTGTCGAGGTTAGTTTTATGATTTATTTACGCATTCAAGACCGACGTATTATTATAAGACTATCATCAGTAGCGATAGGTGTGCAAACAGCCAAGTTCGAACAATCTGATGACTCATCGCTAATCCCCAGCAACTGGCAATGCTATGTACCCTCTGTAAGTGACCAACATGCTGAGTCATTGGCTAAACGAGTATTTACATGACCCATAAGCTGGGTCATCGGTCTTGAATGTGTTTGCATCTACTTTAGCTAGTTAACGTTATTTCTGGTAAAACGCACCAGTAAACAACGTTTGTATACCTAGGATGATTCGTTGTGCACGATTAATGCTTCAGAGGATACGTTGAAAATGTCGAAAACGAAACATACGATATTCGATGATGAAGAGAAATCTAAATTGTTGCAAAAATTGCTTCAAAGTAAAAATCCCGACGATTTACAAGCTGCAAATAGATTAATCAAAACTATGGTGCGAGAGGTAAGGAAACAATATCAAAACTATAGCATACGGTGATCGTCCCGTTACCGGATTCTAAAGGCAACTGCTTGCCTTTCTACCCCAACAGCGGGACGATCACCTTGTATATAGCTATGCTCAATACGTTAACTTTGCAGGACGAAAGAAGAGTACAGTTGAATTCACGTAGGATAATGGAATTAGAATCTGTACATAATAATGCAAAATTATTGTCGGAAATGTTAGATTCCTATAATTGCAATGAAACTAGTGGCGAAGATCTCGAGTTGATGAAAGAATTAAGACAAGCTTGTGAAAGATTGAAACCAATTGTACTTAGACTAGCAAACGAAACACAAGATAATGAAGAGATGCTTGGTAGGTATTTTATAGCAGAACAATCTATTCAAATGAAATACAAGACTGCTAGTAGAATATTTTCATCTTATCCAATGGATCATTCTGCTAAACGCGATTCATAGAGTTTTCTGTTGTTGTCGTTACTATTACGAAGTCAATTAGAAAAATCACAATTAGCTCGTACAGTGACAATCGAGATATCTCGATGACATTCAAAAAATCTTCACTAGGTGATGTACTTGCGGCAAGCGATGAATTGGGACAAGTGTTTGAAAAGTATTCCGCGATCATTGTCCATGGTGAACGCGTAAACCCTAAAACGGATTCTAACGCAAGCCCGTATTTATTAGATTTGTCGTCACCGATAGAGAACAACTCTGTCGAAAGTAATGAAACGACTAAAGATTACGATGCAGCGACAACAAATCATCAGTCGGACATGGAAGTTTTAGGGGACATTTTCAATTCATTAGGAAAATCTGAAAGTCCAGAAATTTCTTCCATTTCTAGCCCAAACCTCTTAATACCCGATACAATGATCATGCAGCCAATCAGCGTACAACCTACAAGTAAAAAAGGTCTGTTATGCCGACATGTATAACGCATGTTTCCATTAATCGAATAATACCGAAGCTTTGAATGGATTAAATATTTTTAATAGCGGATTTGACCCGGTTACCAATGATAATAGACAGTTATTGCTATACCAATAGACAAGAAAGAACAAACAGTGTTTAAGAAACAACAGTCTTTAATTTTATTCCATCGCCAGGTGAAACAATCGACACACCTGACAGGAAAATGGACAGTAAAGCAAGAGCATTGGAGGAACTGAATGAATTGGGGGAATCTTTGCTTAAACAAAGTTTATCGGGCTCAATGACAAACACTCGGTCCAATTCAACAAGGTCGGTGAAACATGTAACGATGGATGATAAATTTGTCACCGTACAATATATTTGTTGTCGCTTTGTGTTGTTTATTTCATCGGTTTCTATGTGTTTACAGTAAGGAAACTGTAAACAGTATGGTGTTTCCAGTTGTGTCAGAAGATTCTAATTCGACCCCCCGTCCGCGTAACGGATCTTCGCATGTTTCTGGTTCATTAGACATTGGAAATACAAGGAACGGCAAATCAGCTGATGCCGATGAAAAAACGTCCATGTGTGGTAACAGTACCCAATTAATCGCAGAGGACACTGCTTCGGTGACGTCAACGACAGAAGACATTGTTTGTATAGCACCCAAAATCAAACCGTTGACTGACATTAATGTTAGTCTTCAAGATATTAAACCAGGTATGTACTGCTTTGCTTGTTTGGTTTTTTTTAACTAGATTATCAAAATTTTATAAAAATTGCACGTTTTATCATTATTTCAATAGGCATTAATCCACCTATAACTGTGCTCGAAGAAAAGAATGGTATAACCGTTGTGCTTCATTTTGCTCGGGACAATCCCAGGGAAGATGTGTTTGTTGTTGTAATTACAACGATGAGCAAAAACTTGAAGCCACTTAACAATTACTTATTTCAAGCAGTAGTACCAAAGGTAAACGTAAAATGTTTATCTTTTGATGGTGTTCTTTGTTATGTTCTATTTTCTCTGAATACGTATGAGCGTGATAGTTTAAGCTTAAAGCATAAAGTAGAATATGATATATTTGGTAATTGGCCGATTACGTAATATTGAAGAATTTGCAACTGTGTTGTTAACATTTGTCGTTGGTAATATTCTGAATTTTAATTTACAGAAATGTAAGTGTCGGCTTCAGTCACCTTCTGGAACCGAATTACCGGGACATAACCCATTTCTTCCCCCATCAGCAATCACTCAGATTATGTTAATTGCGAATCCCAGTAAGGTAAAGAAATAATGAAAGTCTTTGTTTCTCTACGAACGCTTCGATTAGTATTCATTCTAAAAAAAACATATCTTCGTTGCAGGAGACGGTGTCCTTAAAGTTTATGTTAAGTTACACGATGGACGACGAAACCTTTACAGAAATGGGGGAAGTAGAAAAGTTGCCTTTACTTTGAAAAATGTTTCGTAACTTTTACTGGAAGTTATTGCAAAAACTATGCTTAAAAAAATTTCTAGGAAAAATGATTTTGGAATCATTTTAATGAATGATTAAAAATGAATATACACATAATTTTAATATACATAATAATACTGAAGTCGTTCCTGGACAACAAAGAGTTACCTTTGTTCTGATTCATTTTGTTTTTATCAAATCATTCTAAGTAATTTTCGTTGTTTATTAGCACATCGGAAAACGGAAGATTTTTATAGATAATTTTTTGATCTCTATACATGTTCGACTTTACACGCAGAACTATTTTAAGACTGGAATTTAAACGTGATAAAATGTGTAAGAACACGATGATACATCATATGCAATAACATTAAAATAAAGACAATTGAGAAATAGAATATACCATGTTACGTCCTAGATGCACAGTCATTGACTAATTAGTATGTTAACGACAGAGATATTCTCCGTCGTCAAATCATTACGTATATGCGACATATATACAGTGGTTTATTTGTGAATTTAAATAAAGGACGTTCTGTTTAAGAAACAGAAAGTACTTCGTCGTGAAATGCAAGAGCGGTGAGTGCTTTGGTATGGCCTACATATTCTCGTTCCACAGTTCCTGTTGATACGTTCCACAATCTGGCAACGCCATCGGACGAAGCTAAATCGTACAACGTGTTATAGTTAAATATGAACGACAAGTAAATATAAAAGTTATACGAAAATATTTGTCGTTACCAGTAAATATGTACTGCGAGTCCGCGCTAAACGCAGCGTCCCAGACCCACCGTTTTGCCTCGTGCTGAAGCACTTGTATTTCTGAAAAATCTGTTGTTTTCCAAACTCGTGCAGTCTGATCAGCGGATGTGGTCACTAAAAGTCTAAGAGAAGACGTATCGTGAATTGCAGACAACGTGTATAGTTTTATCGACCGTACAATATCATCCACGAGTACGTATGTTCCATAAGGAAAATATGATGCACCGCTTACGTGGAGTCTGGACTGAATTTGCATCGAAGAGCGTAACGTTTATGCGCCAGAAGCTTATGACGAGGATTAAGGCGCGTCGGTTCCTCGCCGACGCCACCTGTTAACGTCCAAATATAACAATGACCTTTGTTATTGACTGCTGCCATGTATGTACCGCTTTGATCGATAGTGACATCTTGCACGGATGCCTCGGCTTCTGGTATCTATGAGTAAAAATCATTTCGGTAGGTTTCAATTGAAACACAAACTGACCCTAAGTACAGTGTTTAGCCACTTTTCAAATTATTTCATAAATTTCTACCAGTTGTTCATTATGATCAGAACGTAGATCCCATAAATGTATGACACCGCTTTGGTCACCGACAATAAGTTCTGCTTGATTAGGATGTAAACACACGCAATTTACAGGAGCTGATACTTGAAATATCCTTTGACATTGAAAACTACTTGACCTGCAAAATATTATTGTCACTATAGTCTTCGCCAAAGAATAGAATCGTAAAACCAAGCAGACAGTAAAGTAATCATGTTCAGAGCTTTAAAACAGCAATTTAATAAAGATGAACTATGGTTAGGCAATAGTATTTTCCGTTTTATTGCTTGGAACCCTACAGCTGCAAGCGATACACGGTATGATTATGGCGGCATTAATCGGTACTGCCGCTCAATGCGTTAATTTACGATTATATTTTGGCTACAACGAGGACTATGCTGCTACTAATGCTACTACTACAGACTCCTCTCGAGTATCGTCTGGCTTCTCCTACACGATTATACTCGAGCTTCAAGCAAAAAACGAATTTACGAGAGTCTGAAGCATTTCTCCCTATAAGATTATTGTCCTGGGCGCGGATCCGACTTTGAGTCGATAATCGAGAGGAGTCTGTACTACTGTTATTCTTCTGATAGCATGTCCAATTTATACAATTCCAAATTCCAGACATTTACCGGAGATCCCAGATGCGAGCTGAACAATCTTCACCACCGGTATACATCCATTTTCCATCTTCCTAAGCATAATAAAAAATACTAATCACGTCATGATTAAATCCTGCATTAGAATCAATTATAAACATTCTTCAAATGATCCGCATTGTTAGATGATGAATTGTTACGATAAGACACCTGGAAACCCAAGCCTGTAATGTTCTTTGATATTCCTTCGTAATTAATAACTGGATTCGGATTACTGGAGACTAAGTCGTACATTCTTATATGCTGATATCCCGCGGCGGCAACTCCATATTTTTTTGGAGTAATGTCCAATGCGTTAACTTGCTATGGACAAAGCGTTAAATAAAAATTATTAAGGGAAAGATTAAGCAAACACAGACTTCATTGTTATATTTCGAAATGATACCGAGTCTGTGTGTTCTGCGGTACGTTGACACACTCCAGTGTGAGGTTGCCATAATTTGATGGTATGATCGTAACCACCTGTTACGAGAATTACTTGATCGTTGTTGTAAGTGCTGTCTGCTGTCATCTATGAATATAGGTAATAGAAATTAAAGTCCGATTATGATTTCTTGTATTCTTTTACTGTGATCTTCGAACGCTTTCCAATAACTTGTCACGATTCATTCACATTTGCGCATTTTTAAACATATACTGACGGTGAGTGTACACAACCAGTAATTCTATTTAGTTTTGTACAGTAGGTTATGTTACAATAAGAGACCTTTTCTTCAGAATAAAACTCTCATTACGACGAATCTTATTAGATGAAATGAAACCAAAAAGTATCAATAGCAGAAGTATTTCCTTTATGCGGAATAACAAGTTCGTGTCTGTCTGTTATCATTGAAAACTTCAAACTAATCGTGAAGAAACATTACGCATTCACTTCACTTCGCAGGTACTAACTCCATCTGTATTAAATACCGCTGTTCGTTCAAGTTGATTCAATATAGATGTTCACACTTGATTAAAGTGAATCCTCATTTCATCCAGTTTATTTTCTAATCACTGTGAAATAAGACAATTATTCATTCTTAAAGTAATAAGTGGAAATTTTCTTCGGAACGAATCTATCATCCCGATTCGGATAACATTAATCGACGAGACAGTCAAGGATTTACTGGGTGTCGAACATTGACGTTAAGGAAACAAATTTTTTCGTACAAATGTAAAACTAGTAATTGTTTATTTAGACTTAGACGAAATTAAACAATTTTTCAACTTTCAGCCGTTAAACAGTAACAGTGTTTCTCGTAAATTATAATTACAAATAATGATTCTTCGCATTAATTTAGACTGGAAATTTTATTTTCACGTTTGTTTAAATTTCCTCTACTTTATATACATTTTACAATAATGCTTCAACGTTTACAAACTAACAAAAGCATAATATTTGGATTACGTTATTCAATGTAAAATACAAATCAGCTGCAGGTATTGTACCCCTGCAAAACAATTTTCATAAAATTTGAATTACTTTTGTTTTATTTTCTTGTAATTATTAACGACAAAAAGTGTTACTAAAAAAATGTTATAAAATGATAATTTCATAATCATAGAAAATGAAACTCAATTAATGTTGCGTTTCAACTTAGTCACGACTTGTTTTCTTCTTGTTTTATAAACCAATTATTCCATTTTTTCTTTCATTTCTTAAATATGTACGCATTTGGTCATCAATCGACGTTGCAACGTACTGTTATGGGTACACGCTAATCCGACGGTAACTATAATACTAACGCGACAGTGTCTTATGCAAAAATCGCATGGCAAATGTACAAAATTATGTGCCGAACAAAGAATCGATAATACTTGTAATGAAATCTGAAAAAGTGGACATATGAATAATATGTATATATATATATATATATAAGTGGTTCTATTCGCATATACGAAACATGACATGCGTATATACATTTACACAAAATACGCTATTGTTCCCGCGTTTACGGCAAAACTTTAAATGAAGGATGAAATGTTATTTTTTTTAAAAGAACTGATATTTACAAATGATTTACAGAATATGTTACAGTCTTTTCTTTGGTAAGGATCCGAAAGCCGATATTACCGTCGCTTTGGTGCCAGTCGCAGATGACGTTAAAGTAGTAAGCGTCGGTTGAGATAGTAAAACGGTAGGCTTTACCGAGGCAGTGGCTCCTGTCGCCACTTGATCCCATTTACTCTTTCTCTTCTTAGCATCGTCTTCGTTCCCACTAGAACTATTGGGTCGTTTAGCCGTACCGGAGACTATCTCGATTTTCGTTTTTTCCTTCCTAGCCTTCTCAAGTTTGTCCATTTCAGCTTTCTGAACCTTGGCGAGCTCCTCGTAGTAAGAGTCTTTACCCCATTTAAACGGATCGAATCTGTCTGGAGGATAATTGGTGCCCAATTCGTTGATGCTACAAAACTGAATAAGTTTCTCGTAAATGGATGGATTTCTGAAGTCTTTCCTTTGCTGTATAACTTTATTCATGTCCAAACCGCCGCTCTCCATTTTCCTGAAAAGTTTAGTTATCTTCTCCTGTAATTCCACAGGACACTGCCCTGGCGGTTCCGGTGGTATGGTCACTCCGTATGGATCAACCTCGTTATCTGAAACTAATTCTCCTTGACAGGAGGGAGAGCGTTCCAAAATCGAAGGAAGCCTCCCATTTTCGGTAGGCTGTCCATCGATCGGTGTTTGAAGCACTCCCTCGTCATCGGAGACTATTGTGTCGTCAAAGTATGAAACCAGTCTCTGCACCTTAGACGTCACATCTGTCACTAAGGTGGGTGCGTTTGACAAATCGTTACTAGACTTGCCACCAACGCTGGGAGCAACGACGGGACTATTTGAGGCTGATCTGCCAGATTTGGGACTGGTGAAAGCCTGGGGCTGACCGACTTGGGCATTATGCGGGGCGGCCCCCTGGGGAGTGTTCGAATTCTCCTGAAGGTCGTCTTCCACCCCGTCTTCGCCCTCCGAGTCGGTATAGGTGGCCGTGAGAGATGCCAGAGCAACACTTTGTACAGACATGGTTAGTTGGCTTTGAGTGTCCGCCGTACTACCAAGCAATATTTTGTGTTGGAACTCACCGATCTAGCGTCGAGTTGTATGCCTTTTAGTTGTAGGGCTTTTGTATATGCAAATATGCCTGTCTATATAGACACTAACTATGCCCCAAAGTTTGTTGGAATGTTTTTACTACTATACCGTATCTGAAAAAAACATCAATGTACAAACATACGATTTCTTATTTGATCAAAGTTTAAGAGATTTACAGTCGCAGTTTTTCTTTTCAGTATAGCTTTTGCAAAGATATAGCGTGGTCGTATATTAACACATCGAGCGGTGACACTCAGGCCCGTGTTGTGCATTCCGCTCTTCGTACGGCCCTGATCGAGGTTTTAAGTCCTTAGCCTTCATATTTCTGTCAATTCGCATGTTCCAACACCAGAAACATGTTCACGTTACCGTTCGACTGATTTTACGACTACGTTATATCTCTGTGAGGACTATACCTAGTCTATTTTGCACTGGCAAGTAAATCGAGAAAGACGTAAGAAATATGATGGAACATAATATATAGAAGTTATGCGTTCCTTTCATTTCTAAGTACTTCAACTTCCAGGAAATTCGATTGTACAAGCATTGTCATAAAAATTGAACAACTGTCGAATTTTTATTCGTCACGCACATTTCGCACGGATTTCATGTGCACTCTATTGACAAGTATATTAGGTTATGTTAATGATTATCGAAACTGTATATACGTAATAACCATAACTAACCTGACTATCTTGATCCACCCCGATCTTTTCGATTACACTGTACCTGACTTTCCGTTCATTGCAATCAACTTATAACATGTTAATCATCAAAGGATTTTTGTCCCATTAACCGAGACGTCGAATGCTATCGATGCATCCCGTGGCGTATTCGGGCTTCTTGCTTTCTTCTTTACCAATTTCATAAATGCGCGTGCGCATCATTTCATAGCAATGGAACGCTATACATATATGTATATATGTGTATATATATATATATATATATATATATATATATATATATGTGTGATTACGAGTGTTCATTCACATTAAAGATAGACTTCATACAACAAAAACATGTGACTTTCAGGGACGTGGCACCACAGACGAATTACATGTAAAGATACTTAGATCTACATCTTACAATAGGGAATTTCGTGGCCCTAGGAATCTGTAATACCGATGTCTTGTAAATAAATAATATAGACTGTAATAATTGTTAATAAAAAGAAATTCGGGAAAATTTGTTTCCCGCGCATGTATGTTACAACGAGCTTTTGACATAACAGGAAAGCGAATCTGTAGTGAAAATGTATTATGTCCTTAAGGCTATGAATTATTTTCACAGATACCTAGACACCAAATTAATGTGCACATGGAGCATTGCGCGGTAACAACATAACCTCGAAAGTATGATTTATAACCTATAAAATGAAATCGTTAGTTGATTATCAAACATTATAAATTAATAAAATTGTATGACATTTTCAATGAATGGCGCAGGAGAGATAGAAACGATTTATTTCAAGAAAATTATTTTGTGGATCCTATACAATTGTACGAAAATTGATACGGAGCGTTGTATATACTATAATCTGACGTTTTTTTCAATTGTTGTGTAAAAAATGGTAAGTACAATAAAACAGTGTTAAATATTATACTACAATAAATGTAGTTTTACTGGCACTAACGGCTATACTTTATTTTAGGCAAGAAACGCAGAAAAGGCAATGTAAGTATTTTCAAATTAACTTTCTTCTTTTGTGTAAATTAAAAATGTTCATTTTATAATTTGTTTGTCTTAATAGGACCACGCTTGCTCGTTGGAGAGCAGCTCAAAGCAACGAAGGAGCCAGGAAAGAACAGGAGAGGAGGCCTTACCTAGCATCCGAATGCAGAGATCTTAGGAAAGCAGAGAAGTGGAGGATGCAAATAATTAGAGAGATTGCAAAGAAAGTAGCACAGATACAGAATGCAGGTCTTGGAGAGTTTAGAATCAGAGACTTGAATGACGAAATTAATAAGTTACTGAGAGAAAAAAGACATTGGGAGGCTCAAATAAAGGAGCTTGGTGGTCCTGATTATTCCAGAGTAGGGCCGCGTATGTTAGATCACGAAGGACGCGAGGTAAAACATTGGCTTTTCTTTGTATGCTTTTCAGTTTAGAAGATACTGAAGTTTAACAACGAGTACTGAATTCTCTAGGTACCTGGAAATCGTGGCTACAAGTACTTTGGAGCAGCGAAAGAATTGCCGGGAGTTAGAGAGCTCTTTGAGCAAGAACCCCCTCCGCCACCTCGTAAAACTCGTGCCGAATTAATGAAGGACATCGACGCTGATTACTATGGTTACAGGGATGATGACGACGGTATATTATTACCATTGGAACAGAAAGCCGAACAAGAGGCGAGAGAAAAGGCTGTGAAAAAATGGATGGAGCAAAACGAGAAGGACGAGCCGGATGCCGAAGAAGAAGATGAAGTAGAGATCACTGCACAGAGACCGATACCGTCGCAGCACGATATTCAGGAAGCGTTGCTCGCAAGGAAAAAGCAGGAACTGTTAGAGAAATATGTACTCTGACGGATTTTATATTGTCCTGTTATGTGTTCAATAACAACTATTTCGTAAGTTTATTCGTTTAATTGTATTAGAGTACACTTTTATAAAACGCGACAGATATAATAATAATAGTTATAATTAATTTGTAAGTAATAACATTGATTAAGGTAATTACTTTGTGCAGTAGACGTTCAAACTTCAATTTAATACTTATCCAGAGAGAGAGAGAGAGAGAGAGAGAGTGCTGTAGATAAAATATATAGATAAAAATCCAACGTTAGTCTGTTTATAATCCTCGCGATCGTTACTCGTTATGTTTTTGGTAATTCATCTTCTTTTCATTTTTATATGTTTCTTATCGACAATGTAAGCACCTGACACTCGAGAAAGCGACACAATAGACTAAGAACACCAGAGAACAAGACAGCACGAATTACTGTAAGAATTCTTCGCCGTGTACATACATCCATACGTCCGCCGAAACGGTTACTCAGTTAATGAAAATTTAATCGTATTCCCATACGTTCTCTACGTATGATCAATGTTTTAAAGCGTTTATCAACCGAGCTTTCCTCGTTCACCTTCCAGCGCCCAGAACAAAATCGATTGGTCATTCAAGTCCTTGACCAGATTCTCCTTTTCCGCGCCACGTAACTGTCAACTTCTGATATAAACTATGCACTTGATTCTGTTCCATTTACGGAGGAAGAATAGCTCCGCGAAAACAGTCGTTCGCGATACCCTCGATACGATTACGACTACGTTGTAACAAATTGGAAACGTTCGAAGGCATAGAAATTACCCTGAAAAAGCTCTACCTATTAACGAAGTACACGCGTCAATCCCTAAATGCTTTCGGAGAAACTGTTCCACACACGCATACACACACACACACACACAGTGGACTCTAACTATATTGCCACGAGGCACTTCCCCTTCACACGTATTGCCACGCACACAAATATCGCTCTCGCACCACGTTATGTAGACCGTCCCCACCAGCACTTTTGCGCAGACACTGAGCCCAAGGCTATGACGATAGAACTTAGTATGGAGGGGGCTCTGAACTCATTGCCATTTTACTCCGCTACAGTCACGACCATGGCAATATAGTTAGAGTCCACTGTACCCTCGCGAGCACTCGGCTTCCGCTAGGAGAATAAATGGTGTAGAAGAAAAGTCTGTTAACACGTTGACTGCCAACTACGAGATAACTCGTATTTGAACCATTGCAAAGAGGCTGGATTATTTAAATACCATTACAATACTTTTCTGTAAAATTAATATCACAGTATAATTTAAAACAAGACAACCTACCTCTATCGACTAAACGCATACATTTTCGACTATTTATGATTTAAAAAACGAAATAAAGCGCGTCTCGCTACGAACGACCTTTTTCACTGTGGCAGTCAACGTGTTAATGATCTCCTACCACTTAGATTTTAAACCGAATGTTAATTTGGCATACATTTCAGTAACTCTTCTCAACCACCTAACTTTTTCCTCTAGCGTAAGCCGAGTTTACTCGTCGGTGTACCTAGAACGCGTCGGTCAGCTCTCTCGACGATACGGGAATCAACTGAACGTTGCTCGTTCGCGAGCCGCCGCGTTACAAATTTCATCTCTGATCACCGTTCAACATCGTGTTGTTTATAAACAGACTGTACAATACACAATTACGTCACCAGGACTCAGAAGTGAAAAGTATCCTAATTAACGCTACCTAGAGTCGTGCCACGCTCTCCAGAGGGGTGGGACTTATCGAGGTAAGACTCGAACGATTCGATCGCGCGCTCTTCGTTCTCCACCGTGGTCTCTCTCACGTTTCCACAGAAAAAAAAAGGACATTCCGTAATCGGGCGCATCGACTAACGTTATCAACTATAAGACTTGCAAGCGCTCTTCTAAGAATCTCTTCCGTTGAAGGACAATGCATCGCGAAAAATAACAGGCTGCTGGGGGAATAATGAGCAAAAATTCATGCGTGCGGACGCGACGCAAAGGAACTTCTGAGTCCTTGCAAAAATCGCGCGTTATACTGTGTTCTACGACCTAAAAATAGACGTGAAACGAGAGTGGCAGATAGAAAGAGAAAGGGAGGAGAATAGTTCGAGCATGGATTAATCGTCCTTAATTACTTAAAACGCTAAAGCTTGAAAAAGTCAAGCGTTGAACGATTTCACAGCATCTGGTTTTAGTTTTTATTCGTTAATCAGTCGCCCCGCATTCGTCCGGTTTGAACCAATCCCCCTCTAATAAATATGTCGTGTATATAAACGTATATATACTATATATATCGACACTACGATCACAACTGCGTTTACGGGAATGCGCATTGCGAGTTTATTGTGCGTCATTTGAATTGTGAATTCCTGTTCCTATCGTATACCTTTCCCTTTAACCAGCCCGCTCGTTAACCCCCTCGAAAATGCTCCGATCGGTCAGTCACGCTTCCTATCAACGTTACAAACACACGCGATATTTTACACGACGGAGAAACAGTGTCGGTGCCGAATCTTAGCAGATTACGCGACCTATATAAGTCACCTAACGGAATCTAAACCAAGCTTATTAATTGTAATGCTTCTTCGTCTTTCACACCTGTACACACACGCTTTCCGCCCGTCTGAAACACGTTCGTTGTCCCTTGCACTACCTTCTCAAACTTGGTAAATAAATACCATTCGGATGTGCTAAGAGGTTCTTAGAGGGGGCACTTCCCCTCCACACGTATTGTCACGCATATAAATATCGCTCTTCCATCACGTTATCTACCCTCACGAGCAAAGTCGGCTTCCGCTAGGGGAAAAAGCAGCGTAGAAGATTGTTGAAATTTATGTCAATTTAACATTTATTTCAGTACTTAAAACAAATTTACCAAGTGGAAGGAGGTCCCTCTGCTACGTCACTTTTTTCCCTAGTGTCGAGTTTGCTCGCGAGGGTACTTGTTAATTTTTTCGAATCAACATTGGCGACAGTTCGTTCAACAGTTAACAGAGATCAAAAACATGCACGGGACAACGAACGCATTAACCGGATTCGACACAAGTACGAACGAGAAATGAACGTACAGAGAAGAGAAGTGCGCGAGAAAAGAAAGAAAAATACAAGAATTTCACAGCCTCGCGTTCCTCTTCCTCGAGGTGTTACACTGCTCCGATCGGGGCGTTATCGGTCCGAGGCGCGCTCGCACGGTGAAAGAAGGTTAAATTCGTATGCGGTCTCGTGGGTCAATCCATTCTCGAACCATGTGTATACATCGTCGAGATATCCAAGATTTATTTGGTATCGACTTGTACGAACAAGCGTTGCGATATCGAGGGTATATGTATAATTAGGGATGAACCGATCCAAGTAAATACAAATAATACATATACATATACTCGGATCGATCAGAGCGATTCATTAATATGAAAGTTAATGAATGCGAAGGTGGTTGTCGTCCCAGTTGTATTATTTTGTTAATTTAATGTTCGTTGGTAAAATATATCTTCATTAAAATCAGAGATGAGCAAATTCGTTATCTAGATAAAGAGTGTCGAACAATGGTTGAAAGATACAAGAGGTACTTCGTCATTTTTAATCGTTCAAACATGGAAATTCTAATTTTTATAACAAAATAATACTTAATCTCATTAACTGTTTAAAGCTCAGTATGACACCCTTCGATACTACAGCTTTTCACTATGTATTATTCGAATGAAATTCTGCTCAACTCTGGTTAAAATATATTATACTAATAAAAAAAGAATTTTGTATTAATTTTCCTTCGATACAAGTAGGTATCGGCACTAAGTAGATATCGATACTTTTTTTCCATACAAGTTACGAATCAAATGTATCGATACCTTGATGGTATCGGTTCACCCCTGTGTATAATGCGTTTTAGTGTCTCGTTGAAAGTGTCGCGGAGTCGAGAGACATCCGGGTAGCGCAGGGGAGATTAAGAGGAATTGATTTATACCGTTTAGGTTAGCGAACTCTCGGACGCGGCTGGTTATCCCACGACGATTCTCCGTTGACGGACACGCGCGGCCTAAAAAGGGTGAAAGGCACAAAGTAAAAAATAAACGATCAATGTTGGCTCAGGCACATATCGAGTTGAAGAGTTTCATGCCACCGTTTGCAGTTTCTTTTTTTTTTTCGCGGTCCTTCGGCCGTGTACGCTCTCGATTTCGGGACCGACGAAATTGCAATTTTCCGCGATTACGGTGTACATGTAACAGGTGGTCTCGTTTACCTCGATCACCATTTCGAATCTGGTATTTATTCATTATTGGTACAATATAACAATGAAAAAGGATCCATATGAAAGGATATTTGCCATTGAAAAAATTCAGCGAGTAACTACGATGCGAACGTGTTAACTCTTTGAGGCACACGATTTTAAAGAAAATATAAACCCAGGTTGCACAGAATTTGTTTTGATATAAAAAAAACATATATAAAAATAAAATATTACACTGTATGATTATGAGTAACTTCAACTTTTCTAGAAGGGTTTAAATATATCCCACAATGCATAAAAAGCTAAGCAAAAGGTGGGACAGTTTTCAACCGACCAAACCCTAAAGAGTTAAGGGTGAAGGAGAATGTTTCGGTTGTGACAACAATTTTCCCTTTTTAATCCTAGGTGATCGAGATAGACGAAATACCTTGTATCTGTATGCATATATCTATGTAATATGCGTGTCCGCGTGTGTATGTTTGCGTGGATGCGTGATGGTGAGCGTGTAGATGTGTACACTGACGTGCAAACTCGGCTTCCGCCAGGGAAAAAGTGGCGTAGGGAAGGAGCCTCCTACCAGTTGGTTTCGAAAGTTTCTAAAATTTATGCCAAATTAACATTTATTAAATTTACCAAGTGGTACGAGGCCCTTGCTCTTTCACCACTTTTTCCCCTAGCGGAAGCCGAGTTTGCTCGCAAGGGTACGTCTGTTCTGTGTTCACGTACTTTTTTCTTTTCAATTGATATACATACGTAATATGTATGCTGAAACACACCCTCAACTCCGTCCGGCGTATCAAAAAGGGAATGTACTTGGTACATCGATAGAGTTCTGTAACTCAGAGTTACCACATGCGTAAAATTGTCGTGACATCATCTGACTCGTAGGATCGACAGATCGACGATATTGACTTCGGGGCGTTGTACAGGCAGTAAGACGCGGCGGCACATCCGGTCGAACGGCCGTGGTTCCGCCTTTCAGTGAAAATTTGTCCCTAGCCTCTTCTTGCTTTTTTTTGTTCTCTCTAAACGGTCGATCGTGTTTTTGGTGCGTAGAATCAGCGACCGTGGTTACATCCACAACGTGTTTTCCGTCCGTCGAACTACAAATATCGTCGTTTCACCCCGTTTAACGTAAATTGTTTCTCCGTAACAGGAACTCTGTCTCGATCGAACGTTTCAAGGGCGTAGCAACGAGTGCCAGCGTTGAACCTGGGTCGGTTGTCTCGCGGCCCGCATATCGTTCCAATGCTGAAGCTCCTCCGAACCGGAACTGTTCAGTCCCAAACTGAGCCAGCCGATCATCTCCCGTCCCTTCCTTCCCATGGCACCTCTTCGTCGGTTGTACACCGAGAGGAAGAGGGTCACGTCCCCGAGTTGGAACAGAGCGACCTGCAAGAACAAAAAGTGATATCTCTCTTTCCTTCAAAAGGACAAGACTAAGTGAAAAATATATTTTTGTACAGATTAGACGTCTGGGATGGGTCAGCAGAATGCAAGATCCCGTTACCAGTCCTCTGCCCGAGGGTCACCGGGGGGTTTTTACCGTGGTGAAATCCAGCGGAGGCGGTGCACCTTTTCAAGGTTTTTCGTAAAAAAATAAAAAAAAAAAAGGCAGGATGCAAGAAAGTTCTGCAAAGATGTTCTAAAGCAACGTACCTGGAATATGAACGTTTCCTTGTAAAGAGGATTCGGTTGTGCACGTTTCAAACAAGTTTTCGACCGTCCCATTTCATGACCATTACTGTCCACCAGCGCAAGCTTCACATACGTGTCGGGCGGTTTCGTGTCGTTACCACCGCCACCCCGAAAGTGTGACCCCTTGATTATTTCAACGGACAAACGTCCAGTCGTCCCGTTGTACGCCAAACCGATCAGAATCTCGGCCACGCTTCCACCCTTCATGCTGCTACCGTAAGGCGGCACGGTGGGCGACGCGTACGACTGAACGGACTGCTGAGATCCTGTGGAGTCGCTGCGAGTCAGACTACCAGTTGTACCCCATTCTTGTACCTGTAAAGAGAAACTGTTAATTAGACGATACTACATCGAACTAAGAATACAATGGCGATTTTGAATCTCCGGTAGCAAGATGACAGCATACCGAAGACGAAGGTGGTGGTTGTAGGGTCAACCAAAGAGTCGTCTCGAGCTGAAGATTGATTTGATCGAAAGAGACTCTGGCTTCGCCTAGCAGTCTCTCTCGACGCATTCTCCCGCCCCAGAAGTAGACTCTCAGACGTACACCCATCGCGTTCACGTCCTCTGGATTGACTCGAGGAAGGAGAAAGCTTTCCATGTATTGTGGAGACGTGCCCTGTCGTACCCGTGTTTTACGTCGTTGCTTTTTCGACGGTAAAAGCACAAGCCGCACTTGACTTCCGCCTATACCCTCGGGGTAATTTCGTCCTTGAAGCACGTGCACCTGATGGAAGGAAAAACGACGCTGCGATCGATTGGGATGATGGATAACAATGATCGTTAACGTTCGGAGGGATACGAACCGTCATCTCTCGCATCGGGGCGTCGTATAAGAAAGCGACCTCGAGACTACCAACTTCCTCGGCGACCGTGCCCAACGTCGCGATGACGTCGTTGCTCGTCGGTCCATTCTGTTCAACCTCTACCTCCTGTTCTCTGGTGTCGAGCAGAATATTGGGAGCTCCGACGTCCACCACGCACTACGAGAGACAGAAATACGTCGATCGTTATACAGGGTGAACCACGAATCGTGATCAGTAGATTACTCTGTTATTGGCAGTTCGATCGAAAAATTTTTTTAACAGATATAGCATGGTTTCAAGAGAGCTTTAACGCGATTATAGCAAACTTTTTCTCAACTCTTTATTTTCATGATTTTTCAAGGTCACCTTCAATTTCCTTTCAAAAATTCAATTAAAAAAAGTAACACATGTTATGTTACGATATTTACCGAATTCGTTTTGAAATCCTCTAACAGATAGGCGTAAAAAATTGAAGGTGACCTTGAGAAATCATGAAAAAAAAAAGAATTGACAAAAAATTTGCTGTAACCACGTTAAAGATCTCTTGAAACCATGTTATACCTGATAAAAACGTTTTCGATCGGACTGCTAATAACAGAGTAATCTCTACTGATCACGATTCGTGGTTCACACTGTATAAGTACGCGATGTAACATGGAAACCTGGCAGAATTACAGCGAATCATCGATGAGTGTTCAGACGTCATCCTCCTGGGGGGTCGCCGTGGAACCAGTCAAGCGATGGGGATAACATCTGAACACTCATCGATGATTAACTGTAGTAGGCGACGCGACAATTGAAACATGGAGACCACGTGTCCGCGGTTTAGTTCCACTGGTTCACCTGTTGTTGATCGGCCGCAGAGTGTTCTTCTGTGCAGCTGCTGGAAGAAGTGGTGCCGGCGTCTGAAACGTTCGAACATGATCCTGATTAGGGGAACAACGAATTCGATTGGGGTGAAAAAAAAAAAAATGAAAAATGAAAAATGTGTAACTTACCCACGATGGTGGGACCATCTTCGGCTTGGATGGTCAGAGTATCAGGCGGCGGGTGGGGACGTTGATTCAATCGACGTAGGGCGTCTTCTTCCGAATCGGAACTAGTCTCTGGATCCGAGTAGGAGAATGCCTTTCCTGTCGGTACATCGTTGGGCGTGAGAAATGGTAGAATGTTCGAACACGGAAACACCGGTGTTAATTGGAGGGGTGGTCCAGTGCAAGAGGGTGCTATGTAACGCAACAGGAGCTTTGTGATATATTAACCCTTGTATGGGCAACCAATATATTAACGGTTATTGAGGAATCGAAATACTCCTATTCTAACAGATTAGATAATTTTACTTCCATACTTTTCAAAACTCTTAGTTTTCCTTTCTATAATATACCAAGTGCTGTTTTAGACGCCATAAAAAATTACGAGAGTAAATTTAGAAACGGGTACCTGGGTACCCGGTTGCCTACACAAGGGTTAAGGCATTTATGCAAAATATTGTACCCTCACGAGCAAACTCTACTTCCGCTAGGGGAAAAAGTGGCGTAAGAGTAAGGACCTCCTATCACTTGATAAGTTTATTCCAAGTGTTAAAATAAATGTTAAATCGAATGTTAATTTGGCATACATTTCAGTAATTCCAAATACCAAATGGTAGGAGGCCCTTACAGCTACGTTACTTTTTTCCCTAGCGGAAGCAGAGTTTACTCGCGAGTACATCATAGACAGGAATTATGTAATAAAAATCGTATTATTGAACATTATGTGGCATAGCTCCCTCTTTCACTGGACCCCTTAATTCGTTCTTATCTCCCTTAAAAATTCGTTACCTATGTTCTTCGTGATCTGTGACGTGGAGCTGTTGTTCGACTCGCACAGGGGCACGCATACGCCGCCGAAAAGCGTGGTCGCGGACGGCGGTGTGAAACACCACTTGCGTGACAGGTACAGAAACAGCGCCAATAGTAGAACCACGAAACCAGCAACGGCACCCAGAAATGCTGTCGCTTCCACAGGTACTGGAAACAGATCGATCATTCAGGGTCAAACTTATTGAAATCATCGGGTCTAAAACGATGTTTCTTGTGTAAGAAGAAATCAAGAACAAATAGAATGTATACATGGGGAATACAAAAAAAAAAAGGTATTCTCGAAAAAGGACAGTGCCGAGAGAGGCATAAATTGTTTATCGAGTATGGGGAAAGGCGTTCACCCGTGTACTGATTGAAATCCTTCCCGTTCATGACCGGCGATCGTACGCGCGCCCGTTTGACGCGTTAAATCACCAGCGACACATAAACGTCGTAATGACCTGGAATAATTAACCATCGCTTCGATTGCCTTGGAAAACGTCGCCGCGATATTGCGCAGCGAAACGGATTTCGATAACACCGTTGCTTCCGACGGAAAGGACGCTCTGGCTCGCGAGTTTCGTCGTGTTTCAAGGGTACACGCATCGACACGTACGGTGTCGAGCAAACTCATTTTCCACTAAGGGAAAAATCGGCGTAGAAGAAAAGTCTTCTATCACTTGGTAAATTTATTCCAGTTAGTGAAATAAATTGTAAATCGAACATTAATTTGGCATACATTTCAGTAATTCCAAATACCAAATGGTAGGAGGCTATTTCATTAGACAAATATGGATGTTTGAATATTTTAAAATCAAATTCAAGTGCATTCGTAGGTCTTTTAGTGAGATCATCGTTCAAAATATACAGCAACGGTGGTGAAAAATTGTTTATTGGGAAACACTTTCGATCGGTTATATGCTCTTCCACGGTCACCAGATCTCTAAGTAATAGAGCTTCTATGCGAGATATTAGATTCTAAATTCAGAATAATAAATACGAATGAATCCTATACGTTCAAAGTGTATACTCACTTTGGACTCTCACTGTTTGTATCGACGGAGAACTCACGGTCAGCTGCGATCGCACGGCGAGCATCGTTCGATTAGAACCGATCCTCGTGTCCCGGTACAACAATTATAATTGACACAGCCTTTGACGATGGAACCGTGCGTTAATCGGAACGGTGCGCTTGAAAAAGTCCACGTTTTGCGCATTGCGGGCGAGAATCTCGTTCGTACACACGCCCGCCTAGAGGGACGAATCTTCCGAAATATTCTCAGTTCACACGTACGAACAACCTATTCCGACGTGTTTCCCAGAACGTAATAAACAAAAGTCGCATCGTCGCCACCGAGGGATCGATCTTTTCGCGGTGAAATCCAAGCTGGTCGCTTTCGAAACGACTCGAACGAGTAGAAACAGGTGTATACAAAGAGTCGCGCGTTTATAGACCGTTTCTGAACGCTTTCGTGATTCGACATTCCCGTTGCTGACAACATCGATCATAGATATATGTATATATTCTTGAGGGCCACATCGAAACGCGTTAAATAATACGAAACTATTCGTCGTGTATGGATGTGCATTCATTGGAGGGGTTCGTTACTGTGTATAGTGGACTTACCCGCCAGAAAATGGTCTGATCCAGCCAGAATCATGCTCGTCCTTGTGTCGCATTAAAGCCTCTTCCCTCTTATGTGTGTCCTTCGATCGAACGTGGCGAATCTTTATTCGCGAATAATGAACACATTATCCGCCCTGTCGCGGGTTTGCCTGACACGAGAGGCTCGTGGACGCTCGGGATCGCCGTGAAGCGTGGTTACGTGGTGGCCGAATAATAATACGTGGGCGGGGGTGTACACACAGCACTCTGTTGCTCGTCGAGACGTGTGCGCCTGCAACACCTCGACCAGATACACACGCGTGCGCCTCACCGCCGCTCCGCCGAGGGGCACCCCGATCGTCAGGGGTTCTCATTTCGGTTCTAAACATTGTAACCTGAAAGCCTGACGCGGTGATTCCCAGACGATAATTTTAATTAAGTATTCTCGCGGTCGGTGAATTTTCATTCTCGAATAAAGAGTTGATCACAATACGAAATACGGTGTAGGGGTTTCAAGATTCAATTAGGCAACTCGAATACTGTCTGCTAGATACGAATTATGTACCGCTAGAAGAATTTCAACGGATTTCTAGGAACCGATTGGTATTTCTCATTTTTGTAGTTAAGGATGTTGGAATGGAAAAATTTATAAGAATATTCATTGTTAATAGGGATAGAAAGTATAAATCGAGAGAAAAGCAATTGAATAATTTAAAGTTTGTATCGCTGATTGGGGAATGTACTTTCTATAATTATTTTAATGCAGGAACTGAAGCGTGAATATTGAAAAAAACGGTGGTTTGTATCGTCGATAATCAATATTTTATTAACGTACCTTGATTCTTATATTAAACAAAATTAATGTATCTTACAAAAGTACCCACTTCATTCCCTTTTGTTTGTTAATAGAAACGTTGAGTACTTAACCAGCGAAACGATTAAGGTTGATCGACATAAGATCGATAAATTTATTTTACTGCGTTGTAGGTACTTGCTAACTACATTCAATTAAATTAATTTTAGTTATTGTAAATATATAGGTATTGTCATACTTTCTGCCATATTGTTCAATTCATTTATACATAAAAAATATCTATTCAGTGTGAAATAATAGAATCATTAATAAAAATTACAAGATCAGTCTTATGAGTGGTTATTTTTCACATATAAAAGCGATTGTTCCGAATTTCGTCTTATTGTATGATGAGCAATCACGAGACTTGAGAATTTTTAAGTTGAGAGTGGTAAGCACCATGCGTTATTTGTTATTGGCTAACATAACCTCAGATACATACTTTCAATTAATTCAATGTTTGTGATATGTATTAATTAAAATATCTAAGTTCTTCATCGATCGGATTAAACATCTTTACAACACCGCGTAATAAATATGTGCACGTACAACATTTTGTTTCTCACGAGATACTTTAATTTTAGCGTTCCAAATTTAAAGGCGATAATTAAAAAGGATTTCAAACTTTAAGCAAAATAATACTGACACATTAGAACTCATCTGTTTCATGTTGTAGGTATTACCCAATTTTTCTATGTACTTGATATTTATAATGCTGCAGAATATGTAATTTCACATTAAATTACAATTATGATAATGTACAAGAAACAACAATATTTATGATTTGTTTATTTTTTTCTTTATATTATTTCAAAAGCAGGAATATAGTTATGAGCTACTTTACTATACTACGTTTCAACCAAGCTACAACTTTAAATAGATATTTGTTAGAAAAGTGTTTGAGGCAATATATAATAGTTCGTGCAAACGTATATTCCACTGGTATTAATAACAATCATCAAAAGTATACCTGTAAAAAAGAACGTATTGCTAGGAGAAAAGCATTAAGATCACGAATACTTCAAGATATAAAGCATACTAAACGAAAAGTAGAGGAAATTATAGAGAAGGAAAATATTTGGACATTGCCAAATTTACTTTGTATGGGTAGGATTGTAACATCACCTTATTTAAGTTACCTAATTTTGTCACAGGATTACGAGGTAAAATGATATGCTATCAAATATTTAATTATTATGCCTGAATCCTGTGAATGTTGTTCATTGATATTTCAGGTAGCACTGTGGCTATTAATAATAGCAGGATTCAGTGATGTAGCAGATGGATGGATCGCACGTACATGGACATCTCAAGCTTCAAAACTGGGTAGTTTCTTAGATCCATGTGCAGATAAATTACTTGTAGGTACATTGTTCCTTTCACTGGCCTGGGTAGGATTGGTTCCTATTCCTCTGACGTGTCTTGTTGTTGTGAGGGATGTTGCCTTGGTTTCTGCTGCTTCATACATCAGATACCGATCTTTACCCCCACCAGTATGTATTCCATTAAAAAGATAATTTGTAAAAATTTGGCAACTGTTATTTGCTGAAATATTTCAGAAAACCCTGGCAAGGTATTTTGATCCTACACATGCAACTGCACAGTTGGCCCCAACGTACATAAGTAAAATCAATACTGGTATTCAGTTATCTTTTGTTGCTGGAACATTGGCTGCTCCTATATTTCACTTTGTAAATCATCCGATTCTAGAGGGTCTGTGTTATGTCACAGCATTAACAACATTAGCAGGTGGTATAAGTTACTTGATATCAAAGAATACATATAAATTATTAAGTAAGAAGACTCCCACAAAGCCATCACAATAGGCGCATCCTGTATATTATTAATGATCAAGCTCAAAAACATACAGCATTATCATTCTTTACAAATTTATTACTTTCTCTCTACAATAAAAGTGATTTAAATATCTGTTAAGCTAAAAATCTACTATAGTTTCCTTACATCATATAGTTCATAGGCACATTCTTCAAACACAGTTGGATCATAGCACAGTGCAATATAATCAATTTCTAACTTAAAGGGACCTTCTTTTTTATCACCAAGTGTAATTCCAAATCCAGTGATCCAGTCTAATGGCATAGGACGTTGATCATTTTGTATTACTCCCTTTGTTCCAAAGACAAATTTAGAAAATGGTATTTTAACATGCTGCCAATAAGGACTACCTGTAGTATATATGAAATAATGGAAACTATGATACCATCCCATGTCATAGTGTCCCCTCTGTAGAACATTTAACATGTAACATCTACCATCCCCTCTGATTCTTAAAACTAAAGTGTTGTAGCAGGACCAGTCATAGAAACTCTTGCGGTAAAAAGATTTTCTTTTTCTTGTACTAGTTACATTGCAATATCCGGCCTTCCCAATTACGCCATCCTTAGGTACACGAGGAGATAAAGAACCATGAAATAATCCAGTACCATAAGCTGTAAAATCTAGCCTAAAATGAAAACCTGAATATGTATATTTTACAAGTTTGAATGATTGTTTATAGATAAAATTATGCGTATACATAAAATGTTTACTTGGCTTTTGAATAACCCTCGTTATAATCACTGTCACAAGTTACAATCCACTGATCGCGACACTTTTCAGTTCCATCGAACTTCCAAATAATATCTTCTGCGTCAGGCACTATTATAGCTGTATTATCAGCAAAATAGTCCCGTATTTCTTGATGAAGCAATGAAAACTCATACTTCACATTACGACATGCTTCCCAGAATTTTCCAAGGAGGCTCAACTTTTGCGATTTTTGTAGGTTATCATATATTATTGGATAGTTTGATTTTTCTGGCTCATAGAAATATAAAAGAGAGGTGCTTTTATGAAATCCTCTCTTACCATGAAGTCTCAAACTAGATTGTAAAGCACGCACTATCATTTCTAGCGCAGTTAAATAAAAGTTTTATACACAGTATGCAGGTGTTGAAGTTATAACATAAATTGAATGTCTTATTATTAACTTCGGAATCTATTACGATAATGTCGCTGGAATCTGATCTAATGATTGTGAATTAATCCATTTTTAAATGATTTCGCGTGTGGTTTTTTCTTTGTGAACATTTTAAATTATGAGGACATAATATTATTACCATGCAAAGTCGCGATCGATTTCTATACAATTCCACGGCAGGAAGAATGTGTAATTTGGATGGATTTTTAACGATTTTGCACGGAGTATTTTCTTTCCTATACACAAATAACTGGTGATCTGCATTCTTTTCGTCTCGCTAACTATCAAATTATATAATTATGAACCCACAATTAACAATCGGTAATGTACAACATTGATTCCGAGGGTTTTAACAAATATTCGAATATGTATATATAATGATACATATAATATATATACATTTAACATTAAGTACGCATGAGAGCAGAGTGTAAATTACGATCGAAACTTAGCGCGCCTTTGTGATAGGACTGGATAGGACTTTTCGTTCGTAGATGATGGTCATCGTGAAAATGTTATACTCAAATTTTTGTTCAATGTGAAGATGGTGTTATTTAAACGTTGTGGGTTGTTAAATAATAGAAACTTAATTCTTCTACGGTTAAGAAATCACAGCAGAAATGGGACGAATTTGCATATTAAACTTAAATCAACTCAATCTACAGAGGAAATCGCAGAAATACAATTGTCTGATAGGTAAGATTATCACGTGTTTTTTAACCTATATCCTAATAGCGTACACTGAATTGGTACCAAATACATGCTACTGTTTGGATAATTTTTCTACATTGTTACTAAATGTATTCATTTTAAATGTTTCTTCAGAAAAAAGATGATATTAACGGCCGGAAAATATGCACGATTCGCGAGTGGAAGTATTATTGCAAAATTTGGCAATACATCAGTTATGACCACAGCAGTTAAAAAAGATGTACCAACGGACAGCAATGTACTTCCTTTAATTGTAGACTATCGGCAGAAAGCTGCTGCAACTGGCCGCATACCAACAAATTATTTTCGTAAAGAACTGGGTTATACAGATCATGAAATTCTTACAAGCAGGTTGATAGACAGATCTATTCGTCCTATGTTTGATGAAGGATATTGTTATGAAACACAAATAGTATGTAATTTGTTGGCTGCTGATGGAGTTAATGATCCTGATGTGTTGTCTATTAATGCTACATCAGCAGTTTTAAGTATCTCAGATATCCCATGGAATGGACCAGTAGCAGCTGTGAGAATTGCAATGATTGATAATGAATATGTAATTAATCCTTCAAGACGGGAACTTCAATACAGTATATTAAATCTTATTGTAACATGTACATCTAAAAATCTCATTGTTATGATTGAAGGATCAGCCAATGATATTTTAGAGCAAGATCTTCGAAAAGCGGTACGTTTAGCTGCCAAAGATTGTCAGTCAATCATAAATTCTATAATGGATTTACAAAAACGTATTGGTAAATCTAAAGCAGAGATCCCTAAGAAAGCAGAATCGACTCGTTGTATAGCAGACCTTGTAAGAGAATTTTCAGAACAAGAAATATGTAGTATTTTTACATGTTATAATCATGACAAAATTTCACGAGACAATGCTATTAGCGATCTGCGAACCAGGATGTTAGATAAGATAGTGGCAGATAATCCAGATGCTACCGCAGATGCACAAAAATCTTTCGCTAGACTCGTTAAAGACACTTTCAGATCTTTAATATTTAAAACCAATAAAAGGTAGTGTATTGTTAATAAAGGAAAATATTAGAATCTCATCATGGTTCCGCTTTCTTTCAGAGAGGACAAACTCAAGTTTTGTGCACAGTAACTCTGGATTCTATAGAAAGTTCCATTAAGATGGATACTGTTTCAATGATAGCTAGGTATTCTATATACCAATTTTTCAGACATATTAGCGCAATATAAGCGAATATTATTTATTACAAACTTACAGTGGACTAAAAGACAAGAACTTTTTTCTACATTACGAGTTCCCACCATATGCAACTAATGAGATAGGTAGAGTTAATACAAGTGGTCGTAGAGAAGTAGGGCATGGAGCATTGGCAGAGAAAGGACTTAGAGCAGTTATACCAAAAAATTATCCCTTTGCCATAAGGCTTACAAGCCAAGTATTAGAATCAAATGGTAGGTGGACTTTGTGTAAGAGGAAACAAAAACAAATTATCACTTGTAAGGAATAATAGTTTCATATTTTGTGATATTTACATTTAGGTTCTTCGTCAATGGCTTCTGTATGCGGTGGTAGTATGGCATTACTAGATGCGGGCGTGCCAATATCATCTCCAGCTGCCGGCATAGCCATTGGATTAGTGTGTAAATTCAGTGACAATGATTCCAAACAAATACAAGATTATAAGATATTAACGGATATACTAGTAATTATGTATTCATTGAAATGTATACTTTGAGATAATTACATAGTGATATAGTAAATCCAGTGGGGCGGTAAAACAGAAGTTCTTTTTGTGAGTTCGATTCAAGATTGTCATCAACATTTAAAAAATTTTCAGAATAGAACTGAAAGAGAAACTAATTTTGAAGGGAAACGCTTTGTTTCAAACCTCGTTTTTTTATAGCTTCGTTGGATTTATTACCTCACTATATAATTATTCTCAAATTTACGCGGAATGTGCAGCAGGGAAGAAATTGATTTTTTTGGATAACAGGGTATAGAGGACTATATGGGAGACATGGACTTCAAAATTGCCGGTACGAAGAAAGGATTTACCGCTTTACAACTTGACGTTAAAATACCTGGCATCCCTTTGAAGGTGGTAATGGAGGGTATTAACAGTGCAACCCAGGCAAAGAATAAAATTATTGGCATCATGAACGGTGTAATATCACACCCAAGACAGAACAAGGATCATAATAAACCAGTAGTAGAAAATATTGAAGTTCCTATATATAAGAGGACGAAGTTCCTTGGATTAGGAGGATCAAACTTGAAGAAGATTTTCATCCAAACTGGTGTTCATGTATGTTTTTGATGAGAAAAGTCGTATATTTGAGCAGACTTATTTATACTATGGAAATGCCAATTACACAGTCGGTGATTATTTGTTTTTTTTTTTACAGATACATTCACAAGATGACAATATGTATTCTATATTCGCGCCTAATCAGGACGCAATGAACGAAGCCAAAGAAATCATAGATCAGCTTTTAACGAAAGAAGCTGAACCGACGTTAACGTTTGGCGACATCTATACAGCGAAAGTAGTTGAAATTCGTGACTTCGGAGTCATGATCTCGTTACATCCTAGCCTGTCACCGACATTATTACCGAACTCGCAGTTAGACCGACGCAAGATCCATCACCCTAGCGCGCTCGGCTTGGAAATCGGGCAGGAGATACAAGTGAAATATTTCGGACGAGATCCAGTGAATGGACAAATTAGAGTGTCGCGTAAAGTGTTACAGGAACCAATGACCCAAGTAGAAGATTACATTTCAACGACACAAAAAGCGTAGCGAACCTCCTTTTTAATTTCATCGAAATTTGAATCACACAAGTCTGTTTATTTCTCCAGCAATCGACCTACTGTTTTTCGGTAACAGTTCGATAACAGTTCAATTTAGGTAGCAAGAAAACTACTGACGAAAAACAATTTCCATCCACGACTGAACACATGTAATAGCTCACATGGATACGTCCGTTATTAAATGCTCCCGTACTTTTCTATTACTTTTTTTTTTCTCCTCTTCGTTAGTGAAACGATATAAATACCCTTTTTTACGAATTGTCAAACGTATTGTGTACATAAAGGAACAGATAAAACTGTATTGTCCTTCTAATTTATATATTCTTCCTTTGATTTTTCCGTTAATCGATGATCATTTGTGAAAATATCGCTGAAATGTGAATAGTCACGAAGGGTAGAGCGAATATTCAACAATCGAATATCAACGATAGCTTCAAGTGTCAAACAAGAGGAAAGATTTCTGGGTTACACGAATAAACACCACTGTACGAGGATTTGCGTGAAAATCTCGACAACGGATATGATTACGAAGTTTCTCTACCGATACGTTGTCAAACGGACGTCCACCTTCTTTCTTAGCGCTGTCATTGCCGCGATGTTTTTCGAGAGGGCAGTCGATCACGCCTGCGAGAGCATCTTCGAAAGAGTAAACGAAGGAGTACGCCATTGATTTACATATCCTAGCACGTTTAACATAGCCTCTTTCGTTTTCAACGTCAAGGTCACCTTTGATGACTCTATCGCGTACACATGGTACCAGTTTTCAGCGTTAAAAATAAATTTTCAATTATTTCGTTTTATCGTAAAATAATAGCTACAGCCACTAGTATTAACTCCTTGTCCTATCATTTTCTAGACGTCTGCAGTCTCCCGGATTATATTGTTATCGATATTTTCCCAGTAAACGAAAGAAATTCTTTACTTATCGCAACTGTACTTTTACTGTTAAAGTTAAATATTAATACCAGCAACGTAGCACCTAACTTCGACTCAAAGAAAACCGAATAATATTTTTCTTTGTTGAATCGATTTTCAAATCGTCAACACGAGCCTGACTCGTTGTTATAGAACAAGGGGTTAAGCCCGTGGAGTTTCTCGAACGTTATTTTTTTCTTTTTTCGTAGAGACTATGGATGCACATAAAACACCGATACGAAGATAAGTCGCTGCAAGTGAGTCACAAGAGGAAATCGGTCGAAGAGGACGCCTCCAAGAAGAAAGTAGAATCGAATCCGGATAAGAAAGACAATTCGTAGGCGATTAATGGAATTATTGTACAATCGGTTACGCCAGACAGATTATAGTTCCGCGTGTCGACTTACACAGTCGAATCCCATTCACAAGGCAAGCGTTTTCGCGTTAAAAAATTTTGTACGTCTCAGGGCTGACGTTAAATATCTCGACACCCCGCCCACGGATATCTTGTTTCTGCGAAGCAATTCATCACTTTGACAATAAAGGGAAGTCTGTCTCTGGTTTACTGTAACACTACCGTTAAGCGTCGTAAGTTACGATGAATTGCATCCACCTATGCGAGAGTAATAGTTAATAAACAAAATTGTATTGTATTAAATTCTTCAGATACGATTTTCTCTTCGGTGAAATTTCTCAATGCCGATGCAGATTTTATTCTTAACCGATTTACAGTAAATCCTGGATGAGTGTCCGAAGGCTCCTCGGCACTTATGATTAAATATTTCATAAACTAATGACCGTATGCAGCTGAAACAAATGTCATTGACTACAGAATTTCAAGCTCTATCACTGTGCTAAACCTGGTTAAAAAGTCAGCGTTACACCTGGGCATCTCTCCCTGTCTGTGCCGAGGAGCCTTCGAACACTGATCGAGGATTTACTGTATATCCTGTTTAGGCGCATTTTCACATAAGGAGAAGTTAGTTTTATTTTTATGGTGATATTACAAAAGGAATATTGAAATTTGTTGGATAATCAGTCACCGTCAACTTTGAATTATTAACGATAAGAATTCGTTCGAAACATACCAGTCGCTGCAACGTCCATTTTTGGTTACTCGAATTGTCCCTAGGTTGCAGCTACTGGAACACAGGGCTGAATCATGGTCATCCCCTTATTTAAAGCTCAGATTGCGACAGTTTGGAGCCAGTCGAAATCAGAAGATACAAGTGTGACCATCGTGCGACAAGTTCATTCCGTTCCGCGAACACACGGTACGATTTTTGTTCACGCTATTTCGTGGGAACCGCGTGCATCGTCGAATTGCAAACTAATATTATAATACATACGTATATTCGCATCGATAAATTTTTTTCGTTACAATTCACGAATGAGGTCAATTGTGCCGGTGATTATGAAAGTGATCGAAGTTAAAAATCTAAACAAAAAAACTTCAATGTATCACTTCCCAGATAACAACTTACGCCTTGAAGACGTCCATTTTACGGCTATTTTACGTCTAAGGCGCCTTTAAGCCGTCTTTAAAGCGTTATGTGCTATTTGGGCCATTTAGTGTTATATCGATTTACGTTACAATAATATGAAAGCATTTTTGCAGAATATTTAATTGACTTAGGCCACTTTTATAATCACCGGCACAATTATCTGGATATCCAAAAAAATGTATATAATTTTCGCTCGAAAATGACTTTTGTGAAATATACCGATAGTTTTGTGAATATTTCTACGTTTCTGTTCGAAATTTTTCGTTTGATGTTCGAGAACACTTCGCGACATTTCTTTCGTGTATCGTGATAGATTATCTTCGTTACCATAAAATTGTCCTAGACAGTGTATCATCCGTTTTCATGATTCTTTCGATTGCTGATAATGATACACTTTGCCAATCAGTTCGTTATCACCACCTTCTTATCGAGGGTACAAATATAAGGAGGTTCTTCTTCAGATTCGAATGAAAAGTAGTCATTGATTCGAATGGTACGCAACGGGAGCAAATAGCATCGGGATGTAAGTATAAACCGTTAAGAATAAGACGTACAAAACTACAAGATGCTTTCAAACGGTAACCAGACGTATCAAGTTCGTTTCGATTAAGCCCATATTAATGTCGTACAACTTCCATCAAAGTAGCTTGTTGCTTCTATTCGATGCCCTAAAAATGTAGTTTTTTTTTTTCCGTGAAAACACCTGGAAAAAAAAACGGTTCCAATCAAGGACAACTATAGACGATACGAATTCAAGACATTCTCTTTATCCAAATGACAATTCGATTAGGAGTGAGAAACGATACGGTTATTATCACGTTCGATAAAACGAAGGTCGACATCGTCAATATCGAACTCGAGATTTTTTCGCGAAACCGAGACAACAGCTGCGATCCACGCCCTCGCCTATGTGCCGTGATATATACAGGGTGGAGCAATAACTATGTCCACTTTGAATATTGCCGTTATCTGTGATAATATGAAAAAATGTTATATACAAAACTTTCACAATATTCAAAGTGGACATAGTTATTGCCCCACCCTGTATATATGATACCTGCGGTGACGTGTCTATGACGAGACGCCTTAGTGAACAGTAGGCCTTACTCTTAAGGGGACTTTCCCATTCAAAATTGAAAAAAAAAAAGACACTTTTTTAATATTTCTTTATAAAAAAACTATTATATTTAGAAACATAATTCCTTTTGGACGCTATTATATATATTATTAAGAACATAAAGAAATTTTTTCTGACACTTTTAGTTTACCACGACCGCTGTAGAGTTGCGTCTTCCAAAAAGCCGCGTTTTAATCGGTGCGACACTTTGCAGACGTCCTGTAAAAAATTAAGTAAAAATTCAAACGGGATTCTATTCGTGAGACTTAAAACTAGACAATGAACCTCTAAAATATTGTATTTTTTGTATTTTTTATCGTTTTATACATATTTTTCCGAAAAATTCGAAAAATCACTCTTATTTGGGGGCAATTCACCCCTGTATAAGAAAGGGGGGGGGGTAGTTTTATGAACTTTTAGAGGTTTATTGTCTAGTTTTAAGTCTCACGAATAGAATCCCGTTTGAATTTTTACTTAATTTCTTACAGGACGTCTGCAAAGTGTCGCACCGATTAAAACGTGGCTTTTTGGAAGACGCCCTCTACAGCGGTCGTGGTGAACTAGAAGTGCTAGAAAAAATTTCTTTATGTTCTTAATACTATATATACTAGCGTCCAAAAGTAATTATGTTTCTAAATATAATAGTTTTTTTATAAAGAAATATTAAAAAAAGTGTCTTTTTTTTTCAATTTTGAATGGGAAAGTCTCCTTAATTTCCAGAGCACCATGAATCTGTTGGTCGCCAGTTTAGCGGTGTTGGTGACGCTGCCCTCGATCATACTCGGTGGGCCCGTTCGCCTCGAGGTCTTCGACGTCGATTTAGTGTCCGAGAAAGACTGTTACAACAACAGTTTAACGCTCCACGTTGCCAGCAGCAGTATCGACAGGGGTTTCGTCGAATCGCAGACGGTGAAATGCTTGAACATCGAACACGGACAGATCACGTACGTGACCCAAGGAGCGTTCGACGAGGTCCCGAACTTGACGTACTTGAGTCTGGAAGGGAACAGAATCACACCGCGGGACTTGTTCTCGTTTGGTGGTCTGAAGAGCATCCGTACGTTGATACTTAGCAATCAAGTGAACCAGTATGACGGCAAAGAACTGGTCATACAAGGCGTGTATCCTCAGCTTCGGTATCTGGACCTGAGGAACAACAGCATCAACAGTGTCCGGAGCCTGGCGGACAATCCGTTCCCGGTACTGAAGCACCTCGATCTGTCGATGAATCGTATCGTTTATTTCGACTTCGCCAATTTACTGCCATCCACGTTGTCCCATCTGTATCTGAATCGTAACAGTATCTCGCGATTCTCGGGGCAAAAGTTCTCGAATCTGATGGTGTTGTCGTTAGACGGCAACAATATCGACAGCATCGGCGATGTTTATTACGGTCTAAATCTGACTGGGGCGAGGAACTTGAAGAGCCTCTCGGTGGGGAGCAATCGTATCGCCGCTTTGTCCAAGCAAGCGTTCAAGGACAATGTGAATCTTCAATATTTGAATCTGTCCAGTAACTCTTTGTCGAGCCTGCACTCGGACACGCTGGAGTCTTTGCAAATGTCCCTGCAGGTCCTGGTGCTGGACGGGAATTCGTTCGACGACATACCGATCTCCACGATCATGAATCTAACCACCCTATCGATGAACTGCAACGGCATGAAACATCTGACGGTGAATCCGTTACTGAATATGCCGTATCTGAAAAAATTGTATCTCGGTGGAAACACGATCACAGACATCAACTCGTTCGCGTTCCGTTTCCAAACGCGGCTAGAGGAGTTGTATCTGAACGACAACAATCTGACGTATCTGCAGGACCAATGGGCCGATTATATGTCCAGCTTACGGCTCCTGGATCTGTCGGGCAATCGGTTCGAGCTGTTGGACTCGTTGCTCAAGTCCCCTGTGGCCCCGATAAGAGAGATCTACTTCGATCGAAATCCTTTGAAATACATAAACGCGGCCGCGTTCAAAGCGATCCCGGAGAACGCGACCATACATCTGCAGGAGAATCCGAATCGTATCGTTGGATCGTGCAGACCGACCACGCCGTCGGTGGCTACTGAATGGCCGTCTACTACAGGGACTTGGAGTCCGACTAGTGGAAGGCCTTGGGAATGGGATTCAACTTCCGGAAGCCCCTGGTATTCGACAAGCAGGGGTTGGTGGAATCATTACAAGAAAATGAGTACCGAAAATCTCAGTTCTTAGATAGGAACAATATTCGTAATGTTTAATACACGGAAATTTTCATGAAATTAAATATACACTTACGGTTTATTTGTTTCTCTTGTTTCCTTCTTTCCTACTTTCCCGATCCGTTTAACGATCTTGACGATTGCTGCTTCCGACACAGCTGATCCAGTTGTATAGGAAAACCGGTTAGTTTACACTAAAACCACGGTACGTGGAATGACCGTTTTTAAACATTTTAGTGAAAACAATGCGTTCATTGTTATCTCTTTCATTCACTTGACTTCACGACTTTTACTTATAATGTGCATATACAGGGTGTCACATTTAAATCGAATTGCAATATCTCTGAAACTGTTGACGATATTAAAAAATGTTTCAGTAGTCATGTGGAGGTCAACTTTATTTTTCGAAAAATGTAACCGTATAATTTTTAATGCACCAATTCGCCATAAGTGACTTAGTGCTTTATGTAGGGAATAACGAGTAGCATCGAGTAATGCATTAAAAAATGTAACTTTCATTTAGAGATCGGTTATTTGATCGATTCGATAGATATAGGTATACATATACAGGGTGAAACAAAAAAAGGTTCATAACTTTTCGAGTAGATAGTACTTTCCAAATGAACAATGTCCTGATAAACATGGGTCGAGAAATAAATATTTTCAAAGTTATAAACAACTTTCGGTTTCGGTTGGAACGAGTGACTTTCTCGAAGTCATTCTTGAGACATCAACGAAGAAGATTGTAAAAGAAACTAATAAAAATTGTAGAAAACCTTCTGTAACCAGAAAAACAAGAAACGATAAGGTAATTAATTGTTTAGAAAGTCACTTGCTTCGACGAAATCTGAAAATTATACAGAAAACTTTCAAATATTAAATTTTCGATCCATGTCTATTAGGACTTTTTTTTCATCATTTGGCAAGTACTATCTATCCCCAGAAGTTATGAATCCTTTTTTTTTTTGTTTCACCCCGTATAAATTGTCGGCAGTGTTAAGATTAAGTTATTACTAAGAAGTTAGTACCGTTCGTTAAAAAAAAACAGAAAAAAAATTGAATTTCCGTTCGAGATATATCCTTCTCGTGCAGGATTTCGAGGAATGAACTGTATCTCGCAATCGTAGTTCACGACGGCCGGAAATAAAGCGAACTTTGTGGGGACGAGCGTTATCTTCCACAATTTTTCTGCTAATAACTGTAAATATCGGTCGTATACAACTCTGGAGCTGGAAAGAGGGGTAGCTATATAAAAGGCCCGTTGAGAGAGAGAACTGAAACTTTCGTCAAGATTCTGGTCCAGGCTGTTCACATCGCTGCTGTATCATCGAGCTTTTGGTACGTGCATATCTCATAACTAAACTGTGAAAGTTTATGGAAATGCATATTTTCGAGTAGATTTAAAAAATGTGACTTTGACAGAAATACGTTTCATTATTAGAGAATTGTAAAAATACATTTTTTCACTTTGTATATTCTGCATATTGTATATACAGTGATTCACATATTCGTTCACAGACTTCACAAATAACAATTAGGTGTAAAAGTTTTTATGTAATTTCTATTTACATATTCTTTCTGTCAGTATTTTTATCATCGTTTCGTGATCAATTTTTCGTAATTTTGAAATGTAATTAGCATTTTGGTAAATGATTTGGTTAACTAGAAGTGAGAGACGTACGTAACGAACTCGTGAGTCGCTGTATGTTGCATATATTTTGTATATTCTTCGTATTTCTTGCATATAGAGAATTTGTTAACAAATTAATAATTTTGTTTTCAAATTTAAATTTGATATTAGCTTGTATAATTTTCATGTGTGAGTCGTGTCAGAGTACAGAATCATGAGACAGGAGGGAGTTGGAATTTTCAAATCGACGCGTAATTACTTCTCGAGTGGCTCTTTATCGGATTCGATTTTTTTTTAATTATTTTGTTATCGGATTCCCGGTCGGGTGGGGCGTCTAAATTGTAACGATAAATCTTTTCCAATTATCATTAAGTATCGTCTGCACCGATAAAGGTTGGCTTATACTATCCGTTTTGGACAACGTTCGGTTAAGAACTATTTAAACGTACACATAATATTACAGTTTAAGAACAATTTAAATGTACACGGTAGTTATTTCGTGATAATCAAAGGTCGCCGAATTTGGACCATCTAGTGTAACTTGTCGTGTGATAAACAATATGAGTACGACAGTGGTGATTCCATTAACTAACTTAATATATAAGTTTCAAGTTTACGTACTTTAATATTATAGAAGCTAGAAAACAGTGAAACAATAAAACAAACTATAATATCATTAGAATATTTAATAAAATTTTATCTTATTGTTAACGTAAATTTTTACAATCATTAACAAAAAAAAACTTTGAAGGGTTCGGAGTTAGGACTTGAAAGAATATTTTTAATCTATTTTTTTAATAACAATAATTTAATATATTAAATTTTTATTCTATTCTGGTTAATTTGTATTATTTAGACAAATGAGACGAGCGTAGATTGATTAGCTAAAATTTCTTGAAAAATTCAGTTAGAATAGTTAAATGCGAATCAGAAAATCACTTTTCCAACCGAAAAATTTGTCTTTTTTAGATTAACCATGGAGAGTCTGCAGTACCTATTTTATTTTATCATTTTCGTCCCGGGTGTTCTATCTAGGCTAATTTACTTTGGCACAGACATCGACAATAGTAATAACCACGATGTCATAAAACGATTGTCGAGTGACTCCTGTGGCGGACAAGAGAGTATCCGCCTTTCGGGAGTTGGGCTGGATGAAATTCCGAAAAATTTCGTTATTTCTAACGCAATAAAAAGAATAAACTTAGAAAATAACGAACTCGTGGATATACCAACGGGCATGTTCGACGACGTACAACAATTAGAATGTTTAAACCTTGCATGGAACAAGATTCCACTTCAACGATTCTTCGACTTCAAGCACGACGGCTTGAAGACATTAATATTAGACCATCAAAAAAACTTCACGGGACTGAACTTCTACTTTTTGGATTCTCACAATACACAGTCTTGGAAGATGAGACCGAATCTTCCAAAATTGGAAAATCTTCATATGAATGGAATGTATTCGTATGAATACTATAAACAGTTTAATAATTCTTTTCTTTCACTTCGTAAATTATACTTGACAGATAATAGATTAAAGTCTCATGATATGGCTAATATATTTGCCACATTACCGGTAAACGTAGAAAGCTTGCATTTAGAAAGGAATAAGATCAGTACAGTTGATTTGCAATGGTTCGGAAACCTCGACTCCTTGCATTTGGACGAAAACCCTTTGAGCGATATTTCTATCAAAAGTAATGCCCTAAAACTTCTGTCCTTAAAAAATTGTTCCTTTTACGCTTTAACGGAGTATTTATTTACGATTTTTGCACCGTCTTTGCAGATACTGGACTTGTCCAGCAATCAGATCAAAACAATAAACTCGAATGTATTTTCGAATATGCCAGTGTTAGAAGTATTGTCTTTAGATCGTAATACGTTATCGACAATTCCGTACTTAAGAAGTCTAGAGAGGCTCGAACGTTTATCTTTAGCTTACAATCAGATCGAACAGGTCACTGCGTCGATGTTGCCCGGCACCTTGAGGAGATTGGACCTCCAGGGGAATCGAATAAGCAACATCGATGAAGACACGTTTGCGAGTCTCGGTTATCTCGAAGAGCTAGATTTATCACATAACGAACTGCGAGTCCTACCTGCCGGATGGTCCATGAACCTGGAAATGTTGACGTACTTAAATGTGAAGGCAAATCAATTAAACAATATATCTGATATGTCAATTGAATTTTTGACAAATCTGAAGGAATTGTATATAAAGGACAATCAGATAACGAGCATTGATTTGCCTGCACTACAATTAGTACCCGAGGGATGTACTGTGTATGTAGTTTAAAAGCACCGGTTTTATACAATTAAATATTATTCGTATTATTCAATGTTATTCTATTATTATACAGGGTGTCCTAAAATAATTTCGCCTCCCGGAAACGAGGGGTTCCTGGGATGATTTGAAACAACTTTTTCCTCAGTGAAAATGTTATCCGAGCTTTTGTTAACGAGATATTAACGAAAAACTCTGACCAATCAGAGAGCGAGTCTGCCGGTCGAGTGCCCGCGGTAATGTTACCTACCAAAACTCGCGCTCTGATCGGTCGGGATTTTTCGTTGACATCTCTTCAACAAAACCTCGGATAACATTTTTGCAAAGGAAAAACTTGTTCGAAATCGCCTCACGAGTGTCTCATTTCAGGGACCTGCGACACTTTTCTTACACCCTGTACATGTCTGTTAATGCCTTACACGTATAATAGATCTGTATCGAAAATAAAATTTTATTCCGAAAATTTCGCCGCGCCATCACGTTCCTCGAAATCCTTAAATCACAGACCAATTCTGTACAATGTCTAAAAAAAAAAGAGAATAGAAAAAATATCGATCGGTACGCGATAATATACAATGCTGTTATATTTTGTTTACGATATTTAACGATGATCGCAGACCGTGCTCGCGAATGTTCGTAGATTAAAACGCGGTTACGCGAAGTCGTCGAATGTACGACGATAATATCGCAAACTGGCCGGAAGGATAACCTTTCGAATCTAATCTCCGTAACGTCATGCTCGCTACCTGGAATGTTGCTGCGCGGAAGACGATCGCGGGGTATCTTGAACGATAACGATTCGTGAAAGGGCCATCCGGGCCTGAGTCTTTTTCTCTTCGTGTTCGAACTGCGATTATCGTTTTGGTCCTTAACCTTTCACGTAAATGGTACCTATATATGTGCAAATGTTACTTATATGTAAATGGTAACTATGCGTAAATGGTACCTATATGTAGATGGTACCTATGTATAAAAAAAATTAAGTTTGCATTTGGTCGAATTTTTTTTGTAATTTGGGGTCTTGAAAATGTGTTCGTGAAGTATTATGGTGAAATTCATCAAATTCTCGAACTTATAAAAGAATAAAGCACGGCGGCCGTACTGCTGCAACGAACTTTGAACCGATTTCACCTAATTGTAGTACCTACTCCTACAATTTTTAATAAAATTGTCTTGTAAAAATTTGTGTTTTTACTTTAAACATATATTAGGTGTGCCAATAAGTAACTCACTATTTTTTAAAATTATAAGGCCTATTTTTAATATAAATTAAATAATATAATTGATTTCTATTATTTAAATTATATATATATTTTAAGGTAAAAATGGAGTAAGTTGGTGGGATATCATTATGAATATAAACTGGGGAGTACAAATGTTTTACTTCCATAGAAACGAATACTGATTTTGTCAAGAAATTGTAAGTTACTTGCTAGTTCACATAATATACATGCAAATCCTCTGTTTACTAGGTATGACAATTTCCTTTAATTTAATTCCCCGAAAATCACATTGAAAACTGGTGTCTACACTAGAACACTTTTTTGAACATATTGTCGCATTTTAAATTCCTTATCACTAGACTGCGAATGTTTATGCATTTATAGCTTTTCCTAAGTTGAAAAATATAATAAAATAAACATATCGATGGAGTTTAATTCTACTTATGTGTTAGTATTAACGTAGTAAAACCTCTAGTACAGAATGACTAAAACCCCATTTTTATTTTCAGATGCCAGTATGTAAAATTTTGATTTTGCATAAATATCCGAAGTCTACTTATCACAAAGTACAGTTTATCGTTGGCTATACTAACGACTTACGAAACAGATATTAATAAGCAGAAAATCTTCTGCAAATGCTGATGCAGATGTCATTTTAATGTCAGTTTATTTTATATTTATATACCGTTCATTACGAACCTGTTACGTATTTAATCTTAGGATTGTTTACAATCAAGCGTTCTTATCTCATTAGACGCATAAACATATTATTTTCATTCAATATGACCAGTCTACGTGGAATAGTTTCCAAGCAACAGAACCGCGATAGAGTCTCAAGAACATACGTGATCCTCGTTTGACAAACGATCGAAACTCTGCAAGAGAAATTACATTAATCTGGTAAACTGTACGGAAAATAATTTCTTGTGCTCCTTGCAGTGGTTCCTTCTATGTACACCGAGAAAAAGAATTATGGTAAATACAATCAATTACTTTCGAATATAAACCGCTTGGAAAAATTATCCCAACGTTTCAAGTATCGTAAACGACACGTTGGAATGATGTTTCGAAAACTAGCATAAATCACATTCGAATGAATTTTCTGAGTAACGATTGCACGACGTACACCTCGGTTCCATTAATATGCATAAAGAAGAATATAAAAAGGATTTTTCAGAAATCTTTTTCAATGGTATTTAGAATATTTAGATATTATTTTGAGGTCGCGAGAAAAAAACAAAAAAGATTAAGGACGTTGTTGGTCCAGGGTTAAGTTGCTTCCACGATTCACTTTTCCGTTTCGTTAGGCAAACGAGCAGCCCCGAAACGGACATCAGTTTCACGACGCGTCAGCTACTCCGTATCGTTCCTGTCTCTCAGTCGGTGTTCGTTTACGCAATAAATATTTCGGAACGATACACCAACAGTCATCGCGATACCTTTGTAAACTTAAGCAGAGATAGCCTTTCTGGAACGATGCTCGATCTCAGCAACTATCCAGCCAAGTGCCGCACCATCTACGCTCCGTGCCCTTTGCCCTCTTCAGGATCGCCAAACCAGGATCCTCAATCTTTTTTAATTTTTCTTATATTTTTTTGTTTCGTCTCTTTGCCAAATTCGCGTTAATGGAGCATTTTGGCGTGACACTTTCGAAAAATGGACTTTTCGATTTTTGGCGTTATTGAAAAGTAAATTATATTTAGATGTAAGAATTAATATTTTATGTTACCATTTTTCCTTTCATGATAAACGTGTCGGAAAAGTTCGTGCGATTTTGAATTCTGTCTGATTTTAAATCTGCCAGCTGAGTTCCCGCGGTAACGCTAGCTACCAATCGCAGCGCGTAGTCAACATTACCGCGGGAACTCGGCTGGCAGACTCGCGCTATGATTGGTCGGGGTTTTTCGTTAATATCTCGTCAACAACGCTTCTGACAACATTTTTGCTAAGGAAAAATTTCTTTCAAATCACCTCATGAGTCTCCCATTTTCGGGTCCTCCAACATTTTTGTTACACCCTGCATATAACTGTGATAAATGTAAAAAAAACTTGCCAAACGGAAGCGAATGAAAAACGGCATTAGAAGGTTTGAAAATGTTAAAATCCTTTTGTGAGTCATTTATATGCCATACACAAATAGGAACAAAATATTTCTTTGATGATATTTCAGTAATGTGAGAATGATAGGGTTAAGGGGTGGGGGTCTAAGCCGTTTGGATTTGCAAGTTTTCCATGGCACCGAGATGCCTGTCCACGGCCCTGGGATAGGCACAGGCGTTAAATTTCCTGGGAATAACCGCCACACTTTATAAGCGGTCCCATTTCAGCCGCCGCAGGCAGAAGGTGTCAAGTCTTTCGAACGAACACCGATTCGAAACGGGGGTTGCAGACGAGCTTGCGCGACAGTATCCACTTCTGGACGCAAAGGTCACGGCATTGTTTCCACGGTTCTCTAAACGTAAGTATAATTCCGAACAATCGGATACAGCCAAGAGTCTCCTCGAACTTCAAAGTTGGGGTAACTTTGACTTACAAGGGAAGGACTATAACTTTACCACTTCGATTTTATCGATCTTTTGTAGGATGACAGAATACACATCTTAGATAGCACATGGCGCGTAATGACGCCTTGAAGACGGCTTAAAGGCGCCTTAGACCTAAAACAGCCGTAAAATGGGCGTCTTCGAGGCGTCCTGTGCTATCTGGGATTTATAATATGTGTGATATATTAGCCATAGTTACTTGACAGTTTTGACGGTATAATTAATTAAAGTTACATACCTAGTTGTACATATACTAATTTTTATATATTAATTAATTTTATATTGAAAATATAAGGTTTTTTTTTAAACTATATAAATAGAAATATAACGATATACAGGTGTCTGTGAAATCCTTAATGGCGTAGTTACGTGTTGTGTGACTTGCAAATTATGGAGGCCATGAAAAAGATTTACAAAAAAATTATTTTCATTTTGAAAAATGTTTATAATTGCCTACTAAACATACACCTATATTGGTAGTACACACAATTCTGTTTTTAGACGAATTTTTCTTACAGGCATTCTTTCGGAACAAAATTTCGAAAGTGTAAAAAAAATTCGTGTAAAAATAGAATTCGATGTATATACATAACTAGATATGTAACTTTAATAAATTATGCCTTTAAAACTATTAAGTAACCACGGGGTAATATTTCACAGGTATCGTTAGAAATATGATTTGACGAAAGATCCATAAAATCGAAGTGGTACAATTGGGATCCTTGTCAATCGGAGGTAACTTTGTACCCAGTCAGAAAATGATCATTGTCGATTTTCTAGCTCTGCAAATTCTTAACTAAAGTAGATTTTCACGTGAAAAGGTATTCCATGTAAAAATATTTATTTAAAATTTACCCCTGACTGAGTCGAAGTTAGCCCTGCGATACAGTGCACGAACGAAATACAGTGGATTCCAGACAATTTTGTCCCAATACACCGAATTTCAACAGATAATATCTGAAGAAGGTAAAAAGTAAATCCAGAAACGAGTTTTTGAAAAACGTACATAACATTCGGTGTTAACCCTAATCCGTCTCTTGTGTCAATTAGCCACAGTTTTTTCCTAACAAATTCCGTTATTCTGTTACATGCAGCTAAAGTTAACCGAAGCCTCGTGATTTTTACTTTAAAGAATTTGCAAATTCAATTATATATCTCATAGAATTAATTTTTACCACTGGATCAATTTAACACCGAGGGACAAATAAACCCCTTGCCTTATAACATCGAGTCAAGACATGATGACGATTTCAAACTGGATTTAATAAACGTGTACACGATTTGTTTTCTTTGAGTCGATGTGAAATTATGTTTCATTGGTATTAATATTTAAGATTTCGAATAAAAGAATAAAATTCCTTCTGTATCTGGGAAATTATTAACGATACGGTAATGCTTAAAGTACAGTAGTAAAAAAAATCGTAAACCAAGGGGTTAAGTTGGAAAAATGAGAGACGTATGAGGGTTAAATACAAACTCCAATTAACCGAAATCCACTGTAATATGGTTCTTCCTGTCGATTCTTTTTTTCTATAGACATTAAAAACGCGTTCGTCGCGAATCGACACTTTACAGATGGCGTTCGGACGTTCCTGGATCGTAATATTTCTATGTCTGGTCAGCCTGCAACGAACATTCAGCAAGTTATCGTTCTTCACTTCGTCCACGTCACCGCCTGAGATTTCCACGTATAAATCCCGGTGGGCAACTCAATCGAGTACACGACTTCCGAAGAACCAACCTCAAACTGAATGCGTGGATTCGTATGTTGCCCTGAATTTCACGGGGATCGGTCTGCAAAGGATCGGCGACAGATTCGTGAACGGTCCGAGAGTGATCGAGCTACACCTGAACGGTAACAACATCACCGATGTATCGTGCGCGGCGTTCGATCATCTGCCGAATTTGAAGGTGTTGAGTCTGAACGGTAACAACATCTCGGTGGATCGTTTGCTCTTGTTCGATCACAACGGGCTACGGAAGCTTGTTCTTGACGACAACAACAAGTACTGCGGTGACGATTTCATCGTCGATAGGTATCTACGAGCGTTGCCGTCTCTCCTGGAATTGCATCTGAGACGAAATCAAATCACACGTTTCACCGTCAGCTTGAAAACATTCTCGCCCCGACTGACGAATCTCTATCTCTCCGGGAATAAAATCGAATCGGTGGATTTCCTCGACTATTCGCCGAGTACCTTGACGCACCTACACCTGGACGATAATTCGATCGGAAATGTGAAGACAGCTAGTTTGATGAATATCGTGGAGCTGACCGTGAGTGGGAACAAGATCGAGGAGCTGTGCGCCAGCGGATGTTCTGGCTCGTCCCTTGCCTTGAAGAACATGCCAAGGTTGAAGAGTCTGAATGTGTCGCGTAACAGGATCAGTGAGATCGCGGAGGACACGTTCGTGGATAACAAAGACCTCGAATTATTGGACCTGTCCGTGAATAAGATCGCCAAATTACCCAGCAAGCTGTTCAACGCGCTGTTGAAGAACCTTCTGGAGCTTCGTATCAGCCATAATTCGTTGACCTCTATACCGAATTTATGCTCGTTGCAGCACTTGAGACGGTTGGATTTAAGGGGGAACCTGATTTCGGCCATCTTTAGGGAGAACTTTTGCAGACATATGACGCACCTAAAGACTCTAATTCTGGCCGATAATCATATCACCAATGTAGACGCGAACGCGTTCGCGTTGCTGCACTCGTTGCACACGTTGGATCTGTCGAGCAACCGGATGACCGAAATTCCTGCCGGGCTGATCACCAACGCGAGTTCCACGAAGGTGATCCTGATGAGGAACAACAGCATCGAGACGCTTGACACGCTGCGCAACGAGAAATCGCATTTGGAGGAGCTACATCTTCAGGAGAACCCATTGCTACATTTGAAGGTGTCCTGGTGGCACGCGGAAAAGCTGCCGCATCTGGTCCTGCACTTGAAGGATCGACAGTGGATTAAACAGGCCGAGAATAAGACGCAGGAAAAATCCGAAGAATATTGTTCGTTGAAGAAGGAAAATACCGACAATGTATGGGTCTAACAAATACAGGTACGTTGCGAATAACACTGGTCGACAAAATTTAACTTTTTGTTTGTCTTCTAATATATTTTAACTATTTATTTTGCAACTGTTTTAAAGAAATGGGACTATATATATTTTTCGAAATTTTCAGTAGTGCCCCGACAATGTGAATCTGCATTTCTTTAAAACAATTTATAAAATAAATAGTTAAAGTATACATTTCTTTAACTAAAATAATTATTACTAGCGATACGTTTATATAACACTTAAGACTACAACATATCCAAGTTTGAACAAAATTCGAAATGTTACTCCAAAAAGTGTTCGATCTTGCGCGAAATGACCTTTAAACAAAAGTTGAACTATGTTTAAGTGTGCACAATTTCCGTGAATTCGATTTGTTAGTCTGCATTTTTTACAGAGATATGGAATGTTATCTTTTGTTTTTAAAACGAAACTGCAGCATTTGTTAATATATATTTTATTAGTCTGAATCACAAGAAATCCAAAGACTAAAAATATGTTGAAAACTGTGAGACACCCTGTATACCATCAAACAGATTTTTCCATTCAGATTTTCGAATTTCAGAATCCACCAAGTAACGTTACTGCCTGCTTTCCAATTGGAGATAGACGAATCGAACTACTACGAGGACCACCATGGGAACGATCGATGAACAGTTCGTTCGATTGACATTCTAATAAATTAAAATAATATCGTTTGAAGTACTAACATTATTCTGTTTAAGACAAGATACTAACACTAGCTTTATTATTGACGTTTCGTGTAAAGAACACTGCCGATGAGAAATAAAATTTGGTTAAACAAACCTAAAACATTCTTTCGAGTTCACCCTAATATTTCCAATCACGGTATCCCTGAAAATAAAGAACGCATATAGGGAATATATAAATGTCCCAATTACTAGTGTTTCTAATACTGCCACTTCATTGATTTTATAAAAGTTTACTATTCAATAAAAGCGTAATGAATACAGAATTGCATACAAAAAATTGTATTATTATACGATACTCTGATTTACTGATTACTACACAATGAACGTATTATCGTCTTTCTTCCTTCGAGCTGAATAACTTTGAAAATCTATGCAAATTATTCGGGGACAGGCGTTCCACGTTGCACTTTAATTTTGCATCAGTTCTGCTAGATCACGCTGCGATCAGTCGTGATAAAGTTGAATTATTAGAATAATTAGATGAACGTCATTGCTAACGACACCATAACCAAATTTCACATCACAATTCTAACGGCCCTCCCGCGCATAATCTTTCGATTAATTTCATTAATTTGCTCCGTTTTCGCGTACTTGTTAGGCGAACTATTCTTCGGATCGAGTTACTTCAACGTAGAATGTCCCTAGTCACGGGGAATCACCGTTTCTCCTGCTTGAAGATCGCGCATCCCCGATGCGATTCGTTTCTGCCGTCTGTGATTCCCCGTTCTTTACGTTCGTGCTACATCGGATCTAGCTGTTCCGTGGAGGTGACTAGGACGAGGCTACGGAAATCGTCCGTAGATGGCGGTGCGTTCGCAAAACCGCAGCCATTTGAATCGGGGGACGAAGAGTGTCACGCGAGAGGAGAAAAAGGTGAAATGCTTTGGTGGATGACAGAGAGTTTTCGATTGTTCCAAATCACCGAATACTCTACGAATAACGTTTAACATCTTCTAACGATAACGTTAAAAGTTTCGCAACTCGGAACTGTTGCACTGCTAGAGAAATCGAATAATCCACGCTGATATGTGGATTGGAATTGAAAGAAGGAATTCGAAATTTTGAAACGTATTGTTAGGTGCAGTCCAATAGGTAATTGTAGTCAATGCCGTAGAATTTAGGTAATCACGTCGTAACTGGACACTTTGAGGAACATTTTTCCATGGACTTAATCTTCATCTTGCTGGGCGGCTACTTTCAACGGTCTGGTCACGGAACTGCCATTGGATTTCGGAATGATACTATTCACCAGACGTTGCTGAAGTGGCCGTTGCCGACGAAACTAACGAGATCGTTTGGACCCGACAATGCTCGAGAACCACGGTTCCTTCGATAACGAGCTGGATCTTTCCAATAAGGGGAACCTATGATGGTCTTGGAGATGCGTGACGCGACTCCAAGGGAATTGTCGTTCGAACTTTCACAGTTTTGGTGATACATCGATGTTACTTCGACATCGACTGGAAGACACGATAGGAATCATTGCTACGTTTACATGGTTAGGATACTATGACGGCTAGAATACCATGATGGTTAGGATACCATGATAGTTAAGATACCATGATTTTAAGGGGACTTTCTCATTCAAAATTGAAAAAAAAGACACTTTTTTAATATTTCTTTATAAAAACACTATTATATTTAGAAACATAATTCCTTTTGGACGCTATTATATATATTATTAAGAACACAAAGAAATTTTTTCTAGCACTTTTAGTTCACCACGACCGCTGTAGAGGGCGTCTTCCAAAAATCCATGTTTTAATCGGTGCGACACTTTGCAGACGTCCTGTAAAAAATTAAGTAAAAATTCAAACGGGATTCTATTCGTGAGACTTAAAACTAGACAATAAACCTCTAAAAGTTCATAAAACTACCCCCCCCCCTTTCTTATACAGGGGTGAATTGCCCCCAAAAAAGAGTGATTTTTCGAATTCTTCGGAAAAATACGTATAAAACGATAAAAAATACAAAAAATAAAATAGTTTAGAGGTTTATTGTCTAGTTTTAAGTCTCACGAATAGAATCCCGTTTGAATTTTTACTTAATTTTT